CATATGAAATAGATCCAATGCAAAATTCCTTGTCAATGTTCACCGGCAGGATTGGCCTCACAGCTTCCGCAAAGCGCATTTGGTTAAAATGCTTCTCAATTTTTAGTGGCGTGCAGATGACTAGTTGTTCCGTATTGGAGCTGTTTAAAGAAAGACAGCTGGATAATCAAGTTTAAACCGCGGTTTTATACCCTTGCAGAATATACACCTGGTCATGGGAAGAGCCTCTCATGTACGAAAGTCACGAAATATTGGAAAATATCATGCAAGTAGATTAGTGGGTGGGTGAACCAACAAAAAAAAAGCAATCATAAATATATACCACACCGCGGATGATTGTTGGCCAATCCCATCGGCGCTTTCAAGGGATATTTGAAAACGGTAAGGAGTAAGCAATCAAATATTTGCTTTCTTCTCAAAAATCTCATTTCCGCCTCACACGAGCCCCCGGTCCTCAAAAGACGTCGCTTTTTTTTTCTTTTGATAATAAGTTTTTCACGATATTGACGTTGACATTGGCGAAATTACTTTTTAATATAGATGCTAAGAAAACAAACCAACGCTCAGAGGGATCTTATTGAGAAAGTATCTTTGTGTTTTGATGGAAATATTTGAAAATCGATAAAACAATAATGCGGTGATACGACTTGAATTTTAAACTGTCCCGTTGAAATTTCATTTTCTCACGAGTTGATGTCAAAATCAAGCTCTAAGGATAACCAACTCTATTGTAATTGTGGGATATGTTGGATCACATAGAAGCGACAGCTGAAGCAACTGGTGTAATTTTTCTCAAGATTATGCGTGGGGGTCTGTGTCGAGCTTACCGTTCAGGCGATAGACCAGCGTTTATCTAAAGTCGCTGTACTTTAGAAACACCCAAGCCGTGAACAACGGTCATCAATCTCAGAACATGTTTTAATATGCTCTCCGACAATTTTACAATTCTCCGGGAAGAGTGCGCTAAGACAAACGCCTCTTTCAGGTTCGGGAACGAAAAAAGGCGCTTTAGAACCTAAACATGTAACGGGAGTTAAGTTTTTCAGTACAGCACCAGTGATATGGATACTATATCAAAGGACCTGTGTGACCCAACAAAAAAACGTTTTGTTTAGGATATGTATGAAACGGTAGTAGTGATAAAGATACCAAATCAAAAGACCTCTGTGACTGACTGAATGACGGTTTGTTTAAGGTATGTATAAAACAGTCCTCTTTCTCGTTGTAAGCAATGGAATCAGAAAACAAAACAGCTAAAACCGCAAACCTGCTGCTTCTGAAACGACAGCAATTGAAATTTTCCCAAGAAGATGTTAAGCGAGATTTAAAAAAATTGTATTCATATTGCGGTAGGAGTAAAAGAAAAAGATATTTGCCATGTTTCCCTTTTTAAACAAATAAAGATACACGAGATAAGAGGAAATTCGACGAGATTTGCACGTGATCAAGGAAGATAAAAAGTGCCAACTCCGAATTTGTACTTTCACCTAACACGAGATACATCTAACACCAGCAAATCAACTCGTAGGAAAGCGTTTCGCCGTCTTCATCCAATGAAATGACATAAAGCTTTCACTCAGTAGAACTTACTCGGATATTCACCCTAAAAGGTCACTAATAAACTAAAGAAAGCTCCACTTACCCTTCGACACCATTGTGAATACATTTAACGCAATAATTCTAGTCCATCGTCTCTTTTCTCAAAGTGTTTTCAAGAGTTTGATTTTATCAGAAGACAAAGTTCGCGAGTATACTATTCATGGATTCAGACCATTCATTAATAGTTGACCGTGTTTCATTACAGTCATTGAAAATAATCCCTGTAAAATACAATGGGACTATTATTTCCTTGTGTTATGAGAGCTAAAACAATTCATAGACAAATAATAGCATGAGTAATCCAACTATCAATAGAGGAACAGATATAATGACATGGAGAAGCCAACCCACCTACACTTTGGCCTAGTATTTAATCAGGTGCCCATACGATTAAATATATTCGACGTTTTATTTCCCGAAGCTGTGCATGTTAATCTGTTGAGAAGCCAGAATTTTTTCTTGACACTGAGGTCGGCCTCTTGATGTTGGTTGCCAAGCATTTGTAAAAAATTTGTTCAACAATATATAATCACAGCGCAGAAGAGCGCTTTTCGTTTGAGTGTCGTAAAACCAAAATAAAAGTAATCGCAACGGCCAAAAATTGAAAACACCTTTCAGATGAAAACTCAAAATAAAAGTGACTGAAATGGTTAAAGCGCGGGAAAACGCGGGCCACCAAGACATTCTTGGTTTTAATTTTGCATCTGATTGGTTGAGGGAGTAGTGCAATTTTTTATGGACCAATCATAGACCGAAGTTCGGCAAAACAAAGCAATCCCAGATTCCTCTCGACACTCATTGTTATTGTTCATTTGAGATAGTAGGCATGCATAAGATGTAATCGAAAAAAAGAGGAAAAAAACGTGTCTAAATCAAAATTGTATTTAAAACCAGGTGGGTTCATAATGAAATAAAATCGTTACGCTGGTAAATAGTTTAAAAAATGTCCGAGAAATATTTTAAAGTCTCAGTATTTCGGATAACAACTCTAGCCTTCATCAAGTGAAAGTGATAAAGAAAATTTACAAAATGCACGCGTTGCGTAGAGAAATGCAAATTTGAACAATTGTTATTAACTAAGTCTTACTCTTTGGCGCTAAGGCTTATGTGTTAGACTGAAATATTGACTATTATTTGTCCTGGAAATACAGTAGGGACAAAAATTTAGTAGAGTTCAAAATAGTTAAGGTACTTTTCTGTGATTGTTGTATCAACACCTAAATAGATGCATATATGCTAGAGACGTTAAAGTTGTCTAAGACGTTAAAGTCGTCAAAAAAAAACCGGCCAGTTTAGCTCTAGAAGATAGTAATCTATCAAGTCATGAACGCGCAAGAATATTTTTCTGCACACAATGATGGCCTAACTGATTAGAATGTATGCCTCTTTATGGTTAACACTCATACACTCTACTTCATTTAGCAACTTTTAATTCAGTGTCGAAAACCGAAAGCCAAACTTATCACAACGGCTAATCGAATCAAACATCGACATCATCTTTAGCCTCTGAAAGCTCTTAGCCAAATCAGGCCAACTGAGTTCAAAATCTCTCTCTGAATTTAGTTAACTTCAGCTTCACAACCTTAAAACGCAACATCTAAAGAGACTTTGTCTTTCGTCACAACCTGCCAACCGGCAGCAGTGTTAAAATGATTCTTAGGTAAATAAAACCTTGTGTAAATAAAACGCGGCGAACTGAATGTTGTCGGTCGGATGGCAAATCGTTCGAAGACTTTCTCGTCTGAGCGAAAACTCCTCCCCTCTCAGAATAAACATGCAACGGAGTTGTATACGGTAAGGAAAGTGAAATTACTTAAAACAAACGAAAAGAAAATAACAAAAATAAACGAAAAGGGAAAACAGGAGAGAACGAGATAGACACTTACCATCGCTGCGAGGTACAAGCACGATTAGATGAAAGAGCGAGAGGTGTTCAGCCTGAATTACTATGACGCCAAGGAATCAAGTGAACAACAAAATGCCGGAAAGACATCCGAAACAATGGAAAAATTACACGAACATTCACAGTATTTGAAATCCTAACCAATCAGAGTGGTGCATAATTTTTGAAAGGTGACGCTCATTCAGTCCACCCTTGGGAACAGTCATTATTTATCACCTGAGTGGGGGGGAGGGGGTGGGGTGATATTCTGGGGGGGGGGAAACACTTGGAGTTCAGAGGGAGCCAGTCGTCGCCAACAGGGTATAAGGGGGGAGACACCTCAAAAAATTTGACTGCCGATGGGGGAGAATAAAATAACCACAAACTTTTTTTACGAAGCAAATCTGAGAGAATGTAAATCGACTTAAATCGAGGTCGTGTTTAGTTGTTTCAATACAGATCACGTAACAATATTCGAGGAACCACTATCTTTTAAGAATTATACCTACTTCTATCTATGCGTGCAGGCACCCTAGGTGTTATTCGTACTTCCCAAGCAGCATACGTATCGAATACGATCTCACCACAATGACTGAAAAGAATGCATCAATAAGATAGAAATATCCACACAATAACAAATTGTTAAATAGAATGCACAAAAATAAGACTAGGCACGCAAGAAGTACGCTTCACTGGGAGTACGTTGAGGACAGAACACGTAAACAGACTATGTGTCATATCCAGAGGTGAAACTCTCATTGTTCCCTCCTTATGCCATAACAAAAAAAAACTGGAAAATTGAACATTACAAAGACATCTTGCTGTCAATGAATGACAATTTAATTGGTTTCCGAACTGAAAAATCGTGTTTTATATTGCTCTCAAACACAATCACTTTTTTACGTTAGCACTGGATACTTTTGTTTTGCTGAAATTTATTGGAATAAAACTTGAGAGTGATTTTTTCCCGTCCTTTGAATTATGTTTAGGCTACGTTTTTGTTTTTGCTTGTGTGTTTTAAGTTTTTATCATGTAGAACAATTCAATTTGATTGTTCGTTACTTCTAAGAGTTGTAATTTTAAAACATCTTAAGTATCCCCAATTAAGCAGGTGGAGAACAGAAAAGAGGCTGTTAGTGTGAACTTTAGTTCTATATCGTGGTTGGAATAAAGTTCTCGATGACGGACATGTCTTCAATAAGTCCTTTAATAGGAGTCATCACAACGCATCTAGTTTCTCCCAACAGTTTAACCCCCTGAATCAAACATTAAGGTCATGAGAATAAAATAAATGATCGCAAACTCAAGAAGCTCTTGATTCTTAGACAAATTCACCTTGCAAGTACCATGGGAAATGTAGAGAAAACAGAAGGAAGATCTTGCGTTCTGATGTTAAGGTATAAAAGGCTAACTTCTACCCTCCCCGGAGTGATAAAAATTGCTTTTCCCTATAAATGTGATAAAATCAATACATTCTTGACCAGAAAGATGACGAAATGGAAATTTCAGGGGGGGGGGGGGGGGGGGTAAGATTCCCTCTGATTTAACCCTAAATTCTCTAATCTAAACGCACAACAGTGCGTAAAATTGAGAATTAATATCGCGAGAGGCAATCATTGTGTTAGATAGAGAAGGTCAACCTAAACTTGTTGGTGTAAGTTAGATATGAACTGAGCAAAAGTTGTCGACGACATAAACTAGGGTCCCCGCATTCATTTCAACCTTGTTCCCAGGGCCCTCTCTCTTCTTCCTAAAAGGGTTTGAGGAGTGGGAACGAGGTTGCATTTATTCCTTTGCACTTAGTAGCAGCCGTTTTTTGGGAGGCATCGAGCTCCATAAATTTTGTCGTGACCCTTTGGACTGAGTATTTGTGTAGCCCAAATAAGTACTATTTGGACGATACTTGTGCAGAATCCAAACACAGAACATCGTGTCGAATACGTGGTATTTCTGGCGGTAGGTCATAAACCCATATTAGGGTAGGTCAGAAACCCATATTTCATCGTCTTTGGCAATAGATCCAGGTTAGTGGGAGCTTTTCCTTTCACGTGAAAAGGAATCCACACTTTGAGGCTCGTTATTTATAGGGACCGGGACCAGGTATCACGAGAGTGTTCCTCGGTTTCTCTTAGTCCAAATGTCTCCCTCTTTATCAAGATCCTGTCAGTAACTGTAATGCGAGCTCCTCGTCATCTGCCAAAGATGCTCCTTGAGGGGCCAAATCCAAAGAGATATCTATGGATTTTTCACCCTTTGGAAATCGTTTTCTCTTCTTTGGGCTGAGGAGGGGAAAAATGAAAATTTACGATTACATCCAATGTTTATAACCATAGTCTTTAAGTAATATGTTATACAAAGACGGTCTTAGTGCTGTTAAAAAGTGCTAACTCTCATGTTCAGAATTGGGCTCATTAGCGAACTTTACAGTGTTTCACTTTTTTTTGCACATTTTTCGTACTTTTATTGATTATTTTAACATTAGCATGTTCGAATACTTTCTTCAACTTTTTCGAATCTTGTATACTTTTTAGTAGTTTTTGATGCATTGTCTAATTCTGGTCATGATACGAGGACGACTTCTTACTCTTTTCATGCACAGATGCGAGGAAGAAAACGAAAGGAGTTGCTGTCTCTTAGTAAAGAGTTCTTGTGTTAAACTGTTTTAGTGACAGCTGTATTCGAGTATACGTACAATGAGATCAACCGTCGTTCATCCTCCTTCAATTGCTCACTTACAGTCTTATTATCAAAACAAGTCTTCATCTCAGTCTCTAGACTATCATGTTCATGTGAGTGCAAAGTTCCTTCAAACGAAGGATCTCGTCTTAAAATTTTGCAGCAATTGCTAGGCTGGTCATTCCCTTTAACTCCCAAGATCTGATTGTTAACTCTCCCCTCTAGCTGCTCAAATTTCCTTGTAAATAAGTAACGAGAATTTGGTGTTAGATCAAGATAACTTCCACCTGATACATTTGAGTATTCTCATTACCTGTTTGCTGGATAGAGCATGGATATTGTAGGGATATTGTAGGGAGAAGTTACTTGTCAATCACTTCTAAGACATTAAGGGTTAAGAACGAGGAAGTCACGGATACCTCACTGGTGTTTCTTCATCAGACTCAAACGATTCCTCTGCGCTCTTTTCATCTTCAGCTAAACTGACACCAGAGAAACCCTAAGAAATCAAAATTAATTTAGCGTGACAGTCGAATCATAAAAGCCTATTTACAAAGCAAGTGGTCTACGCATTAATTTCCTCTGAGAATAGGAAACACTTGTTTTGTTTTACGCTTACTGCCCGTTTACTTTGTCATTTAGGCTCTTTGCAGCTGACCTCGGGACTCGGGGAAAAGGCATCATTTATTTTAACATTAATCATGATTGCCACAGACGTATTGTCACTGAATCCAACTATGATCAGGTTTCATCCAACAACGATCACTAAAGGGTCTCTCCTTCTTCTCACCTGTTCTTCGCGTCGTCGTTTCTTGATTTTCTTTCTTTGTTCTTTGTGCTTGCTTCTAATTCGCTCCCGCTCCACTTTCCTGTCAATCAAATCTGCCTCGCGCATCAAGTCACGCGATTCTGCCACCGAAATTCCACCTACTTGACGCTTGTGGCTCTCACTGAGGGGAACTGGTTCGAGTGTCTCATTGGATGATTCAGGCTTACCCGTGTGATCGAGAGGAGCTCCTTCAATCGTTACTGGCTGCAAGTAAGTTGAGTATAGATTCAAATGCACTGTTGTCTAATGGCGGTTTGGATCCTTATTACTTCTTATCTTTAAAAGGGAATTTCTGAAATTTGAGCTTCATGGGAACGAAATGGTAAAAAACAAATATTCTGATTACACGATTAAGAACTCGCAATGCATTTAGGGTTGTTTAAGAACATTTCCGCGTTTCAGTAAAAAAAGGTCATTTTGTGTCAGTCAGGTTCTTGTAAGACGTCAAATCAAATTGTACGGTGAATATACCCTGTCAGAGTAAAAATCCGTGATGTTTGTACCAGTAATTGACTGACACGTTTCCTAACCTCTAAGATCTAAAAATTTACTCTACGATTGTAAGCGGTACGTTTTTGCCAAAAATTTCGCTAAATTTATCGCCTAGTCTATCAGTTTCCCATTCCGATTCCTTTTCTGCTTCACAGCGTATTAATATTGTAAGTAAGTACTCCTGGAAGTCGAAAGATCAAACAAATCGAACGTTACCTCTCCTTCGTCGTCGAACACAATCTTTGTGTTCACCTTCACGTTTTTGTTAAGTATCTTTTTGGCAACAGCAATTTTGCTCTTTGGTTTCCTTGATTTCTTCTCTTTTTCTGGAATTTCTTCCTAAAACCCAAAAAGTTTTTTTAATTTTTAATATCATTCCCCCTTTAAAAAACCCAGACTATCCCTAGCAATTGCGTTAATATATATTTTTGCAAACGTGACCAATTAAAAACCCAGATAGTCTAAGAGAGGATAATGGCCATAGTCCGATCATGAACCGCATTACTGTTCCTTAATCCTTTACACCCTAACATCAGTATGCATATTCTCCTTACTATTCTCTATACATTTCCTAAGGTGCTGACAAGGAGGAGTTTCTTTAACAATCAAGAGCTACTTCAGTTGGTGATCATTTCTTTTATTCTCTTGAACTTAATGTGTGATTCAAGGCTGATTTTGTAAGGAGAAATTAGATGCTAGTCACCCTTTGGGGCCCAAGGGTTAATAGCAGATTTGAAAAAGTTGCATTCGATCAGCTGTGTGTAATTCTTCCTTTTCTTTTGTTCAATTTTCTTAATGGCCATTTGAACCCATCACATTCTCCGTGATAGAGACCTTTTCGACTGAGTATCGTAAAAGCTAAAGCAATCATAATGGCCAAAGGTAAAAGTCACAGGGGGCCAACGAAAACTCAACGTACATACAAGTAAAAAGCCTTCTACGCGGGAAAGGCGACCGCTGACCGTTGCTCTAGTCACTTCGGACCTCAGCGATGGTCGAGAGGGTTAACATAGTTTTCTAGACCAATAATTTGAAGGGGAATGCGAATAAAGTAACGCAAACCCTGAGTAGTTTCGACACTTCAGCGAAAATTGCTCCAACACGACTAGAAAAACAAAATAAGCATGCCTTTATCACCAAACGTTGACAGTAGGCAGAAATGTAAAAGTTTTCACCACTTACGACTGTTACTACTAAACACGTTACAGAACAAAATCTGGATTAAAATCACAGTATTGTCAAACCTACCTCTTTTAACGGTGGGCCTGGGTCAAAGTCAATGTGTCGTTTCTTAAGAACAAGTAAATCATCTTGTGGAGCGCTAACATCAATCATTTTTGCACTATTCCCCAGATCCCTCGCGTCGTTACTTTCCTCGTCTCTAGTCTCTTCATCACTGCTCCCACTGTTTTCTTCCAATCGACTGCTCAGACCGATGACGTCAATCTGCGAGTCATCTTGCTTACCATACCTTTTCTCGGCTTTCTATAGAGTAAATATGCAAAGTGAGCTTTGATGTCGTGAAACAACGAAACCAACTGATATGCAGAACAAACTATCACTTGACCTTACCTTGAGAAATCTAATCCGAGGAGGATTGGGTAATCCAAGTGATCTAAAAACAAAAAATTACGTCATTATCAAGTGTACATTTCCCAATTCTGTTTTCATCAGATTTGTTTGTTTACTTTTCTGTAATATTTACAATTGCTCTCAAGGTATGTTCCGTCTTTTCTATTTCGTTCAGGTACCTTGTAAGGGGCCTGATTCCCTCGGTTCGTTGGTGTTGAGTTTCATGAAAAGTTTGGCGAAAACTCGGCAGTCAGCTTGACAGCAAGACTCAAATAGCGTTTGTTTGTTGTGAATGGTCAGTTTCAATCCGTTGGTAAAATTAGGTCGCTATGTTTGGTCAGAAGCATAAAAAAAGCTTCTAGTTCAGTTGATTGGTCATGCTGTTATCTACAATAAAATTTGTTGTTGTTTATTTTTTCGTTTCTTATTTTAAGTGGGGTGTGTTTGTATTTGACAATTGTCACCGGAAAGGAGTCTCAGAAGGCAGAAGGCACCTAGTTACTAAATTTCGATGGATTAAGCGAAGTCCACAGCAACACAAAACAAATGACTTACTGAGCGAACGCGTCCAACGGCAACTGATTGACATCGAAAATCTTTTTGTTTGACTGTAAAAACACGGATCTTGCGTACGATACAATACTCTGTAAAGGAATCAATTGAAAGATGAAATAAAATTGTAGCACTCGTGGCATCGATTGAACTCCAAATATCTAATTTCTAATTTTTCCCCTAGTTGATAAATATTCATTTGGCCCCGTAGCCCAATTGGAAGTACCACGCAATTAGCATCTGGGAGTCACAGGTTCCAATTCTCATAGAGACTTGATCCAGCGCACGAATAAATGACCAGATGTTATGGGATCACAACTTGTTTACCTTTTGTGCCCACTGCTTTATTTCCAAGTCTTGCGCACAGAAAGCTTCAAGTTTCTTTTGAATTGACCCAAGCTTCTGTGGGTTTACTCTGCAATTCAAAACAAAAGAATAACATACCACCTGAGCTAATCTCTGGATTGCAAAGCATCATGCAACGAAGAATATTGCTTCTCCCCCTCCCCCTACATTTTGTTAGATTTCTCTAGAAAGTTCCAGGTCTCCCTAGGTAAAGTCTGTTCTCGAGCCCAGTGACCCACAAGACTCCTGAGCTTATCCTGATTTCTGTGGCATGAAGCAACTAGGAGTAACACTTCTCCCCCCTGAATGAGATCTCAGTCCATTGCAGGGTTACCTCCTAGCACTTCATCAGCATAACTAATACAATCTTGGAATACAAAGACACACAATTGACAATTGCTCTTATATAGGAGACAACCAACAATTCAAGGGCAATTTAAGCATGAGGTGACCAGGAGTATTACTGCTCCCTCCTAGATGGATCCCAGTCCATCATGAGGTTACCCCACCCCTATGCCCCCAGCCTATCATCAACATAACCAATAAACGAATGTGAATATATGGAAGTCATATATTTGAACTATGGATAAAGTGTGAATATGAAAGCGATCTTTGCAGTAATGAACACTACTTGAGCAATAGTGAAAATAAGGCCTGAAAAGCATGAGCAATATGACTTTCAATATGACTTTCATATATTCACAGTTGTTTATTCACCACTTCACAGGTTTATCTGGTACCAACATTATGACCAGCTCCCAGTTGCCTTGTGAGCTCAGTTGGTAGAGTGCTTCACTAGTGTTGCAGAGGTAATAGATTCAAATCCAGTACAGGCCTAAACTTTTTTTTCAGGCCTTATTTTCACTACAGCTCAGGTAGTGTTCATTACTGCAAAGATCGCTTTCATATTCACATAATCAATAAAATCAAAAAAATTTTTAACAACCTTATTCTGTTTATGGGTATCTTTTTTTCTTCTAGAGCCTGAAAAAGATAATGAGGGCAATTAATTGGTTTAACCCAACACAAAAGGGTAAAAAAACTTTTTACACTCAGGTGACAATAAGATCAGTTCTTCCCTATGGTCGAAAGATAAATTTTTATGATGAATTAAGCCCATTATCTCATCCCTTTATTTTGAGAAACATGGAGATATACTGAGGCATTACAATAGGGGTGTCACCTTGATCATTTCTTGTTCTTCTGAAGGTAACAACACCAACAAAGACTGACCATTCTTTTGATACCTAAAAAAAAAGAAGCCAAGTCTTAAAGAATGTCTAAAAGGGACAAACACAAAACTGACTTAATGGTCAGCAATTCATTAAAATATCAAAGTCAAGGTATAAAAGTGTAATGGTTAAGGCTCCATATAAGAAAGTCTTGCATAACTGCCACCATTTATCCTGGTTTTTGGTGCATAAGTAAGTGACTGACTATTGCTAACCCCTATGGATGGGATGCAAGTCCATCACAAGTTACCCCCCCTCCCTTTGCTAGTTTGCCAGTACCAATTTACACTCTTTTGTGGATAAAGATAACAAAATTGCCTCAGCTAGGGCCAAAAACTGACACTGTGATGTGCCAACTACAAGGTCTTTTTATCATTTCCATTAAGGCACTATTTACTGGACTTATGGTCTTCACCCATGCAAAGTGACACAGCAGCAAAATGAGTGCACATGGTTGTAATCCATGACAAATTTTTATGAGGGCAAAGGAATGGGAATGACAACATTTCTTTAGTAACACCATTGTGAGAAAATGGCCACATTTTTAAATACCCATTGTTTATTTTCATCCTGTGAGGGTAAGTTCAAACCAAAACAGATAAGGTTGCTGTTTCAGGAAAGTTTCTATCAAACCTCTTCCATTACAAATTTCATGCAACAAAACAAAACATTGCAGCAACAGGTGTATATTTAGGTACTGAAGTAGAGCATCCATAACATGGCTACAAAGTTCAGAGTGAGTGCTCTGGCTTTAGCTGTACAATGTACTATGACTAAAAGAATGCTACTTATCCTTCAGACCTTTCCATAAGAACAGAGGCTGTTAAACTGTCCACTTGGTTCACATCAATAACAGTCCAAAAATGTGTAAAATAATGTCCTGTTCATTCCCCATTGAAATTTAATCACCTCAGAGTCACAAAATACTCCCTGAATGCTCCATTTCTGCTGAGCATGCATACTCATTTTACTGCTGCGCCAAGCTTAGTGGCATTTTCTTACAAGGCTCTTCCCACCTTCTGCAGCATTATGCAACAAGCAATATTGGTAACCCCCTTCCCCCATAGAGGATGTTCCATATTCACAGGTACCCATTTATGCTCCAAGCAAGCAAGATACTGTGAATGTAATTCCTTGAAAAGTTTTGTCTTCTGCTGAGAAGTGGCCCACGGGACTCCTGTGCTTATCCCAGTTTCTGTAGCATGAAGTGGCAAGAAGTATAGTTACTTCCTCTGGATGTGATGCTAGTCTATTGCAAGGTTACCCCCAGCATTTGCTAGGCTTCCCAGACAGTTTACCTATACCTATTTACATTCCTGACTGGAGGCACTGTCTGAGTTAAGTGTCATGCTCAAAAGACACAACACAATCAGGTGGTCAGGTTTCAAACCCAGACTTCCTAACTTGAAGTCCAGTGGGTAAACCATAAGGTCACAATACTGCCGTACTGCAAACATTTCCTTGCTAAATTACCTAGCTGTTCTTCCAGCTCGATGAATGTATGTGTTGGCATCCTCTGGACAGTCCAGTTGGATCACCCAGTGTACTGCAGGAATGTCTGTAGAATAGAGAATAAAGGAAATACCTATCAGCCTTCATGATACAAGTTCCTTCATCATGGTAGACTTTCAAAGGATTGCATCAACATTGTTTTATCCAATAAAAACTTAACTTCCCACGACTCCTAAAATACTCACCCAGACCCCTGGCTGCAATATCTGTAGCAAATAACACAGCCTCTGTCTTCTTACAGAAGTCATTATAAATTGCTACTCTCTTCAGCTGTTTTTGTTTTCCATATAGAGCCATCAATGGAATTCCAGGACGTAGACGACGAAAAGATTCATAAATAAATTTTACCTGATGGAAGAAAGAGATGATAGGAAGGCTACGTGAGAACACTTTGAGCCAATTTTTGTGCAGTGCAGAACTAACTTTAACTTGATGGAGACTACAATTTAATCAACAGGACCTTGAACAGTAAGGATGGCATGCTGAGAGAGAAATTGTTTGAAAAATGAATTAATATTTTCAGTAAGAATTTTGCAGATGTCTGGTCGCATTTACTGTTTCTTGCAGTGCCACATCTCAATTTCAGCATAATGTATATAAGCAGCATTGAGATCCAAATGGAAACTTAAATGATTTGATGTCTTAGTTTCTGTTTTCTTTCAGACCATGAAAGTTTTGGTCATTTCAAATTGTTATTTGCAGAGGATGGCTATGAAATGTACTAGGTTGTAAAACCTATGTGCTGGGCTATTGTTCTGCCCATGAGATCTTTTGTTTTTCCACTACCTCATTACCATCTTTGTTTGCTTATGGTCTCTAATAGCAGGGTAAGGCAACAAAACAAAAGCAGCCAATAATAAAAAACAAACTAACAAAAAAAGATGGCAAAGCATGGAGATGATTAAAATGGATTTCAAATGAGGAATTTAAAAATATCAACCTAAATTGTTCCAAATCCACAAACCACTTAACAGTTTCTTCATCTCTCAAAACTGTTCCTAACTGTGGAACAGCAAGATTCTGAGGAATCAAGTGATATGATACCATGTACATGTAAAGTTAGATTATGGCTGCTCAAGATGTTTAAACCCTTACCTGTTTACAACTTGAAACAAAGACAAGAATCTTACTCTTGATGTGATTACGGATAAAGGAATATAGAAAATTCAGCTTTTCTGGGAGTTCACAAACAACATAACTCTGAAAAAAAAAAAAGAGACAAACAAACTATAGATGTAACCCTGAAGTTTATATAACAGTGGACAAACAGAATGACAATTGTTAATTTTAATTCTTCCTACAGAAAGTACACAATTTAGCATAAGCTAATTTTAATGGAGCCCTACATTAATACATTAATGTAACATTTCATCCCCCTACAATGACCAAAACTGTATTTCTTCTTACAAAATCAATACATTTCCAAGCATAAATTAGTTGAGAAGTTTATAATTATATACACATGGGGGTGAAAGGTTTAACCCTTTTAACCCTAACATCAGGATGTATATTCTCCATACTGTTTTCTATATATTTCCTAAGGGGCTAACAAGGAGAATTTGTTCAACAATCAAGAGCTTCTATAGTTGGTGATCATTTCCTTCATTCTTGTGATGTTAATGTTTGATTCAGGGGTGATATGGTAAGGAAAAATTAGATGCCAGTCACTATTACAAATTAAAGGGTTAAAGATATATAAACATAATTACTGAATTCTTTTAACAAGTTTTACAAAAATTAATGGCAGTAGACAGAAAGAAAAGAATTCATCACTCTTTTAATCAGGCTACCCCCAAAAGATTATCAAATGCAACTGTATAAGAAACAAAATTACATAATCTACCTGAGTTAGCCCTTTTGGAGTGCTTGTGCTTGAGTTTTCATGTACAGCAATGTACTCAGGATCCTAATAAGATTGACATTAAGGAAACAGTTTTAATTCTCATTCATATTCATTTGTGGTAAATGAATCATCTAAAGCCAACCCAGATGAAGATAAAATTTTTTTGAAGGTGAATATCAAGTCACCTATTTGTGAAAGGTTTTGAGGCATTAGACACTAACCTAGCCAAACTTGCAAATAATCACCATCTGTTAGGGTTCACCTTTGGAGTTTGGTTTTAACTTTGTCACACCAGTTTAATATGTGCTTTGACATTAACAGTAAAGTCACCCTTCTTCAAGCCTTTCTGAAAACCATGCCCTTTAGCTAAAACCAGCAGTCAGGGGTTTCAATAAAAGTTGTTAACCAGTGATCTACTGCCACCCATAAAACCTCTCACAGCTGTCTCTTTAGCATGCCCCAATAAACCCCTAAGGGAAAGGGTGCCTTACAGCCTCTTTTCCTAGCACAGCCAGTCAGTTATCACCCATTGGCAACTGCTTATGGAAAAAGCTGTTGAAACCCCTACAACTAGTACATTTTGTTTGCCTTCTGGGATGGTCCTGACAATTTTTGGAGCTAGTGATTAGCTTAGTTGAACACTACAAATTTGTACCTGCAGACTCAACCTTGCAAGATCCTGTACTGATCTGCAACCAAAAGAGTAAGATCATTGCAATTCATAATATATAAAATATACATGAAAACAAGTTGGCTGGAAATGAGTGAAAACTAATGAGATTTTGGGAGCTAAAGGGTTGAAAAACCAAAACCAAAGTAATCTAAGTGACCCTTCCAAACAAAGGTTTATATCATCATTAGCCAATGAGAACTCAAAGTGAAAACAATGACCACACTGAATGACCTATATGCCATTGTTCTTAGTTTTGCATCTGATTGGTTAAGAGGATGAAGATAATTTTCTGGAACAATCACAGAGCAAAGTTATGAAAAACCTAAGCAATCCTGGATTCTTCTCAACACAATTGAAAATTGTTCTCAAATGTTGATGGACCTCTGGTAGATTGTTTTAGGAATACGATGGTTAAAGATGTACAATTGAAGAAAAATGTAAAGTAAGTGGGGAAATTTCAAGAAAGGATCTTCATTGACCTTGTTTGAGTTGCTGAATAAAGCATGGTCTGTCTCTCTTCTGGAAGATTTTCGATGATGGCATTCAGAGTAGCAGCAAACCCCAAGTCTAGAATTCTGTCTGCTTCATCCAAAACTAAAATAAGAAACAAACAAAAGATGGATAATTAATACAAACAAAGTGTGATCAGTTGGAAGACTGCCAGTAACCAGCTTTTATTAAACCCCAGACAATTTAATATATCAGTTTAAATTAATTTCCAAGGCATGGAACAAGCTTATATTGTATACAGAATCATTATGACAAATTTCTGATACCAAAGGCTTAACAACATTGTGCAATAATAATAAGAATATTAACAACAGTGATGATATTAATAATCATATAAAATTGGCTAGGTGGACACAATGAAAATTTAAACAGGCATTGAAATGTCACTTTCTCTCTTACCCAGCCCTTCTTAATCCTATTTGACATAGATATGATCTGGTAATAGCAGATTGATAATTAAAAGTGAACATTGAAGTTAAAAAAAAAAACAACAGAGCATAGAGCCACAGTAAAAATTGACATTGTAAACAAGAGAGAAAGAGAAGTTACACATTATTTTTTGGTTTATACTGTATTGACAACTTAAGCTTGTTGAGATTTCATTACCAAGGACTTGTAGGGAGTTGCAGGTGAAATCTGGTGTCTCATCCATGTGCTGGAGAAGTCGTCCAGGGGTGCAAACTACTATGTTTGTTCTCCTTATTCTCTCCTGTTCATGTTTTAAATCCTGAAAAAAAAAATCATAACAATTAAATTTTTAAGGGAAAAAATTTTATGAAGTGTGTACAAAAAAAAATTAGATAATAATAAAATGAATAAAGGGGGTAAATTTCTAAAGAAACTGTGGTGCTGCATCTGTGGGAGAGAATAGATACATGTAATAGAGAGTATATATAAAGAGTAGAGAGTATATATGAATTACAGTCACCTTTCCTCCAATGATAAGACCAGCTGAGAGATCATGTTTGCAGCCAATCTTGCATAATACTTCAAAGGTTTGATATGCCTACATACAAACAAACAAATCATTATAATTATACAAGTAAGAAACAAAGTGTGAGCTGTTGAGACCTTTTAGCTTCAATAATTTTTTTTACTGACAGCCTTATAAGCTTGCAAGGTTAGGTATAACTTTCTATATTCATTTGCTACTTGCATATTAACTTGACACTGTTCAAAGTTGAAGTTCTTCCTGTATAGTTTGCATTTCCATTTGAGGCTATCAAATTAAAGAGATATGGTACAAACAATAAAATTTAAAATAACTGATTTATAACGTTGGTGGCATTTTCCTACTCACAAGTTCACGTGTTGGAGAGATTATAAGGGCACCTAAACCATCAATAGATGACCACTGCTGTCTCCATAATGCTTCAATTACCTGATGAAATATTGTTAATGATTTAATATTATCAAAACATAGCAAAAGTATCCATTAAACAAAATTGAATAACCTTACTCACGGGAATAAGAAAAGCTAAGGTTTTCCCTGAACCAGTTTTGGCAGCTCCCAAAACATCATGGCCTTTTAAGGAGATAGGTATTCCAGCCTTTTGAATCTCAGTTGGAATCAAATAGCCAGCACCTATCAAGCCTTACAAATGAAAAAAAAAATTAAAATGGTTTGGAGAATAATTTTATGGTAAAGAAAAGACTAATGCAAATAACATACAACAAACTCAAATGAGTGTAACAGCTATGAACTAATGCAATACCTTGAAGTGTTCTTTGTGAGAGAGGTAGATCAGAAAACTTTGACACATTGGCTAAACCATCTAGCTAAAGGAACAGACACAAGGAGCAACAGTCAAATCACTGAAGTCAGAGATGAAAAATTTTAGGTACCACAAATTGAGCACTAAACTGGATAGCAGGCAGCTTGTCTGCACTTAAATTAACAGATGAATGACAAAACTAAAAGATGTTTGGGATGTAGAATTTTTTTCCCACAAGAGGGTTTGCTGCTTATAATTTGAAATTACATATAAAACTACTATTTATCCAGATAATGGCATAATTTGTTTATCCTTAAACTTACGCAACTGTAATTATTTACTTTCCTTGCTTTCTGAGTCTTTGGTCTCATATTGTTTATCAGATGGCCAGGGAAAAAAATCTTCTCATTAGTTTATTTCAATTAATTCTGTTCTTAAGCAGATCCTGGGCAGCGGCATATTGATTTCAAGGGAGTAACTTATGTTGATAATGAATACTGATTTTCAAGCTACTGTATAAGGGAGATGCATGGTTCCTAAAATTTTGCACTTTTCATAGTAATATTCCACAAGAGAGTTTCTTGTTCTATATCATCATCATTATTAGTATTGGTATGACTACTTTTATTTCATTTTGGTTTTTTCTCACGATTGGTCAGGAAAGATATGTATCCTAGGCATTTTATTGACACAAAGGTTATAAAGAATCCTTTGGTTTATTTTTGTTTGTTTGGTTTGTTTGTTTCCTGAGATATTTTTTCACAGATATGAACACAAAATGTTACTTCAAGATCTTATTAAAAGGAAAAAAAAAACAGACTTACGTCGATAGCTGATCAATTGAAGGAGGGATGTGGGATAAAATATAAATGCAGTCTCTTTCTCTTGTTGTTTGATTTACATTTAGCCTTTTAAACGACAAGTTTGCCGTGTAATACAACTTGTCTTTGCACTGACAGATAACCTTGCTTTAAAATTAATCACACCTTGGCAATATCACGCTATATAGGGTCAAATGACATTAGAACGTACAACAAACTGAAGCACGTGTTTCTGATGGAAGTCTGGTGCAACGAAAACACATTTTAACAAATCATTAAATCTTCAAGAATCAATCATCATAATAACAACTCACATCTCTGCAACGATCCTCTAACTCTTTGATTTCTTTATCTTCTTTCGCCCGTGTTTCTTTACGCCGTATTCGGCGATACTTTTCAGATTTCTTCCATCGTAACTTATTTGCTGCTTTGACGTCCGCCATATTGCTTTGTAGCCTCTCAGTCGTTCACTCAGGGTAGGTTACAAGGCAGGTTATTCGTACTGAAATCAGGTGACTGTCACCTGAAGTATTTGCAACATTTCTGTTTCGACATAGCTCTGTCGTGTCTTTAAGATCACCTGTAGTTTCGCGAGATTGATCTGAATACAAAATGGCTTGTGGTGCACCTGGTCAGGAAATGAAGGCTAATGAAGAAGTGCAAACGATTGTCAACGAGGTTTGTTTAGAACTCGTAACTGTAGCAAGCGCAAGTGCGTGACATACTTAGTTACTAACTTTATTTCTTCACATAGCGCATCTGAACAATACGTGTAGCTTGTTTCCTCTCACCATAAGAAGTTTGGCCGGACTACACCTCGCTAAAATACAAAGCAAAGCTTGATATACCACAGAAGCATGTCAAAAAGATAGGATTTGTAACAAATAACAGAAGTTTAGCTGAATTATCTACCAAGAAGTTAAAAAAATCATGCTACAGTTAAAAATAAATCTTAACTCAGAATTTGAAATCCCGAATGCGACGAGTGTGGGAGCTGTGATAGGTCTGTCAACCATGTTTTGCTTAAAGGAAAAATCTAAATGCATTAAGAGGAAAAACAGCAGTCTCTCATCAAGGATTTTCCTTGCCAAAACTAAAAAAAGAAAAAAAAATCCAAAAGATGAGTGCATCACCAAAAATCTCAACACCCCCCTCCTCACATAATGTAAGGTTAGATCTCATCATGGATCATGTTTCATGAAGGGCTGTGAAGGAGACCATCACTACTCATATTGCTTTCTCTGCTTCAGTGCAATCCTCCCAAGGCAGATCAATTAAACAACTTTAATTTTTCCTGCATATGAATTCATAGATATTCAGTAATTCTAAATCAGGTGTGTAGAAAAGTACTTATTGTATTTTTTCCAAAGTTCAAGGTAGCTCCCATACATTCTCAGTAAGTTGGCTTTTTGAGAAAAAAAAAACAGAAAAATGTAAACAAGGTTGAATTTATGAATGAATTTTTGAATGAATAAGTTAATTGATGTTGAAGTATTGTTTAATTTTGGGGCTTGTTTGAAGCCACATGTAAGGATTTTCGTCAGAGTAGCACTTTTTAATGATCCAATTCAGTCAGAGTTACCATAGGTCTGAATTTTAATTAAAAAAAAAGTTTTGAAATTTGTGCCATTTTGTCCTAACCACCTTTTATACACACAAACTTTGCACTTCATTAGAGGTGCTGGTCTGGAGAAACATAAGATTTGTCACCATTGTTATAATGACTTATTTGAAAAATCTGTGGTACTTCTTTTGTTAAGGTGAAGAGCCAAGCTGAGGCAAAAGCTGGTACAACATTTAATGAATTTAAAGCCATTTCTTATAGAACTCAACTTGTTGCTGGTACAAATTACTTTGTGAAGGTTTGTATTTGATAATTGTATAGATGTCATGCAATGTTAAGGCTTTCTATGCTTAAAATTATCACAGGTGGATTTATACTGATGGGAGGTTTTGAATGGTCCAAATAAGTCTCCCCTTCCCATAGGGGAGGCCAAGCAACCAAAGGATGAGGTACTCATCAGGGTGGGGTGGGTGGAAGTAGTTGTTTAGGGCCTAGCCCCTTATGAATCATCAAGAAAGATTTGATGGTAACAATGGGTATGCTGGATTCTGCGTGAAAAGGTTTGAAGTTGAGACCTGGTCAGCCATTGCGATGTGTTCTTGTGCAAGACACTAAACTCTTACAGTTCCTCTCTCTTCGCAGGATTATAGATGGGTACTCTCAAACTGTTAGTAAAACTTCTGAAGGGTAAACTGTAATTGACCAGCCTCCCATCCAAGGGGAGAAGCAATATTCCTAGTTACTTAGTTAATCTTCCGAAAACTGGAATGAGCTCCTGCTGGATGGGTGCTGGGTAACCCTCCCTTGTTAAGAGACTCTAGCCCAAAAGCTAAGGCAGGTTTTTTAAGATCATTCATTTCAAAAAACTGTTTGTTTTATCTTTCTTTTCACATTTAAAATTAAAGTAGTAACCTAGAACCATCTTATTCCATGATAACCTCCATTTGTTTTTCCAGGTGAAAGTGGGTGACTTGTCTTATGTTCATTTGCGTATTTACCAAACTTTACCACATGCTGGATCAACACTTGAGTTAACAGCCATCAAAACTGAATTGTCAGAGGGAGACAGCCTGGACTATTTTTAAATTTAACTCATAATTCAGTTTTTTTTGACCAATTAGAATAATGGTAATTTAGTTAGATACCAAAGCATGTCAAAGTGCAATAATTAATTTTTCTGAATTTAATACCTTTTTATGGCTGTTGGCACCTTATGCTTAACAGGTCACAGGACCTTACTGATGTAAACATACTTGAACTATAAATTTTTAATATCAATTCACTATTTATGTAATTGTGAAACTACTGCTCAATGAAGACATTTACATGTAGAGGACTTTACATGAACTCTCATCCTTTAGTTAATCAATAAACGTATCTGAATGAGAAGGAGGTTATGTGTTTTGATAAGATAAGCAGATTTTGGGATGGGTCAAAAAAGGCAATGTCTGCTCTCAAGCCTAGTGGCCCACTCTGCTGGAGCCTGTCCTGTTTTCTGTAGCATGTGACTGGATAGGATAATAGTCCATTACAGGTTTCCCTAATTTTACAGTTTGTGATTACCCTTTTGTATACTCCTGGGTGGAGAGCAGCACTGCAAGGGTCAACTATCCTTCCCAAGTACACAATGCCATGACCCAGCCTGAAGGTTTGAAATTGGTAAAGGTTCAAAACAGTCAATGACTATCCTCTTTCTAATCCAGTGGACCCACATGTAGTTTACCAACCACTTAATTGATGTGATCTATAATTCAAGGTCTCCTTTAATGAAAATTGTTCCCACTGCGGATAATGTGATCTGATGTAACTTGTGGAGAACATGTTTAAGTTCTCTTTTTCCCACTACCCCCCTTAATGAGATAAAAGTCTCTCTCATAATGATGTTTGACCATGTGAGGAATCCCTTACTAATAACCAACTTATGACAATTGGTTGCAGTCTTTTTAACAAAGCCATTGACAAAAACACTATACTCAAAAGGGCATTTCTTATCAAACAATGGTAAATCAGAAAAATTGAAATATGTAATTACCAGTAACTTTGACTTCCTTAAGAGAACATAGGCAAACATTATGCTGTACAAAATATTTATTTTAAATTGAATCTGTTTTAACAATTGGTGCATATCAATGAGCCATACAGAGAAGCAGCCAAGAAACAACTCCAAGTAAGATGCTCTGAATGCTAACTCTGGTGAAGAAACACAGAGCATTATCAATATTATTATTTGTCTTTTTAATAGTTACCAAATAATCCAGGTTTCCATTGAGACTCATCAGTTATGCATTATTCTAACAGCTTTTATTTTCTCCAAACTATCATTAGCGACCAGTGATTATGAACTCTGTGGTGCCCTCCCCTACAAGACTTTTTTCAATGATATCCTAAGGCCCAGAATTACACAATGCTTCTACCTCATCACTGTGATAAATAACTAACTTCATAATATTTTAAATCCCATATGTGTGAAGTAAGCTAGTGATCTAATAAGTCACCTTGAACATAAGTCAATGACTTGAGTAATGAAACACCCAAGACTACCATAAACAGCAAAACAGTTAATTGTGGAGGTTTGTTTCATCATTATTTAAATGCATTTGGTACAAGTGCTTTGCTGGAAAGGACAGTATGGTTTGAATGCATCAACTGTGATCCTAGTTTAGAATTCAACAGACAACCATCGCTAATAACCAAAGGAAAAACTGCCACAAAAACACAGGAAAATGGAAAAAGAAATATTTACAGGCTCTGTTGTTTGATCAAGAAGTATGAAGAAAAAAGATAGACAACTGTGGTGCTTTGCTGTCTGTGTAGTCCAACAAAGTCAATAACCTTCACTGGCCCCTCTACCTAAACTGCAGTCTCACTGAGTAACAGAAACACCCATCAAATCAATACATACATGGGATAAGATACAAGTTAAAATCAACTGAATTAATTGTAATTGTATGTTGCAGACATCATTGTGGTTTGAAATACTTCCAGCATCGTCCATTAAAAGCCTGTGATGCAAAAACAAGAGTTAACATTAATTTTACAATCAAAAACAGTAAGTCAAAAATGGGAAAATAGTTTAAAAATTTTATCAATATGACACCATGGTTTGGGGTGAGATGCTGGTAAACACATTTCCAATGGTGAAGCAAAGATATTGTTCAAGTATTACAAACAAAAACATTAGAAACTACAATGTCTTTATAATCATGACAGAAATAAAACTCATTCATCACTCCTATTCTAAAATTCTGTAATCTTGTTTATGTTCTTCCTTCAATATTTAACCCTTTACACCCTAACATCATTATGCATATTCTCCATACTGTTCTCTGTACATTTCCTAGGTTCTAACAGGGAGAATTTGTAAAACCATCAAGAGTTTTTTTGGTTGCTGATCATTTCCTTTATTCTCGTGACTTAAACCTTTTATTCAAGGGTGATATTGTAAGGAGAAATTAGAACCTTGTCACCCTTAGGGATTAAAGGGTTAAATGAATTGACAGACATCAATACTTCATTCTGTGCATGGAATGGAGCACAAGGTGCAAAAGACATCTTGTAAAAACCCACCTTAAGGGTCCTATTTTGTAAAACCTCTTCAACACTAAGTTCAGTTTGCATTAACCTAAGCTGTAAATGAACAGAAAAAGCCATGTAAGCTGGAAAGAATCCTTCAAGGGTCTGATAGTGATCAGGCTTGTGTATAACCTCACCCTCCAAAGATTTCATTATAAATTCTACTTACTGTCTGCAATTCAATACTTATGATGTTACTTTGGAGAATTTGGTATTGGATCAACTAATAATCACCTACTGATATCTTTCTTTCTTCTCATCTTTTGTCTGCTTGACACAGCATTGTTTTGGTAAGAAGAAATTCTGTTTTGGTCAGTCATGGTAGTTGAAGGGTTAATGACAGGAAAAACTGGAATATACCAACCAACTTTCAAGCTTCAACCCTCACTATCAATTGCATAGAGAGTATTTTCTCTCACACAGCAAAGAGCTCATCCAAATTAATTTGAAAAAAGTTGAATGTCCACTCAAGAAAAGAGTTAAAATTCCACAGGTATGGTTTGTATACTATGAGTAACAGGCTTTTAGCTGGATGATGTTGAGGAAAAATGATAGGGGGAGCAGGGATAGGATAGTAGTGAGAGCACTCGATTCACACTGCTGTGGCCTGGGTTCGATTCCCAAACTTGGCCTCACAGGTGGGTTTAGTTTGTTGTTGCTTCTCATCCCTGCTATCAATGGGGTTTTTCCTCTGGGTCTTTCGCTTTACCCCCCTCCATGAAAACCAACATTCAACATTCCAATATGACCTGCAAACAGTGGACTAAAAGAGCCACTTTATGGAATGTATGCTGCTAAATTCCCATTATCAAATTCCCACTCCTTCATATTGCTGTTACCTTTGTTTGTTCTTTTTTAAGATTTCTCATAATTTGACCATTCTCAGGGTTCTTTTCTGTTTCTTCTCTAAGTTGTTTGGTGTTTTCAGAAACTTCTGTGATGCATTTCTTTATGGCCTGATCTCTTGTCTTGTAACCTGACATCAACTTTAGATTAAAGAAAAAAAATGAAATAAAGTAGTAAAAATAATTCAAACTGAGTCACTCAAAGAATATGTACAATGTTGTCAGCGCTATTTCATCCATTTCTGAAAGCCTCATCACTTGGCCTTATTTAGGAACTTGCTGTGGGACTGAAAATGGGTGAGGACTTCTAAAAACAAACTTGGCCTCACAATCCATTTCAAATTGTTGCACCTTGGTCAGGTTACAACCAGATCAAGCTAAAACAGAACAATTTTTGTCACATAGTGCATCTCATAACCTTTCCATTGACAAGTAGTCTATGATGGTTATGCTTCAAATGGGATGTTAAACTAAACAATTTTTTTTCACAAAAAACAAGCAGAAGCTCTACGATATCCTTAATAGCAATTACACTAATGAGTGAGAAGCTACTGTTTTCAAGACAAATTAATAGCAATGATGGTAAAGATTAAGTAGACAATCTAATTAACATGGACCCTTCAGTATGAAGGGTTTTCATACAGAATTGTAGCAGAGGAAAAAGTGCAAAGTAACACAAGCATATTCTCCATCACATCTGCACAAAGAAAATCCCTCAGGATGTTAAAATATTCCTCTTAGAATTCTGGGTAGCAGGCAGACAAGTCTCCCATCTTTGGTGTTTACTAACAAAGTGCTTATAACCTCCTTGTTATTACAACAACTGAGTCAACCCAGGTATATCCTTGTAATCTTAATAAACTTACTGATCCAAACACTTAAGCCATTTTTTTTAAACAAGTTGATGGTTACAGCAATACACCTCGATATTGTTTCTTATTTACCTTATTATAAAGTTCTTGACATTTTTGTTCAGCATTGATTTCTCCAACAAAGGAATCTGTTGGAATACTTGTGTTTAACTTGTAAATGATTGTATCATCAACAAGTCTAAGAACCTTCAATGCTTCCTGCAACAAGACCAGGTAATAAAAAAAGTTATTTTATTTTGGCTTTTCTTCATGAGAGATCCATGGGCCTCATAGTCAACACACCATACTCTGGATACAAGTTCCTGCATCAAGCTCTGACCAAGTCATTTTAACCCTTTACATGCTAACATCAGTATGCATATTCTACATACTTATCTATGTACATTTTCTAAGGTGCTGACAAGGAGAATTTGTTTAACAATCAAGAGCATCTTTAGTTGGTGATCAGTTCCTTTATTCGTGTATCCTTTAGGTGTGATTCAGAGGTAATATTGTAAGGAGAAATTAGATGCTAGACACTGTTAACAGTTTAAGGGTTAAAAATGTTTTTATGGGGAAGACACTCCCCTCTAAAAGCATCTCCCTCCACTGAAGAGTACAAAATGCTGAAAGGTTAGTATTACATCCATGGAGAGAAGCAATTCTCTTGGTCACCTAAGGCTACAGAAATAAGCTCATTTTTCTCATAGTGATTGATCCATTTTGGTTCCTTTCCAGTAAATTTTTTTCATATCTGGTGCCAAAATGTGGTAGTTTCTCGTCTTAAATAGGGTCTGGGTTAGGGTTTGGATGTAGCAGATTAGTAGGAAAAATTTTGGTTACATTTCACAGGGCAACTTATCATGATATGGAGAATTTCCCTATGATAATGATTCCCACAATTTCTCTTTGGGCCTCTTTGGGAAAAGAACTCTGGTGGTATGGGACTACAAAGTAATAAGTTTTCTTGAAAATGGTAAATCTGCAATTGGGTAAGTTTGATTGGGTCTCTTCAAGTTAAAGGGTCCAAACAAACATGGCACTACCTTAGAGTCTGGTATATTGTGAGGATATCACAATTCCATAAGCACACACCCTCTCAACAACCTCCGCCTCCACCCTCCCTCCTCCCCATGAAAAAAAATCTCAGTTCATGAACTGTATCCAGCAGTAGTCCAGATCCGTAGAACTCTTCAACCCTTCGTCTTTACCCTTTAATTTTGATCAGTTGCGGTTAACTGACAGAGAATGACAGTAAAATGCTATGCCTATCATAATTATAAATTTCGGGTAAGGCAGTTGACGAGATCGAGCTCTGGCCTCTTAAATATTGGACTACGTTGCCCAGCAATGCAACTGAATGCAAATGCACTGTTGCACTGTTTTTCAAACATTAACACCTTAACACAAACAATATTACAGCTGATGTATTTGAACATTACAGTAGGGTAAGCCACCTTGAATTCCCCAAAATCTTCGCATGACATCTGACTCAGCTCTTTCCCACCGGTAGCCATTTTAACACACGTGCAAAGTAGATGATCTGTTGGTTGTTAAATGAACGAGATACTGATCCGCTGACTAGGTGATATCTTGAAAAAAGTTACGTCACAAAGTTCTTATCACCTGCCGGTACTCGAAAACGACTTCCCGAAGTTTAATATTTAATAGATCAACGCAAAAATCTCGAAATAATGGCTTGATGTCTGATTGCCATATTGTCTTTTAATCATTGCTCTCTGCTGTCAAAAGAACAGTTATGAAAACTTACCATCAGATTTTGATCCTTTGAGCTTAAGGCCTTGAAGATTTTGATGGAATTATTAACTGATGGCGTCCGTTGTATTCCGGCTTTGTGACAAAGCGCCGGATATTCTTAGAGAAGTTTGTTTGGAACGTGGATGGGAAGAATACGACGAAAGTAGAAGTGAATCGAATGGCGAGTGGAACTTGTGGTGGAAAACTCAGGGCTTTACTTCAGGCGAATTCGAACACTGTCGTCCCTGGCAACGCCTGAACCACTTCCCAAAATCGACAAATATCACAAAAAAAGATGGTTTAGCCAGAAATCTTCGGCGAATGAGAACGTCCTATGGAGGCTCCATGTTTGAGTTTTTCCCACAAACATTTATTCTGCCTAATGAGTATAGAAAGTTTGTTGCAGAATTCTCTAAGCAAGATGGCAGCCAAACATCCAATTACTGGATTTGCAAGCCGACTGAGCAGTCATGTGGGAGAGGTATTTTTATTTTTCAAGATCTACATGATCTCACTTATGACTGTGCTGTTGTTGTGCAAAAATACATTATCAAACCATTTCTTATCTCGGGTTACAAATTTGATTTGCGTTTGTATGCAATAGTAACATCATATCATCCTTTCCTTCTTTACATCTATCATGAGGGTCTTGTGCGGTTTAGCACAGAAAGATTTGATTTGTCCTCACTTGACAATCGCTTTTCGCATCTTACGAACACCAGTATTAACAAAACTGGACCACAATATTCCGCAGAAAAAGAAAGCATTGGAACTGGTTGTAAGTGGACACTGAGTAAACTGCGTCATTTCTTTCACAAACATAACATTGATGATCGCCTGTTATGGCACCGCATTACATCTATTATAATCATCACACTGCTTTCACAAATGCAAGACATACCTAGTAATAGTTCAAACTGTTTTGAGCTATTTGGCTTTGACGTTCTCATTGATGAAAAATTAAAGCCATGGTTATTGGAAGTGAATTTCTCACCAGCACTTGGTAATGATTGCAGTCAAGATGAGATAGTTAAGAAACCATTGTTGAATGATATTTTGGAGAGCCTAAACTTTACTGAGGTGGACATCAAGAGAGGGGAAACAGAAAGAGGAAGTAATTCAACCAGACAAAAGGGGTTGAAATTAAGCAGTGTAAAAAGTGGCACAGCAAGAAATGGTAAAAGCCTGTCCTCAAAATCCAAAATTGGCTATGATCTGTCTTCACTGGAAGCAGAATGCAGATTTAAGCAACATGCTGACTTTGTCAAGAAGCCAGTTTCAGATGCAAAAAAGCAGTATGCTCACATGGGTCTTCAAAATCAAAGGCCAAGCTATCTTCGAAGACATAAAAGTGATGTTACTCTGTCTGTTTTCAGCAAAAATGACAAAGCAGCAAACTGCAATCACAACGGCAAACTACCATCCTCCAAGAGCAGTGTTTGTTGTAATAGAAGATTCAGCACTTCAGAGTATTTTGTCAAAGCTGGAAAAATCAACTGCAATGGACCTGATCAAGATGAAATGAACAAAAACACAGTGGCATCATGTGATGACATTGGTTTTCAAAGTAACCCTGATTGTGCCACATTTGCAGAAGAAAATCTTTCACTTTCCACAGATCCAACAAAAGAAGTTGAAAAAAGTTGCACAGAAGGTGAACAAATATCTTCTTTGTCAACAGTGAGAGGTCAAACTGAAAGTCAGACATCTCTACATTTATCTCAATTTGCAAACAAGAGCAACCAACTGCCTCCTCACTTGCGCTTTTGTCGATCCTATTCAGAAGCATCATCACTTAACTCTCTTCAGTTGGTTGATAACCAGAGTTTGTCCAACAGAAGTCAAAAAACCTTGCATCACATTTCCTCAAGGTACTCAAGGCACCCTACAGGGAGAACTCCTAGAAACAAAGCAACTTCGGTCATTGTGAAACTTCAGCCTAAAATTGGTAATTGCATCCTTGCCTTTCCTTTTAATGAAGTGACACATAAAGCCAGTAAGGGGAAGCTAGAGCAGAAGATAGTTGTTACAGAAATCAGGAAAATGTTGAAGGAAATAAGTAATGACATAAAATCAACACCACTTCAAACCAATGAGGAATCACTGGATTTACAAAAACCATTTTGGGGGTATAGGTTAAAATTCAATACCTTTTATAGCTCCTTACTACCAGATGTTCAGTAAGAAGTTTCCTCTTTGTTTTTCATTTTCTTGGAGAGTATTGGTGTTTAAGCTATAAAATTATTTTTTGAAGACGGTAATGTTTGTTAGGATTACTTTTTGTGGGGTTTAAAATGCAACAATTATTATTATGCCAATAATTTGAATTAATTTTTGAGAGAAAATGGTGACATAATTAAACTGCACCCTTTAATAAAAAAGAAGGTTGATAAAGAAAAAGGTTTAATTTCAAAATACTTCATTTGGAAGGTTTAATTTATTTTGGTGAATGAGGGCTTTGAATTAATAGCTTAATGAATTAAACACAGAAGCATTAGGTTACTTGGAATCACACACCAAAAAAATACAATGTATTTTGATATTAAATAACTTAAATAAAAATAGCTTTTCTTTTTTTTTTAAAAGGAGAAACAGATAGTACATAAAAGAATCAAAAGTGAACAAGTTTAAAAATGTGTTGCTATAAACTGCAACATTCATGTGAATTTCAAAAATGCATTCCCAATTCAGTTTTCCATAATGTGTTTCATTGGCTTATGATCTCCTTTGTAAACTTGCCAGTGTGCAACATTGCATCATCTGTAATAGGTGCCTTATCAACCTTTTCACACCCAGAAGTGACCAAGAGGTAATTTCTCCTTACAATATCAATATACTATTCAGCAGAGAGGTGTTTAGCATAAAGAAAAATATCAACAAGGACATACTCTTTGATTAAAACAAAAATCTCAGAACTGACATATTATAAAATGTATGGAGGTAGAGAAGAGAATTTCTCTGGAGATCTGGGGAGTGAAAGGGTGTAACCTGCGTACTAATGATTTTGGTTAATTCACATGAGGAATGATTTTGACAATGAAAAGACTTTTCTCATGCATGTGTGCTCTCTTGCATGAATCTTGTGTGCCTTCTCATTGCCTGCCATGGAAGTTGCAAATTGTGTTAAATTAGAGAATTCTGTTCCACATTGGTAAAAGTGCTGATGGGAAAATTGTGATATGATGGAGAAAAACAACTCCTGGCATGATGTGATACAGTGTGATTTGGAGTGTTAAAAAATAAAGCATTAATTTCAAAAATTTGATACACAACTCTGTTTTTTTACCCATCTCTCAACTCACTTCCCATTTAACAATTACTCCCTCTCACACAAAAATGTTATCAGGAATCTTTTTTGGCTGTAACGCTAGTAAAAGTGGCTTTCCACAATTTATTTAATCATTTGTCACAGTCAAATCAATTCTTAATTTATTACCTGTGGGGATGTGGGGAGGGGTTTAAGGGATGAATCCTTTAGGCAATTTTTCAGGATAGTCTACCTTGGGGCTGTACACCCCTCCCCAACACCCCACCAGATTTCAGAAATGAGAAGTAATCTGCCTTAACATGTTCCTTATGGCTGATGAAATCATTTTTTGAAATTATTTAAGCTGGGGAAGGAGTTTACCTGAAGGAGAGGATTGAAGAATATTCTTGAGGTCCCATGAGTGTATCCGCGTTGTTTGGAAGTGTGCTTGTCAGCGGTTACCAGTTTAGCACATGTGATTCATTTCTGAATGCTCCTTCCACCGGCCTATTCCGAAGATTAGAGGGAAATATCTGCCATCTTTGCCTGTAGCATTTAAGGTATTACTGAAATAATGTCGACAGATCAACTGCTTCTATGTTACAATAAGGGTTGTGGAAAACAATACAAAGACGACGAAAATGGAGAAGGTAATTATTGTTCGTTGGACAGTTGACAAGCCAAGTAGGAAGTGTCTTGTCGTTTGTGTGATACTCAAAACTTTACAAATTTTTTCCCACTCATTCAATAATGTCGACTATTCCTTAATCTACTTTTTCGATCAATTTTAAAAGTGATTTATATATTTTCTATTGTGATTTTGTATATATTTGGAGCGATCTTCAGCCTTTTTGCTATCCGACAGTTATATTGTATTTTACATACGCAATATGCGTACCACTATGCGTGTTTGTCCAGGATGTACCCAAATAGCATTGGTTAAAAGTAAAACGTTTAACGGCATTTTTGAAATCGAAGAAAACTATACATAGCAATAGTTGACCAAACAACATGCTAAATCTCCCCAAGCTGCAAAAGTGACAACCCAAATGGCCTCTTAATCAAGCTCGCATTAACTCTTTTTATTTTATGACACAGGTTATTTTAGTTTTGGTTATAACTATAACACTTGTTTAAGCTTGTATAGAGATATTTTTTTTTCTTTTCTGATATTATCCTGAATGTCTGTTGTAAAGAGGTGATATTATTGTTTTACAGATGTGTGTTTACATCATCCAGGCTGTCCAGTATTTCATGATGCTTTGAAGGTTAGACAGTACGTTTATATTGCAAGATTCTCCAGGATAAATCATTGTATACCTGAGAGGGTTATTTGTAATTCAGTTCTGCATTCCTAACTAATGTCAATCCTCTTTTTGTCACCATCTCTCATAAGCAACCACCTCTCGTAAGCAACCACTCTTAGGGTTGTTTGTTAACAATTTTTAATTTTTTTAACCTCCCATAGACGACCACTCGACAGACAATTGGCTTTATCTCTCACAAGTAGAAACTGAAAATTTTTTTCAACAGATGTTGTAAAAGTGGAGCTACTGGAAGTGTTTTTCAAAGTAGCTTTTAACAACATGAATAAAGCATCGGAAGAATTGATAAAATACAGATGCATATTTAATCACTTGTTGGAAAAAAAACTCTGATCTTGTGAACACTAGACATGTATGTGCATAACTGTAGGTTTAGATAAGCTCTGGCACAAGTATCTGGTCACCACATGCAAATTACCCAAATTTTAGACCCCCTGTGGCATGACCTCTGGTAAGCAACCACCTCCTGTGAGCAACCAGCCAGACTTGACATTTCAGGTGGTCCATTACAGGAGGTTCCACCATAGTAAGCTTGCTTATTAACTGTCTACTCCCATGAGTAACCAAGGCAGTATTTCTGTTAACAATATCAAACAGAAAACAAGAGAGAATAAATTGAATTATCAGTTATGAGATTCATAGGTGATCCAGAACCAAATTCTCCGAACTAACATCATATGTATTTTAAGACAGACACTAAGGAGAATTATTAATGAGATCTGAAAGTGAAAAGGATTAAATGTTGTTAGTTACATCTACTTTGACAATAGGGCCATTTGCAAACAACAAATAAAAAAAAAAAGAGTGTATTGGATACAGGTATGAGATATGTGGTGATCATAGTCTGAAAGAACTGAAGAAAAAAAAGAAAAGATGACAAAAAGAATTTGCTTTGATTTGAAGGGCTGGTCCTGTTGCAAGAGAAGAGTTACAGATTTTACAGAATTCTTGAACATTAAGGTAAGTTAAGATAATCATGGTTTATGTTTTGTTCTGGACATTTATTAATGGAAACTGGCATAAGAACCCAAAATGTGGCAAACAAATTATGTAAACATGGAACAGATTTTTTAACATATTTTCTTTCTACTAGGGTTGCACTAAATCGTGTCATAGTAATGTGAAACCTCCAGAACCAGAAAAACCAAATAAAGATGATAAGGCTCTTGGACTTGATGAGGTGAGTTTCAATGACTGCTTTTCAGGGCTGGGTTTTTATGATTCCATTGTGTCTTTATTAACATATAATGGTACCCTTTATTTTCAGGTGATTAAAGTTGAACCACCTAAACGAAAACCAATACCAACTGAACCTGCAGAAAGACCAAGGTATATTTGTACCAACTCAATGCTGCAGCTTTGATTTTTAACGTCATTTACCATGCCCTCAAGCTGCTATAGAGTTCCTTGTTAATTAGTCACTAGAATTTTTGTTGGATAAAGATAACAACTTCTACCTGATAAGCTTGAGTATTCTCATTACCAATTTGCCAGATAATGTATAGAAATAATTGGGAGAAGTTACATGTTGATCACTTCTGGGAGTTTAAGAGTTGAAATGGGAATGAAAAAGGTCTTTCTCTTTATTTTTTTTACAACAAAGTTTACCCAAAGTGTTCATGTTTTACATAATACTGTCAATGTTCTTGTTTCAGTGATGACCTCCCTAAAATAAAACTTAAAATGACAGTAGCAGATTCTTTGAAGAAAGCCTTGGTAAAACTTAAAGAACAAGAAAAGGATAAACCTGGAGTTTGTGAATGTAAGTGACTTAAAAATGTTTTTCAGATAATGAGACTTACTGGGAAAATGAATTTATGGTGTAAAAGTTGTACAGCATGAGAATATTGTGGGGGGGTGTATAAATGCCGTTAAAGGGTGTTTAAAAGTTGTGGCTGACCTTGGAAACAAGGATTGTTTCATTTTAGGTAGTGAAACTGATGGCGGAATTAAACCTGGAACAACTTGCAAGAACAGTGGATGTACTACAGTAAGTTTTTCAGATTTATTAGTGGGATAAGTCAACCTTTGAAACAGATTTCTAACCCTGTTATTTGTTGTGCTATTTTTCAGTCATATATCGATGAAAGTACAAATGATGATAAGTGTTGGCATCATTATGGAGTACCAGTGTTTCACGAAGGGTAAGGAACTGTCAACTTTGATAGACAAAATTAGTTTCAAATTGCTCTTAACTCTCCTGTGTTTTTCTACCCCAGGAAATGATTACACAGCACTTTTTTCCAATTAACCCTTTAAGTCCTGAGAGTGACTAGCATCTAATTTCTCTTCACAATATTACTCTGATCTAATATTAGTTATGAAGAAAAAGGAAATGACTGCCAACTTAGGAAGCTTTCAACTGTTAAACAAATTCTCCTCATCAGCACCATTGTGAATGTAATGAGAACAGTATGGAGAATGTGCATACTGATGTTAGGGTGTAAAGGGTGAAGGGCAATTCTCTACATAGTTAGGGAATCAAAACATTTTGACAACAACTCATGTTGAGAGAAATGGCTGCTTGGCCACTATTGCTCAGGGCTTTGGATCAAAAGATTTGAGTCCAGACTGGATCACTTCCATATGTTCTTGGGCAAGGCATCAGACATTCACAGTACTTCTCTCCACCCAGGAGAATAACCAGTTCTGGAAAACTGTCAGGGAATAATGACAAAATTCTAGGGAGAGTCCCGGAGATGGACTTGTTTTATTTCCTGTCTCTTCGTACCTGGACTCAACTTGCCCTTTCACCCTCTTGAATGCCTAGCGAGTAATTTCACTTTCAAAATGTCAATACATTATCCAACAGTAAAGGTGACGAGAAGAAAGAAAAATATCAATGAGGGAATATTGTTTGATTTAACATCAAATTCTCACAGATATAATGGTAAGAAATGTACTGAGGAAAGAGAGGAGAATTGATAATGAGATCTTGGAAGTGAAGGGTTAAACTTCAGCGGTATGAACCCCAGGGTTCATAAGGATTGACTTTACCTTAACCCATTTGTTGACAAGGAGTACAATACACTTTCGACTGTTTTCAGGTATAAATTTTGGTCTTGTTGTCGGAAACGAACAACAGACTTTGATGAGTTTTTGAAACAGGAAGGATGCACCTCAGGGTCTCACAGATGGGAACTAACGGAAGAGGTAGGTGACATCCAAATTGATGTGTTTGTTGTAATTTTTGCTGTGCAAGGTCCATTCATGAGCTGTAATGGACAAAGTATTATGAAATACTTATATTTAGCATCATACATACATTTAGATTTTTATCTTATTGATGTATTTTTATTTGCAGGAAAAAGAGAAAAGAGTATTATGTCGGTAAGATTTATTAGTAACTTTCAAGCTCCCTTAAGATCAACCAAATTTAAATCTCTTTGCTCCCCTTTGTCAGCACTATTTAACTAATGCATTCACTTTAGTCGCTTTTCAAACTATTTATAACATCTACCTGTACAAAACTCTGATAGAAATTAGTGCAAATACTACTCTGGGTGTGTTTTCAAATACAAAACCTTTGGGTACAAGGGATTGTAAATTCATAACCCTGAGCAGAGGGGCACTATATGCATAAATTTGCAGTGGAGCTAAAAGAAGATTGTTTTGGTCATGTTTACAACCCTTTTACTCCTTTTGTTATTACACTAATGGGCAGACAGATGATGAGAGGTAAGTAAATTACAGAAACTGAAATTTGTTATTAGTTGGGAGACAGTTTAAATCCTGGGAATGGATCATTTATGAAAGAATTCCTACACAAACCATAGATTTGTGTTCTTTTCTCAGGTATGATTGGTACAAGATGGGAAATTTTATTGTCATTTCAGTATTTGCCAAGCTAAGTGATCCTCAACAAACTTTTGTAGAAGCAAATAAAACAGTTGTAAGTTGAAAATATGTCCAAATATATAGGTCACTCCACATAACAATATGGACTAGTGATAATTAACAAGACAAACTGCACCTTACACACTGACTTCCCAGTAACTGTGAAGAGCAGCTACCCTCTTCCAACTGTCAGCCGCCAGATAATGTTAAATGACAGGCAACCAAATTCCCTGTGTCTACAACACTTTGCTGGCAAGAAACTGTTCTACTCACATTACCATTATACCTTGTGAATAAGTGCCCATGCTGTGAATAAGAACCTTCCTTACAGATGAGAGCCCACTCCCTTTGACAATGTAAAACAAGCACCACCCTCCTCCCTCACTTTCTTAAATTGTAAGGATACAAAGAAACCCTTTCCTATTTACAACTTTTAAGCCTTACCTTAAGCAGAATCAGTATAGGAGAATAATAAGCCCCCTACCTCCAACAAGGGTCCCCTTTTTTTTTTAGCTGAAATTTTAAATAAGTGCTCAGGTGCTCAATTGCAAAAATGCAGTAACTGAAAAGCACAATTATTTATTTTTACTTCAGGTTAAAGCCCATGTGGTGTTTGGGGGTTCAAATATATTTGAACTTCAGCTCAATCTTCATGGGGTAAGTTGTAAATTATTTAAAATTACTTTGGAAAAGTTGGCTTGGAAATCCAATATACAAAAAATCAAATCAGTGTTGTAGCAGTTTTTAAAATGAATTATTATATTAGTATTCATATCTGTTAGATCCTTTTGGGATTTGTATTTTTCAAGGTTGTTTTAGATTTAAAGTTAATATGTTAGGGCCATATGGGAGAAAACAATATCCTATTATAACAATATGCTCTCTTGAATTTAAGTGTGTGTTGGATGTTTATGTTGGAATGTTTATTTCTTGGCAGTCAGTGTTGTTGCCATTTCAGCTCACTAGTATCAATTCAAATCTCGTTGTTTTAGTTGGTGCTGTACAGTTTCCTGACCAACAACAGTATGATTGCAGTTTAGCAAAACCCAATGAAATCCCTGGTTACCCTAACATACTTGCCAGACAGACTTGCCAGACAGACATTGATCAAAACATTTCTAGTTGGAAGGAGTTAAATCTTATCACTATGGTTTCTTTTTAAAGGTGATTATTCCAGAAAAAAGTTCAGTGTTGTTATCCCAGACAAAGGTGGAGATAAAACTACGAAAAGAAGATATTGGAAACTGGCCTTCTCTGGAACTAAAGAAATCCACGGAAGAAATCCCAGCGAAAACGGAAGAGTCAAAATAAATTCAACTTTCACAATGCGTAACATAAAATACAAATAACAGATAGCTACATCAAACTACAAGTATCACAAACGTTTTCCTGTGCGTGGCAATTTTTGTTGTAGTTTTAGAATCCCTTAAGGTCCTTATTTAATCTTCTTCCTGCTCGCTTTTGAAAAAAAGAAAAAGGATAACAAAGAGAGGAGACATTGCAGTGCAATGATTATTTGGTTATTTCGCTATTGATTTTCTTTGACAAGACACCACGTGAGCCATTGAACTCTTTTTTAATTAAGCTGAGGAACTGGCAAAAATAGTCCGACAAAAGCATTGTCATTAGAACAGATATGCTGCCTTTTTTGTTGGCAATATGGTAATAAAGAAATTGGAACTGATTGTGACGGTTGTTTAGGCAGCTGTTCTTTCTCCTTTTGCCGAAATGGCACCCGAATCGCACGCGCTACTTGCTTCAGCAATGGTACCCTTGCTCGTCAGAGGGCGTTACCACAAGGATGCACTAGTTAAGGCAATACTACCTACTGGTCAATTGAATATTTGTTTCGCTCCCAGTTAGTTGCATAAGCACGTCACCTACGCCTAAACAACCTATTTGCGTAACCTGCTGTAAACATAAGTGAACTCTTATTTGGTAATTTTTGGTATAATCCTCAGACCAACACTACAAAAATGTTTCACCCACAGCTAGTGCAACTGCAGTTTTAATTAGAGTGCTATAGAGCGGAAAATGTATATTAAGAAATTCAATTGTTGCTGTTGTCTTAAACGTTATCCCGAGTCCTTTTGAAATAACTGCTGACTTGGCGAGCGGAAAGATGAGAAAGATCCTATCAGCTGATTTGCTTCTCATTTTAGCCAGGGTGGAGAGAGAGGTTCCTCTCTCTGCCCTATCATTACCGTCCCAGTTTCCCCCCAACAAAATAAGTTTTCCGTCAGTTAAGAACCAAAACAGACACAATCAGGTCTAAAAACGATGTAAACTACGAAAAACACAACTTCCGACAGCTTAAGGAAAAATTTCAAGTTCGCGTTTTGATACTGCGTTTGTAGAGGGTGGTCAGAAAGGGAAAGCTGATCCGATGGTCAAGGCTCTACTACTCTAAGGTAACTTTTTGGTCCCAAGCGTGACCAACCGAAAACGTTCCTTCGCGAGTGAATTGTCTTTCCGCGATCGACTGTTACTGTGCCAGATTCACAATTTTACTGTATCTGTAACTGAGCATTCCCTGAAAACAGTGAAACACCAACAATGTAGCACCATTTCTGCCTAAATTTATTCCAAATCCCTTTTAAGAAGCTCCTCGACATAATGGCACAATTAAATTAAGGTACGTCAGTCAGTTTACTTCACCGGAGCACTTCTAAGAATACTTTTAAAAAACCACGGAACATTTTGTGTTCCTCTAACTACCAACACTTTCATAATCTGAGGTACTTAAATTTGTACTATTACACGAATGGAAGCACATACCGTTCATTTATTAAGATAAAAAGTTAATTTAAACCGAGACCTAGCACATAAAACTTTTATGATTAATAACTTATTCGTCTTAAGCCTCAAACACATTTATATATTAATATTACGTGACATTCATTGAGAAAATAAATTAATAACATTGATAATATTGGCGCGTAGATAACATAAATAAATATCCCAGTACCAACGACATAAATGTCCTCTTGGCTTCGACATTAAGTAAAGAACTTTTTTTACGTTTTCTCACTTTTTTATTCTTCAATCTACGAACACTTTTTCTCTAACACGTTAAAATCTAAATTGAAAACCTCCTGCTCGAATTCGAAAGAGATAAATTATTTTCGTGATAAATTTTAAACTAAATTACGTTAAAAGGACAATCTGTTTAGAGGGTAAAAACAGCCCGTTGCAACCTTGCTTAGGTGACGGCAACATGCAAGGAATTGCTGGGCGATTTTTGTTAAACTTTTTTTAAGCAGACGCTTTTATTCCAGAGGAGCGGGGTTGAATAACATGTATCTGTCCCCCCGGACCCGCCAATGAGGTTTCACCCATCAAATCAAGGTCAATTTGACGAGCCGCTTGTCGTCCTTCAGATATGGCTGTCACAATCAGTGACTGACCGCGGTGACAATCTGAAGAAAGGAAAACAAAAGTTAACCCTTTGACTCGAAGAGTGGCTTGCATACAATTTTTACAAATTGTAAATTTCACCCCTAAATCAAACCTTAAGGTCATGAGAATAAAGGAAATTATCACCAACTAAAGAAGCTGTTGATTGTTACACTTTCTCCGTGTCAGCACCTTGAGAAATTTATAGAGAACAGTATGGAGAGTATGCATACTGATGTCCGAATGAAAAGGGTTAATTCATAAATATTCGATACGTCAGCCCTAGAGCGTAACAGAAGACGACGTCAAAATCATCTAAAAAGTAAAAACATCAGTAATGCGCCTCATGTGTCACGTTTTTGTTCTCACCACATTTTGACCTCCTCTGTGTTCTCTTACAGGACAGACACAAGGCAAAATGGAACAATTTGTTCATTATTTTTTAAACTTTTTCAACAATCATCTGCCACTACCATTCAAGCAACAGACAAAGCTCACCTCCTGCAGCATAGACTTTGGGAACACTGGTCAGAAATTTGTTCTTTTCGGTGGCAAAATTGCTTCTGGGATCCTGCAGACAAAGATCCAGAGAAAAGTTGACGAAGAAAAAAACAAATTAGAAAATCAAACTTGTAAAAACACTTTAAACGAACCTTCTTTATCCCAAACTGTTCTGCCAATGTTTTTTCGGGACCTAAAAATCCCGCTGCAATGATCACTTTATCCGCTGGGAACACTTTTTCCGAGTTAGGTATTTCCTCCATTGTCCACCTTCCAGTAACATCCTGTTGATAGTGAAAAAGTGACACGTGTTGTGTTAGTAATCTTAGGTTATCCTTACACTTTATTTCAATGTTACCCTAAAATAAGGCGCAGTGGGTGCGTGAGGAATTAAAAGAGGTTAGAGTTTACCCTGGCACCTACTTCAGATTTTTGTCTACAGCGTTTAGGTAGTCAACCCTTTAACTCCCAGAGGTGATTAACATGTATCTTCTCCCTATAATATCCATATATCATTCAGCAAGCAGGTGATCATTATACTCAAAATTAACAGGTAGAAGTTTGTTATCGTGACCTAACATTAAATGCTCATAACTAATCTTAGAGGAAATCTGTAGCAGCTACAGGGAGAATTAACAATCAGATCACAGGAGTTTAAGGGTTAAAAGCTACAGCGAAGGCAAAGAACGTATAGCTTCATTCGCGTCTCAAAAACAGGAGTCTGTGCCAAAAATATCGATTGACGCGGTGAGTAAGAGATGTGGCGCATGTTTGCACGCACCTTGTGCGCCTGTTTCCAAGCACCTTCTTATTAACTTGAGTGTTTGATTTAGAATAAAACGTACCTGGACCCACTTGATCTGAACTGTTTTAATTCCTTTAACGTGGCCTTGCTCGTCTCCCATGAATTCCTGGAAGCAATAAGATGTGTAATTTGAATGTAAGAAGAAAATATGATCAAAATCAATACACTTAATAGAGAGATAGAAAGAAACCGATAATCTGTATTTACCTTGCTCATGATACTGAAGACACGAGGATCTGCACCATATTTGAGAGAGGCCTAAAGGAAATAATGAGTAAGAAACCTAAATAACGATTATCAGGCTGAAAACATTCCTCAATAATTCCCCAATCAATAAGGCGGATTGTAAGGTGGCTAGCTTAGCTCGAAGTCCAGTCACGGGGAGGACGTTGGGTGGGCGTAGCCCAATTCATTTATTATATCTTTTGCACTTATTGTAAAACAAATTAACAAAAAGTTTGTAGCTGCTGACGAAAAAGATTACTGTGGCCGCCATTCTTACGTTATATAACTTTGAAGGTCTGTTAGAGATCCTTCGACAACTCTAGCAGCGGTCACTTTAGGCTCTAAGAACCTAAGCAGCACCAAACCGCACATTCAACCCTCTAAAAGATTCAACGGGCACCTCTGTAAATAATACACGATAGCAACTCTGAGGTTGAACTAAAATTATCCTTCCCCTTAAAAGTGCAAGATATGTTGACATAGTGAATTCCTAATAATAGCAATCATGTTCCAACAATTGCGTCAATTGGAGAGAGCCTACCTCTTCATGGCCATATTCCACTCTGAACACTCGCGGCCAGAGAGGCCATGGGTTGGTAGAAGTTCTACTCTTGGGAGGCTGGCCTAACACTTCGAAATTTGTGATGCTCTTAGCATTCTGTATATCAAACAGGAAAATATTTCATAGGATGAGTTACTTGCAGTTTACATCATCAGAACTGAAGATATACTGATCCCAGCCGATCTCTCCTATCGTCATCTTAGACAAATAATGTTACAGGAGGCATGCTTGTACCTGTCTGAGGGAAGTTCCAATGCAATCTACCCCAGTATCTCCTCCACCAATAATAACAACATCAAGTCCAGTGGCATCAAGGGATGGCAGGTTATAGTTTCCTGCAGAAACAACAGCAACACTGATAAGCCATCAAGCAACAAGAAAATATCGATTAAAGATTGTCTTAACTGACTAACTCATTCGTTCTCTGCCCAGCTGACTGAAGTACTAGCTAACTGACTGGCTGAATGACTTACAGAAAGACTCACTCTCTCACTCGCTGATTGACCTACTACCTGACTGGCTGACTGACTAGCCGACTGACTCACCAATGACTGACAAACTGACTACCTTCAATTTGCTCTGATGAGGGGCTAACACTAGAAACGTCAGCTTAAAAACTCTTTACGGTGGCCAATTTACATCACCAACTCAGTTGATAAAACCAAATTAACTTATTATGTTCCCAGCTCCCCCCTCCCCCCAACGCAGCACCACAGTCTCTTTAGAAACTTACCCCTTTATTCATTATGACTAACTACCTGACTGGCTAAATCAGTGAATGACTAGCTCACTACCTCACTGACTCACAAACTCACTGGCTTATTTTCATTTTTATGTGAGGTTTTTTAATATTTTCTTCGGGTTCAATGTTTGAGTCCATTTCCATACAATGGGGAAAAAGGAAAATACAACGCATTGAAGGGCATCTGAAAACATTTTAAGAAAACTACCTACCCATGAGCCTCTTTTGGCATGTTTCCAAAAACTGCATGGCAAAATGGATTCCTTCCAAATCACGTCCTATAGTGGAAGAACAATTGCGAAGCATTAGAGTAAAGCGCATGCGTAAGCTTCGAATCGCTACACAGCCTACCTGGGAGTGGAATGTCACGTGGACATGTAGAGCCCACAGCCAGCAGAACAGCGTCGTTTTCTTGTAACAGTTGTTGCGCATCCATATTCTTTCCAATCTCCACGTTATTAACAAACTTGATTCCCTCAGCTGCCATCAGGTCCAGGCGACGTTGCACAATCTATTGAGACAAAGAATCTTATTCTAATCAAGCTAAATAGCTTCATAAACTTACAATTCTTGTCACTCGCTATTCAATTATTTCAAGAAAAACCTCTGATATCAGTTACAACGATGGCAATTCGCTGGTCTTAGTACATCTGGAAAACTTAACAAAGCAAGTGCAAGGGAAACGTGCACATCAAACTAAAAGATGTATTCGTGAGGTGCTCTAAAAGTTTTGTTTTTCAAAAGCCGTGGCTAGTAAGTGGGAAAATCATCCCAATTCTCTCTATATGACACAACGATTAGAATACTGTCTCTTCCCCTGAGGGGGATGCCAGCTCCTATCAGATTAACCCCGCTCGAAAGTGTCGTTAAGTTTCCCGTACAATGTTCACCAGGAGCCATTTATTCCTTTGGTGAGGAGACGCACTCTCCCTTATAACACAAACCACGTCTTGCACCCAGAATATTCAATCTGAGTACTCATCATTCGGACGCGTCCTCCACAACTCAAGTATTATCATATGACCCCTAAGGCCCCGTGCACACAGTTCCTTAGAAAACCATAGTAAAAGCTGATGTATGTTGGGCCGGATTGGTTGACGTGAACTAGTCCTGAAAAAGGCGAATGGGCCAAGTACACTTGTACGGCTTTTAGCGGAAAAAAAGATAAAAAAGAAACATTGTTCGTGTTGTTAAAAAAAAATGAGTAAAAAAAGCATTGATTCCCTTAGAGAAAACTGTTTCATGGCACTGTAAATAAGTTTCAGCAGATGTACAAATGGACACGCTGGCTCAGTTTCTATCCTCAAAAAAGGCTTTGAAGAGAATCATTTTGCTGACCTTTTTACTTAGCTTCATGGGTGGTACACCGTACATCAACAGACCTCCACATCTGTCGTTTCTCTCGTAAACTGTTACCCAGTGCCCAGCCTTAAAAGAAGATTTAAAACAACGTGGTGATGAACGGCAATATAAACTCCTTGATAAATTACTAAAGAAGAATTAGTAAAATCCCTCAACAAGAGTGCCTAGTGACAACTCAAAGAGCTTCAGTTTTGACTCAATCCCTCGGTCAGTTTTCTCTCACCTTGTTTAGTTGTGCCGCGGCTGCTAATCCTGAGGGTCCACTTCCTACAATAGCGACCTTCTTCCCAGTTCGACGAACTGGAATCTGCAGGAAAGAATAAGGAACATGCCAAAAATTTACAACCAAATCACAGGGAGAGTCATTTGCTTAGGGGATCTAATGAAAGAAGCTTCGAATGTTTGAATCTGTCAGTGGAGAGATTTGGGATTAAAACGAAAGCATATCAGTGTCACGACTTGCGTTTTCCCTGAAATACACCTCCCAATTTTACATTTGCAATTTATTTAACTGTTCTCCATCTTTTGCAATGCTTATTCCTTAAGAGTTTGTGTCTCCATATCTTACCGAAGTAGCATCATTTTGCAGTCTCCTTCAAGTTAAAGGTGTTTTTGCTTAGAACAGAAAATGGCCAAAAAAAGTCGAGTACAGCTCTTAAAAGAAGAGACTACTTTGTCTTAAATGCTGATTTACCTGTGGTGTAATCCATCCTTGTTCAAATCCATAGTCAATGATGGTGCACTCGATTTTCTTGATTGTCACTGGCTCTGCATTGATTCCCAGTACACAAGCGCCCTGGAACAATTAACGGGAGAAAAAGTTATCTTAAAAATCACAGATTGCCTTTAAAGATCCACGCAAACAATCAGTAAATCGATACACATATCATAATGCCAATATTTCATGTTATTATTAGAGTTAGTATTGTTAGCAGTGTAAGCATTGACACTGCAGTTTTGAGCAAATTTCTGTAAGCTGTAACGTGAGTTTGAAAGCAATGTCAGTATTGTATGTAATTGTAAGTAGTGTAAGTAATTGTTAGAACAAGTACTGTAAGTTATGTGAGTTTTCTAAGGAATGTTAGTATTGTAGGTAATTGTAAGCAGTATAAGTAGTACTGTAGTATGCAAAGTAAGTATTGTAGTTGTACTGTGAGTATTGTACATAATATTAGTACTGTTCAATGAAAAATGTAAAAAAAACCCAATCAGCAAATCGCAAGCCAAAAGCGTTCTCTTTACACCGGTTTCTACGATACTCACCTCGCAGGGCGCGGGGCAGACCCTTCCAGTAAATTCTGGAAAGTTGTTGGTGAGCAAAAGTCGGTCTAAGGCCTCCTTCCATTTGTCCTGAAAAACCAAATAACAGTTACAATAATAATTTGTTTTCAAACAATTTTAAAATTCACCAAGTTAATGTTACAACATAAGTAAAATCTGTGAAAAATCAAAGTACTTAGGATCATATTACAGCTCCACCCTGCCTCGTGCAGTAGGACAACGTCATCAATGATGAACCTTACCTGGAAAACCAAGTCGTTCCATCTTGGGATGATGTTTCCGAGAGGACACCCAGTGTGAGACTGACAGAAAGGCACGCCACACTCCATACACCTATTAATAAAAGGGATAAGATGAATCCAAGAGTTAATTGGTCACATCTATAAGACGCATGTAAATCTTCAAGCCATGATGAAAAAATTCGTTGTAAAGTGATAATACTGTTAGAGCTTTCTATCTAAAAGGGTCTTTTGGCTTGGCAATTCGAGGCTGAAACATTTTGGTTGACGCCCTTACCTGGCAGCTTGTACTTTTAGTTCCGATTTCCCTTTGTTGTAGTAAATCTCGTTCCAATCCTTCATTCGCTGTCTGGGGGAGCGGTACTTCACTTTGCTTCTGGAGTACTTCACGAACCCTCTGTCAACAAAAAGAAACGACAAAATGTTATCGTTTGCGACAAATACCAGGTGAACCTAAAATCTTCTTTTACAGCAAATGCATATGTGAATAAGTTACAGTTTGGGACTGTTCAAGATTAAAGAGATTGTAACCCGAAACTATCTGTAACTTACTCTATGAAGAACTTTCAAAACTACGTACAGATTACGCTAGTAGAGCGGTTTTTCTTTTTTAAACCCTTTGGTCCTAAGAGTGACTAGCATCAAATATCTCCCTACAATATCACCCCTGAATCACATGTTAAGGTCATGAGAATAAAAGAATAAAGGAATAAAGGAATAAAGGAATAAAGGAATAAAGGAATAAAGGAATAAAGGAATAAAGGAATAAAGGAATAAAGGAATAAAGGAATAAAGGAATAAAGGAATAAAGGAATAAAGGAATAAAGGAAATGATCACCAATGAAAGAACCTTGGAAAACAAATTCTCCTCGTCAGCTCCCTAGGAAATGTATAAAGAGCAGTACGGAGAATATGCATAATGATTTTAGGGTGTAAAGGGTTAACTCGATTATGGTAAAACCAAAACTTAACTAATTACAACGGCCAATTAGAATAAAGGAAAATATCACTAGGAGCAGATGAGCCTGCGATGTAAAAACAAGCAAACTGTCTAAAGCTTGAAAAAACGTGCGTGACCAGAACGCGATGTTGGTTTCAGTCTCAGAGGCGCGAGCTTCCACAACCCATCACAAATTAACTGGGGGTATACTAGTTTACCTGGTTTTGTCCAGCACTCTGTCGATAATCTTCTGATCGTTGGTTGTATCAGAGATAGCCTCTTCTATATCAACTAAATTCTGCTCTGCTGATTTCTTCACTGGGGGAGGTGAATCTTCTTGCTTAACACCATTTGACATATCTTCATTCATTTTTTCTCCATTTGTTTTCTCTCCGTTCGTTTTTTCTCCGTTTGTCTTCTCTCCATTTGTTTTTTCTCCGTTTGTCTTCTCTCCATTTGCATTCTCACCGTTCTCTTCCATGCGATTTTCGTTCTTGAGTTTCTGTCAAAAGAAAACGCAGTTTCAAAATTACCTGCCACAATTTGGACGTTCCTCTGCCCAAAGGGTCGCACAAAGGGAGGAAGGGAATACGAAAGAGGGAGAAGTCGCGTAATTTACCAGAGAAAAAATTACAAGGATCATCTTTCTGTTACTGAGGAGATTTAATGGCACGGTTAAATTTCACAATAATCTCGCTATTCTTGCAGTTCTCCCACACACTCTCCGTATCATCATTAAAACAAAAAATGGGTTTAAGACCGACATGTCTCTATTGGTTTGATGAACTCTGCTGCAAGTAATGGTTACTTCGCCTACTTGTCAATTCGCCTCTGTCCTCTCAACTTCTTTGAAAACAAAACAATATCGAGGCTATTTCGAATGAAAGTTTGCGCCTAGTAAAAGGTAACTGCGCATGCAATGTTGAATAATATTTCTATTGTTTTTGCATACTTAAATTAGAATGTACTGCGTAATTTTATTTTGCTTTGGCACAAATTGCTTATAGATGTACCTTTTTCACTGGTTTAAACTGTGAAGTTATAAGAATTCCACGAATAAACACGCTTCTACTTCTACTTTATTAATTGATAAAGCGTATCAACGCATCACATCAATTTCAGAATCTAGGGCAGACCACAACACCGGGAACTACGTTCCCTTATCTTTGCGATAAGTGTGTGGGTTCTTTAACGTCCCCTACTAACTAGTACCGAGAAGATGCAGGAGACGGGGCCTACGACATTTCGTCCTTATCCGAGAAGACTAGAATGTCTAACCGCTGGCAGATGTCATAGCAAAGGCAACACATTCTCCTCAGTTATTTTAAGACCCTGAGTGTGGGTCCGGTCTGAGTCTTCAGTTTTGACTCTCTTCTTTGTAAAAGGTCACTGCATGTTATCTGAAGGAAGGAACTTTAATACCGTTGCATTCCGAAAGATCTGATTTTTGAGTTACATGGCGATAGAAATATAAGGTTTTCAAGATTCTCTCCTCCACAAAGTCACCTTATAAGGAAATTGCACAAGGCATCTACGGAGGAGAGAGTTTTCGAGCAATAACGAAGAATTTAAGGATACCTCAGCTTCCTCCTCTTTTAATTGTTCCAGAGCTCTTTTGAAGTCACGAGGCATCACCTATACCCGTCGAAAAAAAAAATGCAAAAAACAAAACATTAGCCTTCAGCGATGAAAACTGCAGTACTTCATGAAACAGATGACCATGATTCATATTCCTAATTCATGTTTTGACTAATAATCTCTATCAAAAATTAACTCAAAAACTAAATGAGATTTCACTGCTTTTACTCTCTAGGACTATACCTTCACAAACATCTTCAACGAGCTTTCCCAGTCTTCCAGAAGACGTTCGGCCACCGACGAACCAGTCAGCTGATGATGCTCACGCACCAGTCCCCTGACCAGCTCGGCATCTGCTCCTACAACAGGCTCCAGGTCAACTATCTCCTGGTTACACAATGTGGAGAAGACCTTCTTTCTATAAATTCAAGAGGTTAGAATAAATTTATTGTGGCTAATAATAAATAACGAGGTCAAAGACGTTATTTTAAATATAACCCGGACAGACTGCGTGGCGGGCGCTCAAGTTTAAGAGAGATGTAGAACGCTTTGCACAAGCGATAAACCACACGCGCGCGTGTCTGTTTTCTCATGAGCGTTCCTTGCCTTCTTGCTAAGTGCCTGCCACGAAAGATAAATGTTTTAAAAGTCATTTTACCTGTCAAGTACAAAAGCAATTCCTCCTGACATTCCAGCAGCAAAGTTTCGACCAGTGTCACCAAGAACAACTGCAACACCTCCAGTCATGTACTCACAGCCATGATCACCAACACCCTTTGAAGAAAAGCAAAGGTAGGAGATAAGATAACCTTCGCAACGGTAATATTCTGAACTTTCTGCTTTTAAAGCATGTCAAGGTTTAGTTTCATGTGAAGCGAGAAACGAACTTTAACCCTTTAACTCCCATGAGTGACCGAGACAGAATTTCTCCTTACAACATCAATACAATGTCCACCACATAAGTGATGAGAATAAAGAAAAATATCAATTTGGGGATAAGTTGATCCAATACTAATTTCTCTGAACTAACATTATAGGAATTGTATGGTTGACATTTAGGAGAATTACAAATTTGATCTGGGAGTTAGAGGGTTAAGAAAAGCTAGAGGTAAAATTAATTATGGACAAGATAAACAGAACTAGGTCAACAAACCATAGAAATGAAATTAAACAAGGAAATTAACTAAAAAACTGAACTCAAATCACCTCCACAACTGCTGTCACTCCAGAATTCCGGACACAAAATCGCTCGGCAGCAATACCCCTTATAAAGGCCTGAGCACAAAAAGGAAAAAATATAACTATATCAAAATAACTCACTTGATTAATAAAATAGGGTCAAGTTTACTTTCCGACGATTTTATTTAACCAAAAGTTAAAATTATACTGTACCTTTCCGGCAGTGGCACCGTAGAAGCAAACGTTTCCCACAATAATGTTTTCTTCAGCTTTGAAGTTCTCAGGACGTTTACTGCTTGGATATACTATTATCTTGCCTCCGGCTAAACCCTAGAGAGCAAATTAATGTCAGTTTGATAAGTCGCGCATTCATTTGGAGCATCAGACAGAGCCTGAAAAAAAGAGCAAGTACCTCAAGTACGCGAATAACATGAACAACGTCATTGAGAGCATTTTTTAAGAACATTAAAAGTAAATATTTTAAGTACATAATTACCTTGCCCACATAGTCATTTGAATCACCTTCATGTTCCAGTGTTAAACCAGGAGAAAGGAAAGCACCAAAACTTTGACCTAAAAAAATTCAAACAGACCACATTGAAATCATAACTTCTCGTTTGGTACAAACAAACCAACATCTCTAAAATGGACACTAATACGCCAAAGAAAACTGGACGATGGAATAGTTAGCTTTGATGTGATAGGCCTTCTTGAATATTTTAAGTATATGGTTCTCAATCAAAGAATCTGAAAGCAATGGCTGCACCACAAAGATCTCACTAAGTAGTCATACATTACTTACTTACCTGCAGAGCCTCGGGTTTTGATGTGTATCGTGCCATCAGGGAGACCTTTCTCGCCAAATTTCCTAGCAACAAAAGTAACTTTTTAATTCAGTTCCTCCTCAAAACCACGAAAGCAGGCATGTTGTTATAAGCTAATGTGCAACATAGAAGAGGCTTCAAGCTCGCTAAGTGAAACTACCTTGCGCAGGTACGTTTTAAAAGCCAAACCAACTCAGTAGAGCTAATTAGTATTTGTGTGGGCAGTCTAACAACAACCAAGCTGACTATCAATAAAAAGTTAATGAATGTCGATAAAAAAGCTGGTGCCAATTTAGAAAGCTGACACTTCCAGTGCTCGCCTTCCATGGTCCAAATTGGGGGATTGTGGGTGTTTGTCATGCAATGGAGACTAGAGGGTTATTATTGGAGTTAGTAGGTAATGGAAGACACATGTGCAAAAACAAAATGACACGAGAATCGTTCGACGATAACAAAGGGAGCTAAGTGCTGATTAAAGAGACAAAATGAAGCTTTGTGACTTTCAGTGCAACCTTAGTCGAGACAAAGTCTGAAAGCAACCACACTTACATCAGAATGACCAGGATGAAAGTTTAGAAATAGGCATTAGACATCTTTGTTGCTCATTCATCACTGTGATGATGTAAATATTCCTTGTGATAACACCTTGGTTTATGATGGTTAACAAGCACTCTTCAGGTGAGGGGAGTGATTTTTTGTACTGATTACTCACTTTGCAATGTGGTAACTGAGAGTGGTTCCAAAAGCTCGGTCCATGTTCATTACAGGAACATCAAGACGCAAATGCTTCGAAGCGCCATTTAGAATGTCTTTAGCAGCCTCAATGAGCTGGTTGTCCTGTAAAGTGAATTGAAGAATGGCCCTTTAAACCTGAAAGTGTTTCACTTCAGCAAAATCAAGTAACAGCAATCAATTACAATCCTACCACTCTCAAATTTTGTTTTTATCGAGTCAAATACCCAGGCAAGGTCAAAGTAGATTGAAATCCCACAAGACAGCTCTTGACCTGAGACAAAAGGAGGTATATGCCTGCAATACCTTCGGTATTTCAACTCTAACAACAAACTGTGAATTGCAAACTTGGCACTACACTTGATGTGGGAAGAAGCAGAAAGGTCTGATAACCCAATTGTTTTGGAAAAACAACGTGACTTCATGTACTCGACCTAGTCTTGTGGGTTTGTGTCCAATGCTTACCTTGCGTAGCTCCAGCTTGTGATTTTGAGGCTCACTTCCTCCCAAGTGATCTCCAGGGTTCAACTCATTACCAGGCATAAGGATTGCACTAAAGTCCAATAACTGTGAACAAAAAAAAAACAAACAAACAAAATAGGATGATTACGATGATTATGATTTTTTTGCGTGAGATTAGACAAAGTAACACTGCCACAAAATGTACCTTGACTTTTTCATTGAGAGGGTCTGCAGGCTCTAGATAGTCACATCGTCCGACCATCTCACTCAATCTGCGGAAGCCCATTTTAGCCATATACTCACGAACCTAAACACAGAATATTGATGAAGGTTCAAAACATTTCACCAACTTGTAATCAAGAACATCATTTTACATACTTTAAGGACAGGAAAATAAATTTTAACAGAGATTTAATCTGAACCAATGGAGAAATGTTCTCAACTGATCTTTATGAATCAAAGTAAGAAGATAAGAAAAACAGCTTTTCCAACAATAAGTAGTTCAAGGGTAACATAAACAAGAGATCATTCATTCCTCACCTCTTCAGCCAGCATGAAAAAGAAGTTGATAACATGCTCTGGTTTGCCTGCAAACTTCTTCCTCAGTACAGGGTCCTGCAAAAAATCGATAACAGTTTTATTATAATGACATTACCATTCTTTATGACTTACTCATACCTTGTGGTTACTTGGATGAAACATTTGAAACAAAGAACTAAAAAAAACAAAACAAAAACGAAAACAAAAACAAAATCTCACAAATTGTTAGAGATTGTCAGCAGGTTGCTGATGTTGACATAAAAAAGCCTGGGTAAAATCAAGCTAGAGGTGATATCAATGGCAAATATCAAAACGGAATGCCAAAGATGGCTAAAAAGATTCCCTCAAATCAGGGAGTTCTAGGCCTAATAAGGTGCTATGACAGCAAAATGGTCCAGGTTGTCTTGTGGATTAATCTGGTGAGGTCTTTTCTTGCATTGCTGGTACCAGTTGGACAACACACTTCAGTGCAAGTTATCCACAGTTGACATAGAGGAGCCATGTAGAAATCGAGTATCTTTTTCTAGCATTTGAACAGTATTCTTTCACTTAATTTTAAGAAGCAGAGTTGAGTAAAGCAGTTTTTTCTATAACAGAAGCAGTAGTGCAATTACCTGAGTGGCAATTCCAACAGGACATGTATTCAAGTGACACTTTCTCATCATGGTACAACCCATAGCAATGAGCGGAGCAGTAGAAAATCCAAACTCATCAGCACCCAACAGAGCACCGACTACCACATCACGCCCAGTCCTTAGCTGCCCATCAACTTGAAGTATGACTCTTCGGCGCAGATTGTTCAGCACAAGTGTTTGATGGGTTTCAGAGAGGCCAAGTTCCCATGGCAACCCAGCATGCTTGATGCCTGACCATGTGCTTGCTCCAGTACCACCATCATGACCAGAAATAACAATGTGTTCAGAGTGGCCCTAGGGAAATAAACAGGTTAACTTAATAACCCTTTGATTACTAAAAGAGATGAAAATGTAACATCTCCATATAAACTTCCAACATAAAGTAATTCATGAATATTTCAAGGTGAAAAGAGGCACTGCACAACCAAAGTGCAACATTGTAGAACCTACATGGTTAACCTTGCCAAAGCTGGAACTTCAACCAGGAAGCAAAGACCATGCACAGGATGTTATAAAGATCAATGAATAAAGGGGGTAAGTTTCTAGAGAAACTGTGATGCTGCATCAGTAGAAGAGTACAACAGGGTAACTTAGTGTAATCAACTGAGTTGATAACATAAATTGGCCACTATAAAAAGTTTAAAGGCCAATCTTTCAAGCATAAGCCCTTCGTTTGAGTGATTGATGAATGGCTAGGACTCAAAAGGTCAGCTTTTAAACTCTTTACTGTGGCCAATTTACATTATCAACTCAGTTGGTGATACAAAATTACCCTGTTATAAAGATCAGTTGATTAAGAGTTCACGAACCTTTGCAACTCCAGCAGCAATAACACCCACGCCCACTTCAGATACCAGTTTCACACTGACTCTAGCATGAGGATTGGAGCATTTTAGGTTGTAAATAAGCTACAAAACAACGACAAGAAATGTTTTCAAAATAATTTTTTGATAAGACATAAAAAGCATTAAAAGAAAAAAAAAATGTATTCAAAGCAAAGTAACCTCTGCCAAATCTTCAATAGAGTAGATATCATGGTGAGGTGGAGGGCTGATCAATCCAACTCCAGGGACAGACTTGCGAGTCTGAGCAATATGCTTGGAGACCTGCCAAGACACAATTAATCAGAAGTGTCACATTTTAGGTAAGAAAAACAAACTATGATATGCTTAATACCTCACTCAGTCGATTTGTGCCTTTAGATAATATTACAAAAATTCAATCAATCAATCAATCAATCAATCAATCAATAACTTTAATTAAGTGTCTAAGTCTTCTGGCTAGCCACATGTAGCTAACTAATTGGGAACATTAACAGAAATGGTTAAAACAAACTGAAACTAAGGGTGTATCTATTTAGTACAATAATGATAAAAATGATTGTAAAAATAATTGCGAGAATTGTAAAAACACTGTGAATATTATGTTATGATCTATATATTATATATGATGCTTACAATTGTACATTTCAAAAACCTACCCACCCACCCACCCACCAAATATAAGAAAATATAATGAATGCATTAAAACTGTACCTAATAAATAAAAGTTAGGTCTATGTTGTGAATTCTACATATTGTGTACTAATATTGTATAGTATGAAATTCTGTATATTATGTACCTATGAAATTATGTCTGTGTACTATAAATGTTTTAAAACTATATGTAATAAGTTAATGTTAAATCCATTTTGTGGATTCTATATTAGTCTGTAGTACATCTATCTACATTAACTAATTGTGGTAAATAAGTAGTGGTATTGCAATTACTACATGTGTTTTAATAAATACCAACTAGATCACAATTTACACAGATGAAAGTTGGAGCATGTCTTAGTCACTAAGGCAGTCAGGTCCCTTTTACTTATACTAGACTTAAATGCATTTAATGATACTATTGAACTGTCCTTAGTAAGTGATTTTGACCAGAGTTATGGCCCAAGAAATCTTAGCAAGTGTTTCCTAAATCTTACTGTATTGTATCTCTGGATGAAAAAGTCTGACTTCCTAAGATTGTAGTCTGAAGGAGAGTTCCTGAAAATGTTGATAATGTTTACTGGCAGCAGCCTGTATTTGACCTTGAACATTAGAATAGCTATGTCCTGCAGTCACCTGTTGTACAGGCTTGTAAGATGAGCCCTAGCAAGAAGTTCACTATAATAAAAAACACCTGTTTAGTGAAAGACTTAGACTAATAGGCCTTCACTTTAATTTTTTAAATTTCTTCGTTCAGGAGCTTCGTGTGAATGGAATCTGACAGATCCAAACCTTGAGGTCAAGGAGGGTGGGGGGAATGTGCCTCCACCTTGCTTCTCCAGCTGATTTATCTAGGTGACTGTCCCAGTTTGGCTTTTTTTTTTGGTATAAAAATTTTTTAAGTACTTATTTTTATCAGACAAGGTGCACACAAACCTTATGTCACACTGATCTTCATTTTGACCAGCTTATGAGCAATATTTACCCACAAATTATACATAAAGTAAATAAAGTCATTCATACCTTGTATCCTGGCAATTCTCCACCTTCACCTGGCTTCGCTCCCTGAAAAAAGAAAAAAAATTCAAATTTGAACATTTGAGCACAGGCAGACCAATGTACCAAAAGGAGAAGACAAAAAATGACTCAAATCATGCCAGGTGAACACCCAAGTCGATGAGCAAGATTTAAAATGACTGCATCCTTTGAAACATTTTTCAATTGGATCAGAAGACAGTTTTTGAAAGGTTAGATTACTCTTGTGAATCTCAAAACACAATCATGGTCACAATTTCACTAATACTTTCAGAGAGAGATTTAAAGATTACCTGTGCCATCTTGATCTGCAGGTCTTCTGCCATTGCAAGATACCATGCATTCACTCCAAATCTTCCAGAAGCCACTTGCCTGATGGCAGATCTGGTGTTGTTGTCACTTCCTCTCACTGGATCCTCGCCACCTTCACCTGTGTTGCTTTTACCACCCATTCTGATGGAAGAGGAAAGTAAAGTTCTGTCCACATGCTATTTCATATTATACATTTTATTTCTTATAGGAAGGATTTTTCCCTTTTCATGGTCAACAGAAGAATACAAATATAGGAACAAACGAGTCATTGTTGGCAAAATACATCGTAAAAAACAAAAACAAAAACAAAACAAGACAGAACTAAAAAAAAAAAAAACAAAACAAGACAAAACTAAACAAAACAAAAGAAGTGCAGATCTGGGTTCACAAAAGAAGACTAATATACCTACTCATAAACAGAAGTCCCTTTTAATGTCATGGGGCTCCAAGTAAAGTGAAGTTTGCTAAACATTGAGTGAGATCAGGAGTGCATGCACATATAGGGACTTTTGAAGAAAGAAGAAAGTTTGAACCAGTTTCTGATATATAGTGTCTGCTTCTAAATAGGGAAAGGTGTTCTCACCAGAATGTGTATATAGTGTTTGAGTGGGTGATTTGACAAGAGTTTGAAAGATAACTTTCCTCCTATTAGAATGGCTTCAATTGCATTCAATACATACTAATAAATCAACAAATCCTGACTGTCTGAGAAATTTAAAAGAATCAAAACAAACAACTACTCACTTGTTCATAGCTGTAGCAAGAGTTGTGTGGGTTTCATATGAAATGGAACCAAAACTCATGGCACCTAAAGAGAAAATCATTATGACAACTATCGTACAAACAACTGGTTCTTAGGTACTATTTCACTTATACACATACTTTTGAGAAATAAATTAAACTAAAGCAAAAGAGTGCTCTATAAACAAACTTCATAATTTACTATCTGCTTGTCAGCTTTTGTCACAGATGGTTTAATTTTGTGCCTACCTGTTGCAAATCTCTTGACAATCTCTGAAGCTGGTTCAACTTCTGAGATGTCCAGAGGTTTCTTGGCAAATTTAATCTGCAGCTGTCCTCGGAGGGTGCAAGAACGTACCTAGAGTATTAAAGACAAACATAAATGACAAGCCTAAACAAGACTACTTGCATATGTCTAAAATAAAGCAGAACATTTTTCACTGCAACAGTAACCCACCACTTCAATGGACGTCTCACTGTACTTTTGATAGGCAGGTTGGCTTTTCATTCTTACAGCATCCTGTTCAAAACAATATATATCAAATACTTCAGAAAAAAAAACAAAAAAAACACAGACACCCTGACTCTTCCATTCCATAAATAATCAAGGCAATAACCTAATCTATGCCATATCCCCTGAATGACACTCCCCTTACATCTCATAACCAATCCCCTTCACTTTTCACGATGAAATTCTAAGGAGAATTAAGATACTCGTCATTCTTAAGATGGATGGTTCAGAAGAAACGTGTGGCAGAACCTTTGGAAGAGAAAGTTACACGGTGTCTATTCCCAAAGAACATTATAAAACTCAAGGGAGGTGCTTTAATTGAGTAATAGTGTGTTTTACAAACTAACCTGTAGGTTTGCAATGCATCTAGGATCATTGATATGCTTTTCTCCTCCCAACCGCCAGTGGTACTCACCCTAAACACAAACCAGTCAAAGCATGATTCACATCAATTTGACTATCAACACAATTGATATTGAAGAACCCTTTGATTCATGGTCTCTTGACAATTGCACAAGTATTGGTATCATTGAAATCTGCCAGGGAAGTATTATGAAGCATGACCTGGGTCTGCATAAAAGGTTAAAATGACCAACTACGAATGAACACTATTGAGTACCTTGTTGTTGACGAGGACATTGTCACATTCTCGGTCAGAAAATGCAATACTGTGCTTGTCCAATGCCTGTAAAATAGGGAGCCAAATATAATTATAATCTTACACTTAAAATAAACTGATCATTGATTAGGCATATGTCATTGAGCACTAAAGGGGCTGTAATTACACACCTCCTGTGCTAACATTTCAAATGTCACTCCACTCAATCTTGATGCAGTTCCTGCAAAGCACTTATCTACCACCTGCAAGACAATAATTTTTTTCTTCAAGCAAACAACGTGTTTATTACAAAATTGGGCACCTAGGTAAAGTTAAAAGGAATTTTAATTTCAATAGCATTTAAAAATGCTATCCCATTAAAAAAAACGCCAAACATAAGCACCTTCTTTATTAACCAGACATATCAACAAGTGATATCCATAGTAAGCTTTACAAAAATGTTAGTAGATGAAGTTAACTTTTAAATAACATTAAAAATTTATAAATATTTATGATACATAATTGTCATTATATCTTTTACCTCCTCTGCAAGCCCAACAGCTTCAAATATTTGTGCACCCTATTAAAAAAGAATCAACACCTAATGTTTATGTCTGACTGAATATTAATGTCATATCAAGAAAGCTGTAAATACCTGAAAGTTTTGGAAATGTTTACCATGTTCACACAATGAAAGGAGAGCAAGATGCAAGAGAAAACACAGCATTCTTTCATATGTGATTTTGCGTTTTTGTATTTCTTGTTTTCGTATTTTTTATGCTGGCTGAAAGTAGATATACATGTATGAGCTGGTGTTGGCCATGCAAACCATGACCAAGCCAGGAGGAAGAGTCTAAAAATACAAGTTTTTCTCTAGCAAACTCATGAACACCTAACCATTTCCACATGACAGAAAAAGAGGATCACATTCCTTCAATTTAAGATTACAACTGCAAATGTCTGTCCTCTCCTGAGCTAACAATTATATTTATGAGGCTCCCATTATTTTTGTGTTGACCAAGTGAACAGGCAGTATTTGAAATTTTCATGTATATAATACCAGACAAAGAATATTGAATACAATTTGAAGACATATTGTTGATGGATGGTTTTATGAACAAGCCACTTTCAGTGACATCTTTCCACCTTTGCAGAAATACATGAACTAACCTTGTAACTGTGTAAAGTGGAAATCCCCATTTTTGCCATGACCTTTGCTATACCTTTTTTCACAGCAAAAGTATAGTTCTCAACTATTTCCTTATCTGACAGAGGAGGATCCAGCATACCTGAGTTTTTGGACAACACATTGAAAGTGAGTACATCAGAAAAACTACATTTGAACTACAGTATGAATAAGAAATGTGGTAAATAGTTTGAACCTTGCAGTAACAACTGCATCAGAAATAACCTTCAAAGTTATGTAGGGCACTTTATCATACAACCTCTCCTGACCTGTGCGCACAATCTCAGAAAATCATGATGAATGTTGACATGTGGGGCTGGAAAGGTAGACATGAGATGATCCCAAGAAAAAGTTGTCCAGCCCCACAATGTCAGGGCTTTGTTGCATTTTTCAGGAAAAATGAATTTTAATTCTAAACTTGAACTTAAAATGAATTGCTGCATTCTTGTTTTCAATCAAAGAAATAAAGAAAAAGTTTTGATCATAAAATATTTATGCAGTTGTCCAGTGTGCCCTTCTTATGTATGAAACCAAGTCCTGTTCAGCTTCAAAGTTAATTGAAAAACTTTTTAACATATTAGTGCTCATATGATTTAACACTTATTGACTGAGTAAGGTTGCACTCAATCAGTAATTCATGATCATTATTAGAGCCACATATTTAGCAGTTCTGCCCTCCCATTCAATAAATAAGTACATATTTAAAATGAGGACTTGCTCTCTGGCTGTTGAAATGTTAGTCAATAAGACCAACCTCACCCAGAAAATTGTCGTGAACAACTTGCTAATGAGAGTAAACACAGTTGACTGTCTTATTGTATACCTTGCTGTCGCTGATTTACAACAGTCTCGAAAACCAAGTATGGGGAAATTCCATCAGCACCATAACCCAGCAGAACACAGAAGTGATGGATTTCCCTGCACAAAAAAATAGCTGGTGAAATTGCCATCATATTATGTGACATACAAGTTAAAACAAACTGAGTAAAACAAACAAACAATTCTATCAAAGTACTTTTTGAGGAAGGGAAAGTAAAGCAGAGTCATTCTGATTTTGGACTGTGAAAATAAAAAAATAAAAATCATGAGGAAAAAGACCCTACCTTATCTCTGCTGACTCAACAATCAGTCCAACCTGTGACCTTTGCTTCATTCTGATGAGATGATGATGAACTGCCCCCAATGACAGTAATGAACTGCAATAAAAACAGTGAAAAAGGATTAAGTGATGCTGTATATAGTCATAGGAACCATCTTTCTTTCTGCAAAATGTATGGACACTCATGGTGAAACAGGCTGTTGATAGTCTTTCAATTCACTGACAACTCTGTTAAAATAAACAAAGAGCCTGGATAGCCTGGAAAAGAACATGATTATGCATATTTGAAAAACAAGATAGCCTTTCAAGCATGCAGCAGTTAATAATGGTCCCCTAGAACAATTGAAAAAAGATTCCATGACTGAAATTGCAAAGAAAGTCACCAATTTGACAACTTGTGTTCACACATCACATAGCCAGCCATAATGTTTTCACTACGTAGTCTCCTTCTTAGTTAAACTGAGAAGAACATGTCAATAAAATATTGCTTTTGCACCATTTCTTTTCTAAGTTTGTCCCTTACACCAAGATTGTTTGAGTTAAGGCAAATGAGCAGACATATTGCTTGTATCAAAGACAACCCAAGGAACCAGCAGTTAAGTGTGTTAACTAATAATTTACTGCATCCTTTTTTTAGTTTTTTACCACCTCTTTTATTTTTTAAATCCAGTAAAAACAGTTTAACATCACCTCATAGGTACATGTTCCCTTCCAGCAGCTCTATCAGATAACACAAGAAAAGCACATCCATTTTCCACAGCTTCAGATGCCTTGGGGCAAAAAGAGGGAAAAACAAGATTAATGTATGTTAAAAGAAAAAGATAATACCTTACAATTAGAAAAGTGGCCGATTAAATGTTAAAGATATGCCACCAGCCTTCCATTACCTTAAACCCTTTCATACCCTTGATCTGGGGGGTATTTTATCAACTGTTCACCATACACTGTTTATTGGCATAGAACATATACTTCAAGGGTACCAAAATTTGTAATGACAATTGAAGTCCAGTAACAGTAAAGTAACACTTGTAAGTTAAGTAACACTTATAATTCAACCAATTGGGCTTACCTCTTTACAAATTCTATCAAGTGATGGAACAAGACCATTCACTCCATCTTTTACAGGGTACACCATGTCAATAGTCTGTGTCTGAAATGGAGACCTGTTATTAGAACACTGTGGTGTTGATTGCTAATAGGCCAAATACAACTTAGTGTTGATCATGTATTGTTAACTTGCAAATAATTTATTGTGATCACCTTTTAGTTGTCCATGTTATTTAGGTTAAATAATGTTCTTTTAAAACCTTGTTCTTTGCTTAAACACAACAAACATAACCCTCTACAGCTCAAATAAATTTGCAATTTATAAATTGTGTGTACAAACCTTACACCAGGATAGACCACTTTCTTTGATTGCCTGCACATCAGCATTAGAAAGTATTGGGTGTTCTAAATACACACGTGGACAGTCTGAAACATCAGGGTCAAGGAGATTTGGCTCAGGTCCAACTGGGCATGCCTTGAAGTGAATGATACAATTATGATAATTCATTGCTGGAAGTTAACAACACAACACATGAAAAATGGAATTTCCCATTGTCTTAAAACACTAGTAGTAGTGAACTTTCTAACAAAGGTGAGTCTGGATGGTACAGTCATGAGACTGGTTACTGTCAATCACCACTGCCAGGATTTATTTCTAGACTTGAAATCACATTTGGGTTGAAGTTTTTGTTGGCTCTCATCCCTATTCCCAGAGTTTTATTCCAGCACCTTTAATTTTCCTCCTTACTTAATAGTTAATGCTAAAGATTCAAATGTGACCCTGGAAACAATGGAAGAGTCACTCCATAAAGGTGCCCTTGCTGAGGAGCATTTTCACTGTAAAACTCTTACATAAACTTCAAACTGAAATTTGAAAAAGCTGCCAAAGACTCACCAGTGACATGACAATTTTCTCACGAATTGGATCAATTGGAGGATTTGTCACCTAAACCAAAATGAAGCCATCATCACACATACACAAAACACTATACTATTATCATGGCTATTTACTAAAAACTCTGACATGTCAGGGGGTTTAAGAAGTATCTTAAGCAAAGATAAAAGGGTGAAGTTTAAGTTGAAGGCTGATAGAAAAAAGATTTGGAACCAGTCTATATTCATGCCAATATGCCACTAACCAGCTTCAACACATTTGCACACTTCAAATAACATGATGATTGAAAATTCTGCTTACACACTCCTTATATATTTTCATCTCCCCCAACAAATGTTACATGACCATGGGGTAAAGATAGAGAACCTTTAAACAGGCCTCACAACAAATTGGACAGTTCCAGTCTAAAACAAATCTAAACAGAAAATCTGCAATCCATTTGTTGTGCATCAATGTACTTAAAAACCCTGATTTTCTTATGTGCAGTAAGACAAACTGTTGTAGAAAAAGGGTAGCATAACTTTGCTATGACGAAAACATAGATGTTGGCATGCTTTCTCTGAGAGCTTAGAGAAGATATAATGACTTAAAATAAGAAAATCTCAAATTTGTTACAACATACCTGCGCAAAGAGTTGTTTAAAGTAATCAAATACCAACTGTGGGTGCATTGTCAGGCAGGACAAGGGTGCATCATTACCCATGGAACCAAGAGCCTCTTTCCTAATCAACAATCAGAGTACTAAATAAAAGAAACTATTTGCCAAATACCAATTAGCTGGTAAGACCAAAGACTGCTAGCAAGAGCTATCTATAACCTGAATGTAATACTTTAAACTGCCACCATTTTGGTTAATAAGAAAGATACAGAAAAGTTTTGGTAACTAACTTTGCAGCTAAATTAGCTAATTTGGTGACCTGCAGCAAGCTGCAAGGTTAAAATTGAATGAACATTGGCATAAAATTGCACTAAAAGAGAAATGCTCCAACATTTTCTCTGATAAAAAAAAATTCACCATCTTATCCACAGTTGTCTAAGTCTCAAGTCTAGAGATGTCACTTGGACCTCTAAAAACAATAACCTGCAAGTTTCTCTTTCCTTTTTCCAGGGACAGATATTTAAATTCTGGTGCCCATATTTTATTTTAGGTTGCCAAATAGCAACTTAGAAAAGAAGTTGATACTGGAGCCCTGTCTGGTATGCAACCCTATCATGGGTTGCACACTAGTCTAACATTCTTAACCATTTAACTCTCAGAAGTGATTAAGAAGTAACTTCTCCCTATAATATCCATACACTATCTAGCAAACAGGTATTGAGAATACTTAAACTTATCACATGGAAGTTGGTTTTCTTGATTTAAGACCAAATTCTCTGAACTAATTTAGAAGAGACTGATTAGCAACTAGAGGGGAGAATTAATAATCAGATCTTGGGAGTTAAAGGGTCACTCTGACTTTACATTACCTGAAAAACTACCTCTTTAAAAATCATAATGCATGGCTTTATGCATTAACTCATCATTCCTATTGCCTCCACTTCAATTGAGGAATGAAACATTTACATGACTGTCTAATTATTTTCCACTCATAAATTTGTGGCCAACTAAAATTTCTCTCAATACATAGTTGATGAAGAAAGGCTTGAAATTCCACTTACTTGTTTTTAACCATTGGCAGAATTAGGATGTTCAGATCTTCCAAGGAATAACCAAACATTGGCAGTCTTTTGTCTCTGTGGATTAACTCATTCTGTGAGGATGGCTGGATCAAAGGTACTTTGTCTGCAGAAAGATTCTTTGAAGCTTGGTAGGCTTGGTGAATATCTTCCAAAGTTCGCACATTATTTTTCAGCAGCTCACCGCAAGGTCGCAGACTGGCCATTCTGTGTTTCAGCTCATGATCCTCCACAATAGACCCCAACTCTGTGTCCACTAGAAGCATTCTTCCAGGTTGCAAACGACCCTTGGAAAAGAAAAAGATTCTATAGTCTGAGGCCTTTCCAACTATCAAGCTTCTCCAATTGTTTTAAAATTATATTTGATTTGAGCATAGCAAAGCTTGAAACCATCCCATTGGCAAGATTGAATCAAGGCACATCTATAAGTTGTCTAGCAGGATCCAAACATGCTTTGAAATGGCATGCTCTAGTCATGCCTGATTAAATTATCATGATGTACTCATATTGAGGGATTGATAGTTTCATTTTAGTCTAGCACAGCAGTAGCAGAAGCTTTGGAAAAGACCTCAGTCACCTTGATTTACATTCAGTGAACTTTTGTCTCTGTCAGCAAGCATAGATGGAGTCAGTTTTTGAGCTGAAACCAGACAAACTGCTTGTGGTAACTTTTGATGGACTAGCTTCCTAACAAGCCAAAGACAATTGGACAATACTTCTCCTGATTGAGGAGCACTCTAGATGGTGTAATGGAAACAACAGTAGAATCATACTGGTTGCGCCTGGGTTTGATTCCCAGACCTGGCATCCATTGTAGGTTGAGTTTGCTGTTTGGTTCCAAGTCTTTTTCAAGGTTCTCAAATTTTCCCCCTCCATGAAAAATCCCCTAAAAACCAAGTGAAGTGAAGTGAAGTGAAGTGGAGTGAAATGATTAAGAGCCAAACCCAGGGTTGTAGATAAGACCTAGCAGCTGGCGAAGTACGCTGGCTTCTCTTCAAGGTTTCACCTGCTACTTTCATTTCTTCGAGAGCCCGTACAGAGATGATGTTTATCAGGTCTAAACTTGGGCTCAATAAAAATATAAATTTGCACTGCCTATCTTTTCTGAAAATATAAAAGACTTCTGACTCAAGGTTAGTTAATGATGGGGACTGTCTTTTTGACAAATCTTGCTGTGGTGGCAGGAAAGTACAAACAATATGACCTTTTGTCCACTATATTGGATTTTGAGATATGAATACCGTTTACCGTTTACCTTTAAAAAAGCTCCGGCTACTTAAAACCTTAGAGAAAACCCTGCAAACCATAAATGTAATGCACCACTGAGGGATTTTATGAATTAATTAACTTAATATTATGCAATTTACTTAATATCCATCTTGAACATTTCATGTGTTACCTTCTGTACAATTTCTTGATCAGGGAATGTACTGACTCCAACTTCACTTGCCATGACCATGAAGCCTTGTTTAGTCACATAGTATCTTGATGGGCGCAGTCCATTCCTGTCCAGGATAGCCCCAATGTATCGTCCATCAGAAAATGTAAACAAAGCTGTAATTAAGCAATGAAATAAATGATGTTACTAAACAGTATTAGCGGTGTTGATTTAAGTCAAGACTGATCTGCTATCAAACTGGCAGAGGTTGGCTTGGTGATTCAACACAAACCAAGTTATAAGACTATGAAGTGGCTGGAAGCATCACTATTAATAAAGGTAGTTAAATAATAGTATAACTCCTACATGTCTTCAGAAATTAAAAGCTTCATGACATTTCTGGTTTTGCTCAGGCTATATCACATACCAGGTCCATCCCATGCCTCCATCATACAGGAAATCCAGCGATAAAAATCCTGTTTTTCTGTATTCATTAAACTGTTGCCTTGCCATGCTTCAGGAACCATAGTCATAACAGCCTAAGAGATAACAACAATAGCACTGAATACATACAGAACATATATATTTATGGATCAGTATAATTTAGGGGCAAAAGTGCTCTACCTTCAAATACAGAAAAAGATACCCTTGTCAATTAACTTTTCTTTTTCCTTCCATTTTTCACCTCCAAGATCTCAAAACAAATTCTCCTTACAGCATGCCATGCATTTCTTATAGTTATGGATGTAACTGTAAGAATTACACATTAAATCATGCACTGTTCCTCTGTTTCTCATCACCCTCCCCCCCCCCCTTTCTAACTTTACAAATTTCACTCAAAATAGTACAAATAAAATAAGGTGGGCGATTTTAAAGTAGTGCATTATACCTCTGGGAGGGAACGTCCTCCAGCCATGACAAGAAGTTCCAAAACATTATCCACATTTCCTGAGTCTGACAAGTCTGCTTCTATTACAGGAAATAGCCTAAGGAAGTCAAGGAACAGAAATCAATTGATAAAAACTTTTAAGTTCATTAACCCTTACTACAGCCATGTGTCTTTCAGCCACTAGCCCACAAATTTACTGGCCAATTTATTTATTCTTGAAATTTTTTTTTTTTAAATGGATGCCTTTAGCTGTTCTTACAAAGTGTCAGAGTGTATATTTAATTCCTTAAATTTCATAAACCTTGTTAGCGCTAAGTACTGTTTCAGTCTTCTTACTTTTGGGTGTTGCTGCCAAAGTACTTGCTAACCATGGTTCCTTCTCTTGTGTTCATGTTGTTGATGTTTCCTCTTATTGTGTTGATCTCTCCATTGTGAGCTAGATATCTGCAATAACAAAAGAGTAATGATCACCATCACCATTATTTTTCCTTCTCTCAGTAGAGGGAAGGAGAAAGATACTTTTAAAACTCACTTTCAAATCACAGAGAGAGAGAGAGAAGTTTTTTTCAAAGTTATTTTCTACCTGTCTATAGCCTTGCCTGACAGTGCTCTTTCACAACAAGATTTAACAAAACACCAGCAGTGATCAGTAAAATCTCTGATAATAATCATGTCTCTCTCACCATCAGTATAACTATCATAATCTCTATTACCATCAACATTATCTACTTCATCATCATAATCATCACTGCAGTTCCTCCACTACAAATGCAACAACCATAACACTTGCCACTAGCACAACTATAAATTTCATTATCCCTTGAACCCCTAAGAGTAATAAGCATCACCCCTGAATCAAACACCAAAGTCATAAGAATAAAGTAAACAATTGCAAACTCAACAAGCTCTTGATTGTTAGACAATTCTCCTTGCATGTACCAAAAGAAATGTATAGAAAAAAGTATGACGACTTTATATACAGATGTTAGAGTGTAATGGATTAATTTATAAATAGCAATTTTAAAAATAAATTTTAAAAAATTTTGACAAAACAAAGTTGAAAGACACAAACCTGTTTGGATGAGCCCTCTCCCAGCTGGGGAATGTGTTTGTGGAAAATCTTCCATGAACCAAAGCAAAATGGGTCCTATCCCAAGACAAACAAAATCAAAATTCAAAACAAAAGGAGTATTACAACATGTTACTATTTTGCTTTTTCCCCTGATTTCCTCCTTGCTATGAAAATCTAATTGGGAAACTTCAAGGAATTAAATCAATTAAAGATAATAAAAAATGAAAAGATTAATTTGAAAGTCCTAATTGGATACTCTTTACATCAACATGCAACATGTACACAAATCAATAACAAGTAGTGAAGAAGTTAATGATCTATCATGGACTGTTGTAATATTGTAAAGCAATGTTCTCACCGATAATCTTTACACTGCAGATCTAAATAGAATCCTTGGAGTTGGTCTGGCTTTAACATTCCCTGAGATCATAATCCCAAAAAATCATTGTTATTTTCTAATAATAATAATAATAATAATAATAATAATAATAATAATAATAATAATAATAATAATAATAATAATAATAATAATAATAATAATAATAATAATAATAATATATAATATATATAATAATATATATAATAATATATATAATAATAATATTTTTAATTTATTATTTAAATAGTGTTACTTCCATCACTATCCAATAGCACTTTACAATGACTGAAATAAACATTAAATGCTTGAAAATCCCAACTTGCAGCAGGCAGTCCAGTTTGGCTGCAACACAGTGCAGATGAGGAGTTGAACTCAAAGTGACCAAGAACAAATCCAGTGAATGGCAACCTGGGACACTAGTTAACAAGTCAAGCACCTTAACCACTCCCCCATGCCACCTCCTGATAATCCTAAAAATTTCATTAAGCAATATATTATCCAATTCAATAAACATAGTAAATACCTTGTAAACAATGGTGTCACAGGATAAACTACAGATGTAGAACCGCCGGTTTTTTGTGCCAATTCTATTTGTAGCCATTTTTCTCAAGAGATAAACCTGAAAATTCAAGAAAGGATCAAAATAATATTTATCAATAAGTAAAGATGAGCTCCACATTGTCTGAGACCTTCTTCCCAACTTCCAAGCACAATTACCCCTGCTTGTGATTGAAGCAGCCACAAAAGGAGAAAGCAGGAACCATGGTTTGGCAATCCTAATGTGAGAGGCATGATGTGTGTGTGGATCAAGATGGGTGAAAATGTAATTTGTATAGAGTTATTATAGGGAACTGTAAAATCCAAAAAAAGAGTGATACCAATACCCCCAACCACCCAACCACCCACCCCCTCCTCCACAGTGAAAAAACATGGATTGATCGATGGCAAAGTGCTTTTCTTGAATACAACCAGAGTAATCATTAAGACAGGAACAAAGAAGGAAGCCCTAAGTGGGCATTAAGACATTAGGAACAATCTTTCAAGTAGCCAGAGCCAATCAAAACACAGGATTTCTTTTCACAATAACCATTGATTGATTTTTCATTGTTTCTTGAATAAATGTTTCCATACCTGCTTTTTAAATGTTTCTTGGTCAAGTGAACTTGTCACAAACACCTAAAAGTAATTAAAAAAGAGATTTACATTCTTCAAGCAAGCCCTATATGCAGTCATATTTCAAAGGGCTCCAGTTTCCAAGTTACTGAAAGTTGTACCTGTCTGATTAGTGGCTGGCTTTCAACTGCAGTTTTTCCAATCATGCTGTTGTCAAATGGCACATCCCGCCAACCGAGGACCTATCCATTTAAATCAGAAAGAAATATTAGAAACTTCAGAAAGATACCTTATAAACTAGTGTACAACAGAGAAAATATAAGATATGAAAAACAGAGGAAATAATCCATGCCAAAATATTTCAAGAAAACTAAATGTTGTAAGTTTCACATATACCTCAATTTGGCATTCCTTAGCAAGTCCTGAAAACATGTCTTCACATACTTTGGCCTGATGCAGAAATAAACATGAGAGATTCAAATCAAACTGATCGCTGATTCAATTTCATGGATATTCTTCATTACCTTAATTCATTTTCAGTTTTTAAGTGTCCACTGCATTTGTACAAACTATTATCACAAGTGTCCATCATAAGGTGACTGTCTTAGAGTAGGTTGCATACAAGGGCTTGAAGCTCAATATTTCAAAGTTAGCTTTATGTCATTTGAATCTATTGTTGCTAGAAATAAAATGTCAGTTTCCAGGAAAGGGTTACATGAAAATGCAAGTAAAAATTTGTGGTTTACTCAAAAGTGAGCCACAAGTTCATGTTTAGCCTTAGACTTGTTCTAAGTTAAAAAAAAAGAGGATTTCACAAAAATATCTGGCATTCCCATTGAACACAAATACTTAAAAAAGTCAAGATATCCAGAATGACTCGCATATGTCACAACTGATACAAATTTCATCAGTGACACAATTCAGAGTCATCCAATCTTGATTCTTTATTTCCCAAACTTGATTCTTAGACACAGATCATTCAGGAAGCAAGAAACAAAGACTCTGATGCAAATATCTTAACCCTTTAACTCCCATGAGTGACCAAGACAGAATTTCTCTTCACAATACCAATACAATATCAACCAGATAAGTAATAAGAAAAAAAGAAAAATATCAATTTAGGGATAATTACTTGATCCAATACTAAATTCTCTGAACTAACATTATAAGAATTGTATGGTTGACAGTTGATCTAGGAGTTAAAGGGGCTAACAGGCTTTTTTGCCATTATTAAAATCAGCTTACCTTGTTAGGATCTGTATCAATAAAGAAAATTCCAGTTGCATAATCACCAGCTATGGGCAATGTGAATCCAAGTTTGTTTTCTCTGAAAGTTGATATAAATTATCAAGTTTAAGGGTGAAAAAATGTATCCAAATAAAATATCACCTAATTGTAAACAATTTATGACATCATGGAGAGATAAAAATACAGCTTGATCCTAATAAAGTGTGTTTCCTCTTACATTTTCTAGCAATTTATTTCAGTCTTTCAATATTTTATCATATTCCTATACAACTTCCCAATTGATTCAAACACAGAAGGTCCCACAAGTACATATTTCAGTAATACACAATGTAACTATAGGAGTCTAGACATGCACGTAACAAACAGTATGATTTTCTCACAGGCAGGTCAGTATCACTGTGCAAAGACAGAGTTTCTTTTATCTTAACAAAGTACTGCAAAACAGTTTGCCAAATGTGTCACAAAAACCTCTGTTCTCTTTTATTGAATATAGGCCAAAGCAATTTCCCTTCCCTAAACCATAGCACAAATACCATGTACATTGCTTTTTTTATTTACCCAGCTTTCTTGTATAGAAGGGAGCAGCAGTTCATGTGCATAGACTTCTGGGGTCTTTGATGAAAACCTTGTAACTGAATAATCTGCCAGATCAAGTCTACAGTTTGTTACATCCACTGCACTAGACACAATCACAAAGTTTATAAACAAAATTCTTACTGTATAACTTGTTCATAGAAAGCATGTGGAATTCCTGTCATGACACCGGCACCATCTCCACAGCTCTCTTCACACCCAACAGCTCCTCTGTGTTTCATCCGTTCCAGCACTGTAAGTGCTTCAGACAACACCTTTAAGATAATAATTAAAAATTGACAGTCAAAGACTGCATGTGGGTATTGATATAGCACAAATTCCATAGTACTGAAAAGAATGAGGGGTTTGTATAATGATGCTAGAAGGTGAGTGCTGCGGCATATTTTTCTCACGTGAAAACAGAAAACCAGCTGCATACCACATATTTATGAGTACCCTGTTTCACAAGACAAAGGTAATGCAAGAATATATTGTCTACTTGACATTCAACCAATAATTAAATGGAAACAATAATATTAACAACAATAATAATAATAATGATAACAATAGTAATATAATAATTTAAAGAGGCTAGTTCCAAAGTCTCATGATTCCCTTGTCCTCTGGGCTGCAATAATGATTACCAATGCTTCTTTTAATGTTGCCTGTTAAATGTAAATAATCTATTCTTTTATTGCAATTCCATTTTTCAAGGCTTTTGTTAAATAAAAAAAGGTATTTGGCATTTTAGGATATTCCATCTTTCTGCACCTCAAGATATTCCACCATTCAGCAGATCCAGCAGTCCTCTATTCCATCATTCTGTTTAATAACTTAAGGTATTGTATTTTGCAGCTTGCTCACTTTGCATATCTAACGGCTCTTTTCAGCACTAGTTGTCAGTTCAAATGGTGAAATGCTCTCTTTCAAAGAAAAAAATTTTTCCTCAAAGCTTTCATCATGTGCAGATCACATCTATTGATATATTTCTGCAAGGAAAAGTTATGATTTCACAAGTTTCTTGTTCTGACTCAAAGAAATAAAGAAGTTTTCATATTAGAACCTTCCTTTAATTACATGTCCAGCACACACCCTGCTCATGAATGTAATTCCTTTTTAATTCATCTCGAAACACAACTGAAAATTTCATCAGACAGAGTTATAACATAATAAAAGATTCATTGCCTCTTGAGTTTGGTTGGGCCAAACAGGGAAAACAGTTGGCTCTTGGTTATCATGCCAAGACTTTCCAGCATTCAATCCATACATCATGACCTTGAGCCAAACATTTTTCCATATGACCTCCCCACTCAGTTGATAGGTACATACTCCAGGTTGTGTAGTTGTCAATTAGGTGTACTTTGGGAACATGAGATCAGAGGATTATACTGCTTCTATACAGAATTCTCCAGCTAAATTTTAAAGGCCTAATTTTTCATATATTTTTTTTCCTGTGACAAGGAAAAAAAGTCACCTATTACTTTTCACTATTTCCATTAATTTCATTTCTTTGTGAAAACCATAGTCAGTCTATGTTTATAGGTTAAAACCCCTCAAAATAATATTCCTTTTTAAGGTGCTCCTGTCAGTAAGCTTCCCACTCTTCTTTTTAGCAGTCAGATCAAGAACAGAACACAAAAATTATTTTTTGTTATATACTTTTTTTGTTATATACCATAGAAAGCATACAGCTTTGACAAATCTTATCACATATAACCTAAATGAAACTAAAGTGTGATCTGGTTTTAGAACATTCATGCTGAAAGCAACGAAGCAGATGTTGACAGAAGTTGTCGCCTGTGGATGGAAGTTGTATTCTGTAGATGGACATTGCATTGTGGACCACGAATGGAAGTAGTCTCACATGCTACCTTTCCCCACTTAGTGAAAGTCAAAATTAATTTTGATGAAGCTCAGAAACTCATGTGGAAAGAAATAAAATGTTTGTATGGTTTTATAAAAATAATAACCTCAAATCACATTTCTGAACTTCTGAAAAAGCAACTTGAATCAAGAAGCCAAAATGTTCACACCCAGGGGACTGGTAGGGGGTTCATTTCAACTCATGCTGAGACCACGCAAAAGGGCATCAAAGGCAGCCTTCTTAGTAAGCTGTGCATTTATGTTTGTCTTCAGTTGGTATAAAGTAATCATTGCATTATCATTGCACTTGTCCTTAGGAGCACTTCAATATAAATTCCACATTTCAATCATAGCGACCAAGATAGTCTCAATAAAATTTTTTTTAACGTCAATATTTTGGTCCAGACTTGAGGCTCACTCGAACAAAAACAGCACTACCAATGTGGTCAGTACAAAATGCAGACTGAGAATTTATACATTTTTTTTTTTGTCTGATACATGATAACATGTCATCTTACAACTAACCGTGCGTCACGCAATCACTTTTTTGCAATCATCTTTCATGATTATTTGCACTATTGTGGAATACTCCTTGCCACTTCCTTGATCATTTTCTTGAAACATAATTTCAAGCCTTCATATAGTCTTAGTGCTTTGTGCATCAGTTGGTTGGTGTGACGTCTGTACAGAATTTACCAACTTAATATGTCACCATTGAATATTAAACGTGCAATATTTGAGAAACAATTGACAGCTTTGCATGTCATGTGTTTATTTTGTTAAAAAAAAAAAAAAGTGTGGACTGAGACTGAAACTGTTCCTTTGATTTGATATATTTTCAACATTTAGGGGTGTACACCCACTGATTTTCACCTATGTGCCTTATATTGTTATTGGCTTACATGAGGAACTGGCAAATTTTTATAGGAAAAAGCAAAGCATTGCTTTCGCAACTGGCCATTTGATTACTTTCCTGGTGGTTTTATTTCTCATCTGTTTGGTGACTACACAAATATTAACTACTAAGAACAATTGTTGCAGCTTTATTAGAAACCAAATGCAATGGCCGGTTTGTTAAAAACAAAAGATATCAAGAAATGGGCATGGAATATTTCACAATAGTGCAAATGATCATGAAAGATGAGGGTTACAGATATTTTGCTGCTAGAGCAACATTTGATACCTGATTATGCCCACCCAGCCCATCCTCCACCCCACACACACACACACCAACAAAAAGGACACTGTCTACCTAATGACCTCTGCCCATCACAACAAATGCATAAGTTTTCTTATCACACAACAGTCCAAAAATAAAAGAAAATTTATTCCATAGGTCTTGAAAGTTCACATAAACTGAAATCAACTGTACCTATATTCAATGAGTCCAGAAATCAATACAAACCCAAGCCTTAATATGAACGAGCTGGCTCCAAGAGCCCTTTGATTAATAAATTCTGGCTGGGACTCATGCAAAAGTCTTCAATGTTTTCTTATCATGAAACTAAGCACACAAATTTTTCATTATCACTTTCTTTCAAATTTTGTGTTACTAGCCTCTAGGATATAAGCCAAACATGACTCCTGTTAACACTGTATAACTTAAATACTTATGACTCCTTCTTGACAGTATCTATCCACATGCAGAAGAAAAATTAATCTGTGTAATTTCAAGACTACAGACAGTGAAACTATTATAATGAGAAACTGACTTCAGTTCAGCTTAACAAAAAACTAATCTTAAAATTTTCCTATCACTTTTGAAAAATATGTTTATTGGATGTGTTGGGGAGCACTTTATTATATTTTAATCTCTATTTGAAAGTTATGATTAATTTATAAATTTTCATCTTTTGCAAAATGAGACATCAAGAATTTGAAAAACATTTTAAATATGCACAATAAAGTGAATTATGTATTGCAGTCTGTTCCCTTACTGATAAGATTCTGTCAAAAATATTAGCCAGTCAGAGTTATTTCTGTATTACATTAACCAGTCGCTCTCATAACACCTTCACAAAGCCATCACAGTTTGAAATTAATAATTAAATGAAATGTGTCTATATTTGGGGAGTTTTTTTACAAAAAGAGTAATTTTTTTGACAAGAAACAATGCTTCACAGTTTCCAAACTGAAGAACTTTTCAGTAAGAATTCATCTACCATATTTGCCTTGTGCTTACAAAAGGTTTAAAACAATTCTGTTAACCTTTTTTACTTTAAAACAATTCCATCAGCTTGATACCAATGATAGGTTGCACTTTAAAACTAGCACGCTTCAAACAAAAAATACATATTCAGTTCATCTGATCTCAAAAACCCAAAATTCACCAAAGTTTTAATTGATCAAATTATTTTACTCTCTAACTTATAAAAAAACATTAAAAACAAGATACAAAACATTGCATAATCAGTAGCTCATGGATAAAAATACTCAATTTCACAATCATCAACAAAAAAATAGCTTATAGAGCCAAAAAAATAGTATAAGCTCTGTATTATTAATAGTGCAGATACCATCTACTCTAAAAATAGAATTACATTCAAACATTGAAGCAGGCAAGAATTGGGTATAGATGTTGATGAAACATTTTCCGATGGGACACCCTTCTGATAAATTTCACGGTAAACACAACCCACAACCCTGTAAATTTATATCTACGGTGACAAAAGTAATATGATCCTACGTTTCAAAACAAGATTATCCTCCAAAGGGAGAAAACAAAAAAGGAGCAAAACAGGTTGCAAATAAAATCTGTGGGGTGTGGTTTTTTCCGGGCGTGTGCCAAAAACAGTTCCAACAAGACAAGTTATGACAACACTTTCAACCATCAGGTGGATTATTTTACAAGAAAGAATATAAAAAAATTCCAAAATCCGTTCAAAACATTCATTCCAAAAACGTTCAAAACAAAAACACACAGACTAATGTAATCAACCGAATGATAAATAATTTAAGACCGGATCTAACAACACAACTGTTTAATGACAAAAGGATAAAAATTGAATAAAAATTTACTTAAGCAATAATAAAAGAAATTCACAGTATTATCTTAACTGACATGCAATGATACTAAAATAAATTTAAAATTTGCGAGCGTCTCGTTTAGGGTGAAAATTCACCTTCGTTTCGGAAGTTACCCGGGCTACCTGTGTTTCTATAGCTAAAGACTTGAAAATTAACATGCACACCTCCGAAATAAATAAGGGTTTCTGGGTGCAAGTAAGGAATGTAAATTCTAATGAAACACGACCAGATGATGGCTAGACAAGGGTCCGAGTGAAACAGGTATTGTTAAAAGCGAACAACGAGCCCACACAACCAGGGTCAACAGTGTCTTGCGTGATAACAACACGAAAACAAAGTCACCTTGATAGTTTTTTCTAGCATATTTAATATTTAATACGTAAAGGAAAACCTTCAACGCAAGCATCTTGAAACGAAGTCAAAAGACAAGGTAAACAAACTAAAAAATGGCCCTGCACTTTGCCAAAAATTCTCACTGAGGGTCGTGGACCGAAGAAAAACCCGGGAAAATACTTAATGAATGTGAAACTACTCCTCGAGCCAGACACATGACGGCGAGTTGAAGCAAAATTCGCTCGAATGAAAACCGTTGTTTAAGTGATACTAGAATTCTACATAACGATCGACAAGGCTAGCAACGTTTTAAATAGTAAACTACGATTTCCAAGCGGTTATATATATAAAAGAAATAAGTGAATTTGCGAAATCGTTCTGTTTCATAACCTTACTATTCGTGCCGCTTCTACGATAAACCGTGTAATTTAAGGATTCAATTCACTTTCAAGCCAACTCTCAGCACAACTAACAAGTTGCATAACAACAGAACACCTCTCTTTACCTGGTAACTTCTTTCTCCATTTATCTTTGCCACAAATCCAACACCACAAGCTTCTTTTTCGAGATCCGGAGAGTATAACCCCTGTTTACTCGGGTAGCCATGCTTGGACCGAACCATGTCTCTTGACTTGAGTTCACGTTTTCAGTTAGACATAGACTTTAATTAGTACGCAGGGCTAAAGTAATTGAGAAACTTGGGAATACACTCTGTACTGTACACTCGCGCACGAGTTAACATGCAAAATATTGGACCCGATAGAGAAACGTGTACTAGTAACTGTTTGGATAAAAAAGCGGACTTTGGCGCTACTACACACGTGAACGACATGCTGTGGTGTTACCGGAAATGTGACCAATAAAAAAACACTTCCGGTCCGGCTTGCGATGTCATTGGTACAGATCCAGACTTAACCTCACCAAAAAAAAAAATTATAAATATTTCACCACTGCTTAAATGTTAATCGTGTTGCCTCAATATCGAAATTTCCAAATAAATTTGCAAGGCTGTAAATTTTTTCAAGGAGAATTGCCAAAGATGTATGTGTTATGTAAATATGTTCTAATAGTAAATGGCTTCAATTTCAGTTATGAATTAATCTAGCAACGATCATCATCATTATTTTTTCATGCTATTCGTAAATCCGCTCTAGTGATAAAAAAAAAAAATTTGACCTGGAGGTACCATAAATAAATGTTAAGCAGAGGTCTCTTTGTCGCTTGAGCGTCGGTGATGCCGGATGGCATACTCTGCAGGTGAAGGGTACTTTCTTTGAGCAAAATTAGTCTTTAAGGGATATTCTTGAATACTTAATGACAAGGAGTCCACCAGCGGAATGACTGAGAAATCTGAGCAAAAATTCAGAGATTTTCCTCCCCTGAATCGTGTTTTACTGGCATCAAGCTGAGCGTTAGAGTATAAAGGCATTTCACGTGGCATTTGTCTGTATTTCTCAAAATTAGAACGGAAATCTTAACAGAAATCTCTTTTAGTTCAAGATAATTGGTTGATTTTTAGTGCAGCATTCGTGCGCTTTTTCACTGGCAGCGATCGAATGATCATTTACCGGCATTCTGTAAATTAATTTCCTTGACGCTTTCTTGTTTGTCATCACTCTTGTCCAGTTCGTGAGTTATGATGGAGTACATGACTATAGCCTAATAGCTTGCTTGCAGGCAGGAACGTGACTTAAGTAATCAGCAGCAGGTGATCATTTTAACGCTACAGGGGTTCTCTCTCGTGATAAAATGTATCGGCTAGATTCTGTTATCCGGCATTTTTTTTTTCTTTTTTGAAGGTAACTTGCCACACATAAAGAAATTATGTGGCTCTTAGAACCTCTGTTTACCAGTTGTTGATGAGGGAGATTTTAAAAAAAGTTTGTCCCTCTTTTTCTTGCCTAGAATGAGCTCGGCACGATTAATATGACACGTGATTTACTAGTGCACTATACAAAATTGTTTTTCATGAAGAAATGTCATGCTTAAATGCCTAAACTAGCCATTCCTTTCGTCATTTTCATAAAATAAGCTTCTTTACGTCCAAAGTCCATTGTCTCATGTCAGACAAAATATTCCTCCTTCAAATACAATGAGTAGTTTTCGAATCAACCACACAGGCTTAAGGCGACACCTTTTCTTTTAATGGGTACTTCATTCGCGTGTTTCACGACTCCAACCTCATGTCTGCATTGCGTGCTTCCTTGCGCTCCATCTGGAAGTTTTGCCCCGACAAATCGGCAACTCTCGCCGTGATACCTGTTGAGTTCTAGCCGACAAGATAGTTCTCCCGGGGTAAGTTCGCACCCTGCGGGATAGCTCATCCGAGAGTTTAGGAGTAGGGCATTTTCATTGTCCTCTAAGCCTCTATGTAGATTAATTTGTTTTATTTTACCTAAGACTTTTGAAGCCGCCCCTAAGGAATACATAACAATGTCCATGAAAAGGATTAGAAGTCAAACAAAGACATTAAAGTCATTCAAAAAAGGACATTGCGAAACTTTTCAAAACGCTGGAGTTACGAAACATTTTGAAATGAACCGTCCTATGGTCTGGTAGACGCGTCACGCACCGCCGGCGTTGACACGCGTTGAGACGCGTTGACACGCCTACACAGTCGAGGGAAACACCAGTACTACTCATTAGAACATAGCGAACGATCTCTGGTTCGACTTCTACAGGGACTTGGTGCGCGTAGAGATTTCATAAAAGAAATTAAACAAAGACGAGAAATAATATTTTTTAAACCTCTCTCGACAGTAAGAAGACTAAGAAAGCCTCAGGAAAAAAAAACCCGCAGTGAAATATTTTCACGTACTCGTGCGAGTTTCCATGGTTGAAAAGGCTGAAAAAGCAGGTTGAAAAAAACTATCTATGGTTAAAACACATAAGGTTACATAACAGTCCAATATTTTGAGAAAAAAAAAACGCTTTATAGATACAGGAAACATTTTTTACAGTTAACTTTTTTTAAGGCCAACGGTTTAAATTTGTCAATTCTTACGCTTTAAGCCTAAATGTTTTTGTCCTTTTATGACTAGCTTCATTGAGATCCCCTTTTTGAGTTAGAAGATGAAAATAAAAGATTTCTGAAATGTTAGAGGCCAATCTCGCTGATCAACATAAATACAAGACTTGGTTCCTAGATTTCTAGTAAGGAAAGGTTGATCGGTTTTTTGAATGAGTTCCTTCCCGCGGTGTTTCTATTTACAGGAGTATTTATGCTCCCGGCCTTGATATGTTAGCAAAGGTGGCAGGTTGTGGAGCCAAATAATTTACTTCGGACGAGGAACACGGTCGATCCTCAGGCGGCCCCCTGTGTTGAGCGGCCACCTGTAGTGAGCGGCCCCCTGTGTTGAGCGGCCACCTGTAGTGAGCGGCCCCCTGTATTGAGCGGCCCCCTGTATTGAGCGGCCCCCTGTATTGAGCGGCCCCCTGTATTGAGCGGCCCCCTGTATTGAGCGGCCCCCTGTGTTGAGCGGCCCCCTGTGTTGAGCGGCCACCTGTAGTGAGCAGTCGGTTGTCAAAGTCCCGAAATTTTCCGCACTACTGAAGTTTTTCATTTTCACCCCTTTAAACACCCTTAACCCTCTTCCACCTGTATTGAACGGTCACTTAAAGCGGAACCACCCAAAATGCACTAAGAATAATTTCCCGAGTCAAATATATCCCATTTTCATCTCCCTAAATTAATGTTAGCTTCGCTCTTTGAGTTCAAAATTTCTTCAACGTATTGCATATTAACTTTATTCTTAGAAATGTTACAAGAAAATGGCATTTTTTTTATTGCGTTTTACCTTATTCTTAACCTATTCTTAACCCTTTAACTCCCAGTAGTGATTCACATGTAACTTCTCCCTAGAGTATACATACATTATCTAGCAAACAGGTGGTGAGAATATTCAAACTTATCAGATAAATGATTTTATCTTGATTGAACCTCAAATTCTCATAACCAATTGACAAGGAAATGTGTAGCAGCTAAAGGGAAGAATTAACAATCACATCTTGGGAGTTAAAGGGTTAAACCCCGCCATTCCCCGTGCGTGACCGCTTAATACCGGTTCGACTGTAATTCATTTACAGAGCACTTTTGGTTCATCTTGGGGGAAGCTTTATCTATGCCATAATTTTCGGGTTTCCTGAGATTTTTTTGGATTGCAAAGACAAGTAGGTCTAATTTTCTTACCAAGTTTGTTATGTTACACCGTAACCCTTTATTTGACCCAAAGGTGAGCAGACACGAGGGGTCCACTTGCACGGACATCTTGCAGCGATATGTTGCAGCGACAAAAACTTCTGTTGCTGCAACATGTCGCTGCAAGATGTCCTTGCAACTTGACCCCCCTACCTTAAGAGTGGCTAGCATCTAATTTCATCATCTCAAGGCCGGTTAGGCAACACACTAACCACTTACAAAATGCAAAAGTAAACATTACAAGCTACAATAAATACATTACAGAATAAAAAGTTAACTATAAAAATTGAAACGCTCTTATTAAGCTAACGAACTAAGGTAATTCTTAAATTCGGCAAGAGACGTAATATCAGGCTTATCAAGGAGGAGCTGATTGCAGTCTACAGCAGTTCTTGGAAAAAAGAAAATTTGAACACATCTTTCTTACAGTGAGGTCCAAGAAGCTTAAGCCTATGGCTGCTCCTGGTACGGATCTCATTCCTAAAATTCAAAAAAGTGCTAATCTTAATGTCAACTAAACCATGAATAATTTTTTACATGAAGATCAAACGAGATCTTTTTCTCCTTTCTACAACGGTGCAAAGTTCTAATTTTTCTAGCATGGACGTGACGCTTGACGACCAGTCATAATCGTTCGTACAAAAACGGGCTGCTGCTCTTTGCACTCCCTCTGGTCTAACAAAGTCGCATTTGAAATGTGGGTCCCAAGCAATGGACGCGTAGTCGAGCTTGGGCCGGACTAAAGTAACATATAACGTCTTTTTGATGCTCTCCGTGCAGAACCACACATTTCTCCTAACCAAGCCTAACATCCTGTTGGCGGTATTACAAATATGATTTATATGCTTCTTACATCTAAAAGTCTATTATCTATTTCAACTCCTAAGTATGGATGTATATTAACGTTTTCTAAAATTTTTTACCACAGAAGTAAAATTTTGCCAGAGGTAGTTCGCGCTTCAGTGAGACTTCATTTCTCCTTAAAATATCACCTCTCAATCACACTTTAAGGCTAGAGAATAAAGGAATTGATCACCACCTTAATACGCTCGAGATTGCTTTACAGTTTCTCCTTGTCAGCGCTTAAGGAAATGTATCAAAAACAGTATGGAGAATATGCACACTGATGTTAGGGTCTGGAGGTATTTTGAGCAATTTGGTATAAGCACAAATTAATACTGAATGCCGTTCGTACCAAAAGAAACGAAAAGATGGTCATGTTAAGTGTTAGGGATGATTGGATATTTTCTTTCATATCACTAGATGCTTTCATTCATCACTTTACGGGTTTACAGTTGGCTTGTTAGCTCAGTTGATAGAACACTGCACCGGTATCGCAGAGGTCATGGGTTCAAATCCTGTACAGGTCTGAATTTTTATCAGGCCATATTCTCATTACTGCTTAAGTTGTGTTCATTACTGCGAAGATCACTTTCAAAATCACTAACTACTTTCCTTTTACACTTTATAAGGCAACTGGGATCAGGCAGTAGCACTGATCCATTTGAGCTCTAAAGCGTGATTATGTAACCGAGGTTATAATCACTGGTAGCTAATTTTCAAGTTTGCAGGTTCTCTAACCCTTTAACTCTCAAGATTTGATTGTTAATTCTCCCCTCTAGCTCCTGCACACTTCCTTGTAAATTGTTAGATCACGATAACAACTTCTACCTGATGAGTTTGAGTATTCTCTTTACCTGTGCACTGGATAATGTATGAATATCATAGGGAGAAGATACATGTTAATCACTTCTGGGGATTTGAGAGCTAAACTCTCTCCTCTACTGTGCCATTGCAACCTTTCTTTGGGGAATGTTAGGCGATAGTGCAACTTAGCGTGACATAAAGTTTGCGTGACGTTTTCTAACGCTGATGGACGGTTTCTGAGTGTTCACCCGGCAAGCCAACCATTTGGTGAGTACTGTTTTGTATTGCCTCCACTCCATTTACGCCCTTAAAACAACACGGGAAGAACTTTTCTAAGATAAGCCTTGCTCCATGGCGAAATTTGTCATTGAAAATGAAATAGATCCAGGGATTGAGGGTGCTATTAGTTAGAGTCAAAAACCACGTTATAAACATGAGGTCAATCTTACCGCAAAGATAATGAAAGCGGCTAAAACAAACTATCAGTCCAATAACTAGAGGCAAACGAAACAAAATCAACGCTGCAACAATAGCGATAAGCATTGCCAAAACCTTGTGTGTTATCCGTTCCCTCCTTTCCTGAGTCGATGGCAGTTGGTTTCCGGGCGGTGCAGCCCGACTGATTTTAAATCCAATGGCAACGTAAAGAGCGATGATGATGACAAGTGGTATAGCTATTATGGTGGTGTAGCAAAACAAGAAATATGAGACTGCCAAGCCTAGCTTCTTAAATTCAATGGTGCAGTGAAGAATTCCGGGGGAAACCTCCACTACCGCGATCAAGGCGAATAAAGGGGCAGTAAACACTGCAGTGAAACTCCACACGGTGATAATTATACGACGGGCGATTTGAATCGTGATTATTCTTTTCATCGGATAAAACACCAGAAAATAGCGATCCAACGCCACTATAAGAAGACTTCCGGTAGAAACCAAGATTGGCAGTTGAGTAACGAAGAAGGAAAAGCGACAGAGGATCTGACCAGCTACTCCTCCGACAAGCCATCGAAAGTTATAAACAGTCAAGACAATATTCTGAGGAACCGCATAAGCAACCACTAATATGTCGGCCAAGGCCATGTTCACGATGAAGTAATTACTCGGAGTTCGCATTCGCTTGTTGGCGTTCTTGTACACTATTGCAATCAGCAAGGAGTTTCCGATAAGACTGAAAATTAAGACGACAAGGTAGGCTGCGATTTTAACGCCAGTTGTCATGGGATTTAAGCTGGTACTGTTGTTGTCTGAAGAAGGGAGTGTTGTGCTGATGGTCGAAGAAGACATTTCTGTCAGACGCCCAAGAGTTATTTCGTTTCTGCCAATCTCGTTATGTTCTCTTTGGTTTTATGTCTTTAGAAGAACAAAAGATGATGTCTTCCGGGCTTGTTTTGGCGTCAAGACCTTTTTTTCCAAAGAGAAAATTTCAATGCCTTTGAAGAGTTCTCTGCCCTATCTAACTGTCGTTGTGGTTATTAGTTTAACGATATTGAATCACCTGTTTCGCACGGAGAGTTCATTTTAAAAGTCATCAACAAAATCTTTATTTAATTAGAAATACGACATTTCGTTGCTTTGTTTTGAAGATAACTATTTACGAAACACTTAGAATATATACTGGTATATTTAATGATCTTAACATTTCTGGCACCTGAGAACAAATTTTGAAGTAAAGAAAATTTATTAAAAACAATTTTTGTTGACTGTTCGGTTCTGATAATCTTTAATTGAATGCAAATGACAGGTTCATTAATAGCTTTTCTTTAACGGAAACAGCAAGACTCTGTTTGAAATTACCTTCACAACTAGTACTCCAATAATTAACACCAGTGCAATTTTAATTTTCAATCATTTGATCTTATCGAATCTTTTCAATCCTGCACTCCCACACTGGCGCATAATCCAGGTGACTTAACCGTCAGAAGAGGAAATTAAATTATTAGAGTTAGAACGAATTGACTAACTCGATGTTTTTTGTGTACATTAAAACTCTCAATATCCCTTCCCAAAGGGAAAAACGCCGGGCTTTCGTGAAGGATGACTGTGATTAAAATTAGCATTTTTAATAATACTTTTATCTCAATAAAAATCATTAGCAATCGCAAGGACAATATAAAAACAAACCCGAAGATTTGCACATGTCGTGAAAACACCATGATCTTGGGTGACTGAATTTTTTTTCTCTCAAAAACACTTAGAAACGGCAGGCAAGCTCAAGTTTCGGTTGAGGAGGCGGTAAACAAAAGCATCTTAAATCATAGTTTCTACTATGTGCCTCGTTAGTTGAGGCTTCACAGGACAATATACCATACATCCCTAAAAATTTTGTTTGCAATCATAGTTTCGCTTATCCATAACTAATAAAACTAAGCCATCTCTAATTTAGCCAACTGTTTTATCATCTTTTGTCGTTGATTTGCATGAACTGGGTCTAAGACCGAAGCTTAGGTGAGATTGCTTTAAGTCGTTCAAGCACGAGGATAATATCCGACAAGAAATAAAGACATCGAGAAAACTTATCAAGCACTAAGATTATTTGGGAGACACATGAGGAACCACTTACCTGTATGCATGCGTGATGTGTTGCATGTTGGTTGTACTGTTTACCACTTACCAAGGATATTGCAAGGCATGGTCATCTCTAAGACGGCTGGGCTTAAGCGACCCTACCCTGACCGTCTCCTGACCCCAGGCCTCACCGCGTACGCGTGATCAAGTCCAAAGCCCAGGGAAACAAGCGGTCCTAGCGATGCTTTGAGATGCCTTTCATTGTCCTCATATGATATTAATCAAAAATATAATAAAATTCTCGAACGTGATTGGCTATCACCAGCCCGATTTGAGCACTAATAGGAAAGCGTGCGCGTCATGCTTATAATTGGACATTGTGGTAGGAAAGTTAAAGGGACACTTAACACCTTGCGGTCGTCCGATTTTGTTAATTACTCGTGTTAGTACCGACCGAATTGGACTCCACACGGTCCTATTACCTTTATAAATCTTAACTGTATTTTGTCAATCACTCGAATAAACAACCAAGCTTGAAAAATTTGTCTACTTTTAAAAACAAAAGAAGTTATGAAATTGCCATATTTCCAAACAAACATCTGATACTCTCACTAAGTTTGAAAAAACCTTTCAAGGGAAATTCTGTAGAAATCTCTGACTACCGGACAAAAAGTATTTTCAGAAACCTGTCCGGCGGCCTGACATTTTAGGAGAAATAGATATGAGTATTCATTAAAGTTTGACTCCGAATATTGCTTTTCCAGAGTTCTGATTGGTTCACTCAACTCCGGTTATCAGCTCGTATTTCGAGTCATTGTGCCAACTGTTGCGGAGCTGAATTGAAAAAGGCCCCAAATATCCAAACGTTGAAATTCGATAAAATAATTATTTCATTCGCGCATGGTGGACACGAGACTGGTTATAGCCAACTCAGCGCTGCGTGCCTCGTTGATATTTACCCTCACACATCCAACGTGCGTTCACTTCACACAACTTATTTTAAAGTGCGCGCGAGTAATTCCCAGACTTCTCTCTATTGTTGAGTCTGAAATGAATGAATGACGTCACTAATGCACACTTTTCACAACATGGCGGAGAAAGGTTCCGGGTTGGAACTGTCATCAGAAGCCCCATGGCAGCGTGTTAAACATCCTACGGCCAATTTTTCTGCACTTTGCCTTTTCAGAATCAAGAGGTAAGAGCTGTAAATATTTGGCAATGAGATTCGACTTTCCTCCCTTCTGATCCTCTAAAGATCATCTGGAGTTTCACTTTAACTATTAGCACCTCGGCACAGAAAGACAGCTAGCTAGCGGCTGTGCATACGACAGATTGTCGAGAGATCAATGATTCACTCTTGTGGGAGCTCAAACAGCTATTTCCATTTTAAGTTTTGACTGTCTGACATAAGCTGTGCCCGTTACGAGCTTCAATAAAGCGGCCAGCTGATAGAAGAATGATTTATTGTAAATACTAATATTTGTTATGCAGAGCGGTAAGTTTTGACAAGTATTTTAGGAAACAACCCTTTATAGCTTTCAGTGAAAAGGAAGAGCGACATGTTTCTGTTTGTGGTGAAAAGTATTTTAAAAAAATTTCCTTTGAACTTAGTGTTATACAGTAGGTTTTAAATATTTGCATAGGCAACAAAAAAGCTGGTCTCAATATTGTAGAGAATAGTGTCGTCTTTACTTGAGAAAATCGATTATTCAAAAATTTATTCAAATACACCTGTTTCATGAACACAATTTTCTTCCCGTCAACCGGTTGTACACAGGAAAGTAAGTTAAGCTAAATCAAAGAAGGAAATATTCTTGAAATAATTTAAGTGTTCTTTGATGGTCTTGCAAGGAAGAATAAAAAACTGAAACCTGTGAAACTGCACAACCAAATTCAAATTTCTCCTGGTCAAACCCCCTCCTTGTGGGAGATGCTGTGGTGTAACAGGCAGCATGCTGGACTTCAGGCAAAAGGTCCAGGTCTGAAACCTGGCTGGGTCAATGTGGCAGGTTCTTCTGAAACATACTTTACTCTCATTGTCTCTCTCCACCCAGGGCCAAGTTGTTCAAATCACAAATAATTAATCCTTTAAATCCCACAAGTGATTAGCATGTAATTTCTCCCTATAATATCCATACATTATCCAGCGAACAGATGATGAGAATACGTGAACCCATCAGGCACAAGTTGTTATCTTAATCTAACACCAAATTCTCACAAATATTTTACTAGGGAAATGTGTACCAGCTAGAGGGGAGAATTAACAGTCACATCTTGGGAGTTAAAGGTTAAGCTAACTGAGGTTCAGCCAATAATTTTTGATTTAGTTCATAACTTTGCAGACAGTTTTAATTGTTGATGTTTTTTCCTTCAGCTTTGTTTTACACTGAGGCCTTTATGCCAATATGCTTTATTTCAAGAGACAACTCAGCACCTGACTGCAGGATTAAATATTAAAATTACAAGAAGTTATAAGTTTACGCTTTCAATATCAAAGGGTAAACATGTCAATGAAATCCAAACAATCTCACTTTTTTTCATTTGATGTTTTTTTTCTGCCTAGAGATATTACGAGCATGTACAAAGAGCCACCTCCTGGTCTGTACGTAGTAGCAGATGAAAACGACATCACAAAGGTTTGTGAAAAATCAAACAGGATATTAGAGTCAGAAATTTGACTGTTTTTCAGGGAAAGTGTGTGTTGTTACAATGTTGGGATCCAAAAACTCCAACAAGAATATCCAACCCTAGTGTTTTAATCAGCATTATTTTGTTGAGTGATCTGTGCCTAGAAAGAATTCCTTTGTAGTTTGGGATATTAATGAATAATATTTTTATTTAATATTTTTTTTTTCAGGTTCATGCTTTGGTCATTGGTCCTCGTGGCACACCATATGAGGGGGGGTTTTATTATTTCCTTATCGCCTTTACCCCTGATTACCCAATCAAACCTCCTAAAGTACGTCTATTGACAACAGGAAATGGGAGAGTCAGATTTAACCCCAATCTGTACAAAAATGGCTTAGTTTGTCTTAGTATTTTAGGGTAAGCAGTTCTTTTAACTTTTTTGTTGTTGTTGTTCTTTTGCCTTTAAATTGTTAATTTGTTCTGTTTGTACAAATAGTGATACTGGTAATGGTTATACAAGAAAGAATGTAATGGGTGAATTTCATGGTAGGGCAAAAAAACCATAATTTCATAACTTCAGCCCAGGTTACAGAAAGAGAGACAAAGTCTACCTAACAAGGCTGACTCATCTATGTCAGCAATTACCAGAGAGGTCAAAGGTCTTTCAAGAGCTAATTTGCTCTGCAGGAATTTTTTTTCAAAGGCTACTGGTGTTGAAAATTCATGCACATCACATTTGACTGTCATATGATTTTGATTGCTTATTGTTGTTGTCTAAAAAACTATTTTTCATACACAGAACATGGCCTGGCCCTGCATGGAGTCCTGCCCAGACCCTCTCTAGTCTACTGATATCAATCCAGTCTCTTATGAATGAAAAACCATATCACAATGAACCAGGATATGAAGGCAAGGTTGGTTAAAGTCCTTCAGAGTCACACTGCTTCTTAAGCCAAATAATTGTTTTTATTCCAGTTCTATATTGATGCAATAGTCACTGATGGGAAGGAGTTTTGTGTGCAGCTCTCACTTTTGAAAAAATTATATAAGACAAACTACCTATATCCAAATTCCAAGTTAAAAATATTGCTGCCTGGATGGATGAGACATTTATCCCTGGAACAGTGCACTTAAACATAGTGATGCAAGGAGAGTTTATTTAAGTTTTAGTTAATTTTCAGGAGGCCTACAAAGATGACAGCAAAAGATATAATGAATGCATTCAGCATGAAAACCTTAGAGTTGCTGTCTGTGATATGTTAGAAGGAAAACTAAATTTTCCTCCAGCTCTCAGGTGTGTGCTTTTGATCAAATATCAGTGATTTCTTCTTATTACAATTAATTTTAGTCGTACTTTTATTAGGTATTAATAATTACTTTTGTTGAGAAAGAAATGGCTCACCAACCATAGAGAATTATGGTGACCCCTTTACTCCCAAACTCTCACTAATTCACTTCTTCTCAGTGTCTGCCCTGCATTTTTTATAATTTTTGCTCTAAGAATTCAGCATGAGAGCAAAAAATTGTGCCCCCATTGACATTCCCTTTTTTTGTCATTAAAGGAAGGCTTATATTCTGTTATACAGTGTATTGAATGTAGGGAAAACTACAAATTGGCCATTGCTGGGGGTGAAATGGTTGAAGTTAAGGTCTCAGACTCCATTAGAAAGCAGCCCCCTCCTGTGAAAATAATTGGAAATTTTATTTTCAAGGGGAAGAGTAAATGGTCAATGGTTGTGTCCTGGGGGTGTAGGAAGGCATTTTCAACAGGGTGTCCTAAACCAGTACCATACTAGACCTAAGAACATACAGGGATGGGTTAATTAGTTTTTCTTCCAGAAGAGGTCATATACACCCCCTAGAACTTGCTCCTCATGAGCCATACCTCTGGGTCCATCTCAAAAGCATGAGAAAAAATGAATTGTGTGGCTCTTCATTAGTTTGAAAAGGTGATGTCACCCGAATATTAGTAACTTGATCAGGTGTTGGTTTGAATGGGCTTTGAAAATTTAAGGAATTAATTTTGAGGTATAATATTTGAATGGGTGAGGGTTGAGAGGTCACAGGTCTTGTAATTTAAAAAGCGATACAATTTTCAAGGTTGTGCTTGTCCTGGCAAGAAAATAACAAAACTGACACAAACTACTCAACTACCAGCAGAAATGGGATGAGAATTGAAGTAAAAACTGTGCAAAAGATGTTCCAAGGGGAATGTGGAAAGAGAATGAAGCATCCAGAAGGGAAGGAAAAGCAGGGAATAAATCTTATCTATGAATGTAATTACTTTTTCAGAAAACGAATGGAGAAGTTATTCCTTGGGTTTTATGACAGATATTCATCAGTTGTTAAGGAAAATATGCTCTCTAATGGAAAAAGGATGAAGGTAAGTAAGTCTTTGCCCCTTTCTTCTCTCCATGTGGTGACTGTGTTGAAGACGTCAGATGCACTTTGTTGAGGTAAGTAGTACATGTATATGATTGCTGGAAGAAAGTTAGGTTTTGCAGGGGTGGGAAGGGGGGTTGTCTGTCATCTAATTCACTTTCTGTTCCATGTGAGGGTATTCCATTAAGAACTGCAAGATTATTGCAATAGACTGTGATATTTTGCAACACACTGTGCATCAGTCATCATCAGATTGAAGTCAGGTAGAGCAGTGAAATGTTTACCCTGGTTTACACCAAGTGAATCATCAGTTTATGGATTGTGTCAGCCACCTGGTGATGAATGGTGCCCACTCTTAAGTATAGTGATGTAAAAATTTAATTCTGACATAATCAAACATGTTGTACTTCTAATTTATTTCTTGTGTCCCTGGTTTAAGAAGAAATAACATTGACAAAATTCATGTGGTTCCCATCATGGTTTGACTTCTAGGGAGGGGGAAGGGTTCTTCCTAGAAATAAGTTAATGGGGATATGTTGCTGGTGGGGCCGTATTTTAATGACTGGATGGACCATAATTTTCTATAGAGCTACGAGATTGAGGGTGCACATTTTTGGGATTTTGGGTGTAAGAAAAGTCAGGTAAGAAGGAATTTAAAAAAGGGGAAGATTTGCAGTTAAAAAGCTGACCAAGGTGGGGTCTATGATTGGCCACAGAAAAGACTCTAATGGGGTAAGGGTTTAGATTTGATAGACCAGTGCCATATACCCAGCAAAGACTGACCCATTTACCTCATCCCCCCGGTTTGATTCTTTAGTCTTGTTGCAAAACATTTCAGAATGAAGGTGCACAGAATGATATTGCATTTTTACATACCATGGAATTGCAATCTGATACAATAGATACGACATTCATTTGCTCACAGGATCCCTTCGGGGAGAATGAGGGAAAGTTGGATTATGCGTCGATAAAATACAGACTTGACGCAATTAAGAGCCGCCTTGATGAGAAGAAGGCTATGGGGCATGAATTGAACGACTCATCGAGTGAAGAAGAAGAACAACGGCAGACAAGAGAGGAGAATGCTCCAGAAATAGATGACTGGGATGCCTTTCTATATGACGACGACTGATTTGAATTCAGGAAAAGAATTTTTTTTTTCGATTACATCGTTCAGGACACAAAAGGATGTGTCAAACCGATGACCATTTCATAAGCTATTTATACTGTTACTGTTTTACAGGTTTCATAAAAACGCAAGGTGAATTATATTGTAAAGTAAGACACAAAAGAATAATTGTACGCACATCGAGTTCCAGATTTCTAAGCCTTACTAGTTTGTTTAACGTTAGTGTTATACTTTCAAGATTTCTTTAGCAATGCGTTTTTTCGGAGAACTTTGTCACTGTTTAAATTAACCCAACCAAAAGCTCTACTCGAGGAATATTAATGTTAGAATATTTCTTAGCAGTTCCAGTACATTATCTTTTATGAAAAGAAGGCTAAGAAGTTGTTAATGATGTGTTAAAATGTAAGGGTAAGTATTTGTTTGTATATATTCTGCATAAACGAAAGTACTTAAAATTTTATCGAAGCGATGTGTAAATAAAACATTATTAAATTTGCGTACAATGTATGTGCGTTTAAGGTAGATGGATGCCATTTTGTTCAACTTCCCGAGAGTTTACAGAAGAGATTCTGAAAAATCTAAATTTCGTTTTGGCTTGGTACCTTTGAGGTTACTGTCAACAAAACAGGGTGCCTTCCGGAAAAATCGTCATGGAAAATTATAAATAATTGTAAAAGACTTAATTAAAAGTGTAGATTCGAAAAATAACAAAAGTTCTTGTGTACAGTTTCTGTTTTAGAAGGCAAGCAGAACCCTTTTTTCTAAACAAAAAACTAACAGTGTTTGCTTAACCGAATTTACCAGCCTCCGCTTTACTGTGGACATCTATCAAACTGGACTTTACCATACAGCAGATAATTGCTGACGAAGTCTGTAAAGCCATTTTTGCAACAAGATTGGTTCCTGAGAAAATCTGTTTTGAAGTTGGACAAAAGGAAATATTTCGGTTGTTGTCACATTTTTGACCATTTCCTGGCTGTGGTCCTGAATGACTCTACCTCTGTCAGTGATTGTGTCTTTTCGTTTGATAAATATCGCTTAATCTCTGTTCTAGCCCGCGAACTTTCGCCCACTGCTCTAAGCATGTGACGAAAGGAATCCCGCACTCAGTTGTCAGGGACCCATTCATCAGCTTCTTATCCCTGAATTCATAAATTAGCAAACACCTTACGCATCCTCTGGAAATTTGAAAAAAAAATTACCCATGAAATTTACCGCTGCGTTTTGTGGTTCAAGATCGCGTTAAAGGTGTAGTTGACTTCTACACGTGATGGCACTGGTAACGAGTCGCTTGCTCATAACCAGGCCTCCCGCGCTATCTGCCATCTTTGTCTTGAGAGAGAGGATTAATCCGTCTCAACTTCCTTCGTTGCCCCTTGTCAAGTGAGGAAGTAGTGGGGCAACATGCCAAAATTTTTACGTCTAGTTGTTGTTGGAGGTAGTTGTGTCGGAAAAACGGCAGTGATCGAGCAAGCTGTGTTTGGAAATCACTCTCCGGGCCAAGTAAGAGAGCATTTTAAAATTTTTAACAAGCTCTGCAGCTGTTGGTCAAAATGAATTATTTTATAGCGCGCAGTAGAAATGAGAACACCTGCTATAGAGCTAAGACACTAGAGGAAGATGTTAATCCTTTCAGTGGGCGTTAAAGTGGGGAGGGAGTGAGGGATATGTGTACGTATTATTCAGCACCAAGGGAACAAGGAGTGATATATGTTTCAGATGAAGGATCAAACGCTGTCTTTTTACTCTTCCTCTTAGGGACTAAGTATTTTCTCTTGAATTACCTTTGTCATTATTGAATATACTGGGGCTGCTGAGTAGTGAGGCTACTTAACTGCACCTCATGATCTAGACACCCCATGAATGTCCAAGAATATTAAAGTAATGTGTTATTTTTAATTTAATTGTAAATGGAGATGAAAAACCAAAGAGCTGCACCTCTGCAAAGAGTAACCTTTTCTTAAATGTTCAACAAATTAGGGTGATAATTAGCTATTTCCCCTTTGTTATGCATGAATTAAAAATCCATGCTAAAAAAGTACAACTTGACATATTGTCAGAACTTTAAAATAGAGCGGTTTTCCGCGGAGATATTTTGTTCAATTTCTCTTGTTATTGTTCTCATTAAATATGAAGCCAATGTTTCATACTATTGAAGACATTTATGAAGTACAGTTGGATACTGAGCGAGGAGTAAAAGAAAGAGTACGAATTTTTGATACTGCTGGTGTGGTGAGTTATAAGTATGAATTTTTCAGTATATATGTAGTGTTACTTTTCTAGGTTCAATGAGTTCACCCTTTAACTCCCGTGAGTAACCAAGACAGAATTTCTTCTTACATTACTAATACAATATCAACCAGATAAGTGATGAGAATAAAGAAAAATATCAATTTGGGAATAATTAGTTGATCCAATATTAAATTCTCTGAACTAATATTATAAGAATTGTATGGTTGACAGTAAGAAGAATTAAAAATTTGATCTGGGACTTAAGGGTTAAAAGAAAGGATGGAACCTTCACTCCTAGGCACTACTTTTTTTTTATTATTATATCTCTAATCCATAATATAAAAGATTTCTTGGAATTGCAAGTATGATTTTCATTAGAAGAAATATATATACCAGAAAAAGAGAAAATACAATACAAAACATAGTACGAATGAAGAAGGGCTTGGTATAGTTAAAACTAATTAATGCCTTTTTCAAGTGTAATTAACAGAGCTTATTTACTCATTTTAATATTAAAAAAGATTATGTGTATATATATAAATTATTTATAGAAAAAAAACAAATGCACAAATGACACATGCACACATAATTTATGATGAACGCAATCAAGTGAGGTTGTTAATATTGAGCAAAATAATATTTATAAAGTGCCTTTTTGAAAAAATTTTTGGAAAGAAGATTTGAATGTAAAGGGACACTTACTGCCTCTCCTGCCCCTTTCAGTGTTGGTCTGCAAGGCGGCACAGAAAAATTGACAATTTTATTTGTCAATTTGTTAAAACAACAATTTGTTAAAACAACAGTGGAAGGGGGGGGGGTGGTGGGGGAAGAACATCATAAACAATGTGTTGGAAAAAGGTGCTAACTAATTATATCCAGGAGTGCAGCTCTTGTCCAATTCCTGAATTCTTTAGACCTGGATATAAAGATGACAGGGATGTGTCCAATACGTAAGAATTATACTCTCAGGGAAATAATTTTGTTGTCTTGACTGTTATTTTATCAGTTTTGGTCTGAATTGGAGATGCCTTGTTACCTCCCTCAAATTAAAACTACTATTTGATTGTATAACTGATCAAGAAATATTAGCATTTGTATGTTTATCCCTCTCTATAAAACTCAAAACTTGCCTGAACTAGAGTCAGTTTGTTGCCCATACCCGTAAAAAATGGAGCTTTTGGTGATCTCTGAGTAATTCAGTTGACCACCAGAGCTGATACAGCTACAGAAAGCAAAGTTTGATTTCTGGAATTTAGCTGATACTTAATTAAAAGGAGTATCCTCTGTTATGAAATTATAGGAGTTTTGCAGTACAACATTTTTCCCATAAATATACATATGCATTTATAGTGTGTACCAAAAATAATGGTATTTGCTTACTTTGTTATGTGTTCATTAATTCTTTGACAGGATTCAAGCAATGGGGAGCTTTCTAAACACTACTTTAGTCTAGCAGATGTAAGCATGTGTACCTAATGATCAAAGCTCTTTTTGACACCCTTTTTGTTTGAATTATACAATATTTGCAAAACACTTTCTGTTTTTCAGGGATTTCTTCTTGTCTTTAGCGTAACTTCAAAGAAGTCATTTCAGCAGGTCCAAGCCATCAAGAAAGAAATTGAGAAAAGTAGAGGAAAAGATGTAGGTTAACATATTTCATCATGTCCAAAATGAGAATGATTATCATATGAACTTACCACCTTAGCATGTGGTGGCATAAGCATGCATGGCTTGAAAAAAGCAGCATTGTCAAGCCCATTGAACTTTGCTTGGTTAGCTCATGTTGTAGAGCGCTGGAAAGCCTTGGGGGAGGGTGAGGGTTCAAGCCCCTGATAGGACCAATACTCAGGGTCTTTAAATAACTGAAGAGAATGTGCTGCCTTTACCATGACATCTGCAAATGATTAGATATTCTAGTCTTGTCGGATGAGGATGATAAACCATAGGCCTTGTCTCCTGCATCTTCTCTGTACTGGTTAGCATGGGAAGTTATAGAGAGTAAAGAATGTAGCTCTCTGCATTAAGATCTGGCCTTGTTATTGTTTATACATTTTAAAGATCCTCCATAAGTATTTTCTAGATAGAAAGAGGTGGAACAGTAAAGGAAAGAAGAACAAAAAGAAAAACTGCATTTTGTTTTTACAGTGGTCAATTGTCAAGACATTGTACATTGTATTTCTGACCAGATGATTACTAATGTACTAAGATCTTTGTTTACAGTTTCCAGTGATTGTAATAGCAACAAAAACTGATGTAAAGGGTGAACGAGAGTGTGAATTTGCCGCCATGAAAAAGTGGGCTGAGGCAGAAAGAGGTAATCTTACTTATTTTTTGTAAGTTGTTTAGGTATAATAATAATTGTTCTTTGCAGAAGGCTGACTTTGAATTCTTTCAGCATCAGTGTTTATCTTTCTTTCAGTACGTCTGACAGAAGTTTGTGTTGGTGACAGGAAAGCACTACAGGATCCCTTTGTGCAAATAACTTCAAGAATGGTATCTAGTCTTGGTAGGCCAGCAATACTTGTAGATTTCTATTTTAGTAGGATAAGTTTACTGGTATATTGAATTTTTTACACTTGATTGATTGGCTCAATGGCAAGCATAAATAAATTGGGGTTTTGTAGCTTTCTAAAATGCCTAGCTGTAGGGAAAGGCCTAGACTGCTATAAGTTACCTGGAGTGGTTAGTGAGATTGAAGTGTCCATAAACTGGGTAACTTTGGGTCAGGTTTGAGCTTTGGCCATGGTCATTGTGGTGTGATTTTGGGAAAGACACTTTGCTCTTACTCCTCTGTCTGCTCAAAAGCAATTAATGTAGGTACCAAGGAATTTGGTCAGAAAATCCTGGTGATTTTAGTGGAGGAATGGGTTGGATACAGTGGTGGTTCAGTTGGTTCAGTTGAGCTCTCCATATCATCCCTCAAAGCACTGGAAATCATGTTGCCAAAGACCTAATTTTCAAAATCTCCTTGAGGGGCATGCACCCAAACTCCTCTCTGAATCCTACTTGACTAAATCCTAGATCCACCCTAGGAGTTAGTCTGCAATGGACTAGCATCCTCACATTGGGGTGTTGCAAAAGTCATTGTTGTTTCCTGGTGTAGAAACAGCAGTCATTTCATTGGTTATTTTGCCATTTTGATTATGTAAGTATATTTTAGACTTGCCAGACTACTTTAACAGTACATTTAGATTATGTTTAATGTCTCATTTTAGGAAAGGGTTATCTTCAGTCTGGTCACTCTGAGGTAAAGAGATTTCTCTCCATGCGGAAAACCAGTAAAACAATGTCAGTATCCAAGGACTCTGGTTTGGATTTCACAAAGGAGTAGCAGCACACTGCAATACAGCTGTACAATAAATTGTAAGTAATGAGATACACATATACAGACATTGAGTAAAACGGAGAATTTATAAAAGATGAAGTGATAATATATCACCAAATCTTTGCAGACTTCAGTGAGTTTGACTTTTTGGACTTAGTGTCAGATTTGTTGAATTTGATGTCGTTTCTTGGAGTAAGAATGCTTTGGGAACCTTGGGTTTCAACAACAACAATGATCTAGGTTGAGTTTCCAGTTCAACCGTGTGGGCTTATTGCTGGAATTTCCCTGCATTATATAGCAGGCTGTACGGTTGTAGTTCCTTCACTCAGCAAACTCAAACACGTCTACAAGTTAGTCACTTCAAGAGAGTAAAAGTTGCTCACTGTTCAGTCAGTGGCCACTGTAGTAGGTGTGGAAGTGATGAAAGAAACTGAAATCTTGGTTGCTAAGAAGACACAGACCTGTGTGGCTGAGTATGGAGAGGAATAGTTGAAACACTAGCAACAGATTCTAGAACTTCTTCCTTTTGTCATCCTCTTTCACAATCACATTTCACACTTCCTTTTGCGTTGTCACTCAAACTCCCTTGCTGTCTTTTGCAGCACATAATTAATGTGTGATGATGACCTTTCCCATAGCTGCTAAAAGTTGCATTTTTTTACCCAGACTTTATGATATCTCTCAGTAAGTAGTTGTGCTATTGTAGGGCAATTTAGCGGCCTGCAAAATCCTAAGTTTGTTTGAATTGATGTGTTCCCCCTCTATTTAAACCCAGAGATACATGTATGATGAATATCTTACTAACCTCGTTTTCTTTGTCCGCACTGTAAGTTACATAACCTCGAAAAACTCGGTCCGTAACTTATGGAACGAACCTCGAACTCGGTTAGTTAGAGGTATCATAATGACGTTATTCTGGGGTAGTAACAACTGCGATTACATTTTGCAGGGTACAACGTCCATAACTCCTGAAGCTGGGCGTTAAAACATGAACGGACAGAGTTTATATTCCTCTTCACCGAGGACCTAACTCTTGGATACCCATTGAACAGTGAGCGATACAGTATCATGGTTTATGATCAGGAAATTGAATTGTTTTTCGATAAGTTGATTCATCGTTGGAAAAAAAGATTTTAAGGAAGGTCCGAGCTCAAGTATCCAAGCAACAAACCAAGATTCGGAATTTTTTAAGTATTTGGCGATTTCGATGTTTTTTTTATGGCAAACCTTACGCTTGAAGACTTTTTTAATTTTGGCTAAGTGCTCTGAAAATGTCAGCACATTTTTGGACGGTTCATTCCTTTTTAAAGGAACAGCTTATTTTCCTAAATAGTGAACTAGACTGACTAAAAATAAATTCTAGTCGTGCTAAAGAGATGAATGTAATTAAATGATAAAATGTAGACGACATGAAAACATAAAACGACGACTCGAAAGCTTTCGAATTCGCCTCATGTAATGGAACTTAATTAGTGTTGTTGTGAAGCGGTAAATCCAAGGCAATTATTAAATCCACTGAAAAGCAATTTGACTCAATTGATTTTCGATTGGTAAAGTTAAACACGAACCTTTTTGGATTGACTATTACGTCATTTCTGTTCATAACGTAATTGACGTTACAGAATCGTGCAACTAGGTGATGCAAACGTCTGTCGACGAAAACTTTTTGGCTAGAAAGGAAATTTCCGCGACATGTACGCGAATTTTCGAGGTGGTCCGAACTTTCGCGGAATAATTCATTTGAGCCATAAGTGACTCCCGAATTCCGAGAGAAAGTTCGCCGCTCCCGGAAATTTGCGGTTCCAATTGAGCTGCACAGACAGAGAATCATAACAACTGGCAAATTAGCAAGTTATATCGCTCCAATTAAGCGGTAATTAGCCAAAACAATGCACAGCTTAAGTTGTTTTGATGCTCAAGTTTCAAAAGAGTGTGCTTGGCTTAAAATCTCGACACAAATTGCGACATCAGATACAGATACAGATCTGTCGACATTTTCCTGGCTGAGCGTTCAAGAGGTGAATTCAGTATCAGCATCATGCCATTTTGTCGCATCGGCCACCCAAGAAAAGTGCATCATCGCTTGTTTTTTGATCGCAAGGAATCGAATTCAGGCTGGAAATCTTTTGAACAAACAGCAATGTTCCAGGCAAAGCGAGTTGATTCAACATCACGTTTCCCTGACAAGAACATGAGAAAGGCACTCGACAGCGTGTCACCGAATGGCCTGTGTTTTTATTCTGGAAAGGACAGCGTGATTGCTAGAGAAAAAATGCAGCAGACGACTCGCCAAAAAAGCAGCGTTGACTACGACGGGAAATGGCAGAGGAAACAGCGCACCCCCGAAGAGCTGGAAATCCGAAAAAGGAACATTGAACAGATTTTGAAACGCAGGCGAAATGGAATATGTAGTGAAGTAGAGAGAAGCTGGTTTATACAAGGAGCGTATTTGGAAAAACATCGTCATAATCTGAAAGTGACTCAGGACTTGATAAGTAGGGGCTTTTTGTATCCGTGATGTTGATCTGTATATTTGCTCCATTTGTTTGCCGTATTATTTCGCCATGTTTTTTATGGTTAAAAAAATTCTTTACAAAAAAATTGAAGTTTTAGCATTGAAAACTGAAATATTTCTTGATGAATTATTAAGTAGCAATTACTCAGTTTGTAAATAGAGTGTTATTATTATTGTTATTGCGTTATCGTAGTCAGTGATGGCTACGAAAAAAACATGGCGAGGCTTTTTAGTTAATGCATCTGGAAAAAAAATTTCTAAATGTTCAGGTTGTAATTTCTTTATACGAGTGAAGTAGGCTGCCGATGAAGTATTTTGAGTTCACTTTTTCCATTTGTCCAGCTGAAGTTTGTTATATAAAGTTAACTCGGGACACGTTATTAAGGTTTGTTTCAATAAATGTCGCTATGTAAAATTTGCAAGGAAGGTGTTATTCGTTGAATTACAAGCTAAGTGTTGGACAGAGGAAAAAATCGGAGTTCTTCATAAGAAATCCAACCCCAGACCTTTGAATTCTGCACTCCTATGCCCTACAACTGAGCTATAGAGAGCTTATTGTTGAGATAGGTTCACATGTTACATACGGGAATTATCAGTAATGTCAGAAGCGGTGTCTGAACGGAAAAATAGTTAAATAACGATGTACCATGAATTCCTTGGAGCAGTCCTCCTGAATCACAAGAAGTTCAGATTATCGACAACAGCAAGAACTATTCATATTTAAAATTGAACCAGAGTAAATGAGGAAGCAGTACATTTGTATCAATGTTTTGCTGTTGTTGAGATATTACGTAATCAAGCGACTCGCAAAACAACTAATTTATTTTGAAATCAGTGGTGATCATTTCAGTCTAATTGGCTCTCAGCAGTGCGATTAACTCACGAATCGTGTAAGTTTTTGCCTTTGATCCTACCTTTTCCTCAGCCCATGAGAATGGGTAATCAGCGAAAAACAAGGCCAAAAATAAAAATAAATCCTCTCTTGAAAGCTCAGATAATTTTTGAAGAAGGAAGGGTTGGGAGAGAGAGACTCGAAAAGCTTCATCCAAATCCTCTCTTTCATTCGTCTACCTATCGCGCCTTGTTAGTGATGAAGCTTCGCTAGGTTGCCCACTATGGAGGGTGTATTGTGTCAAAATAAGCAGTACCAAATTGAATGGCTCACTATTGAATGGCTTACCAAATTGAATGGTTTGCCAAACTGACTGGCTCATTTGAATGGCTTGTGGATATTAAATGGCCCACCGAGTATTGAGTGCCGAGGCGTACGCGAGGAGCCTGGTGTATACTCGGCGCCAACCTCTCGCAGGCGAGATTTTTTAAAAATATGGCTATGACAAAGTATTTTGGGTAGCGCCCGGTTTAGAGTATCGCCGTGTTTTGGTGTATCCCCGTAACCAAAACACTAGTGTTTTCGGTATTCCCTCTGGACATAAAGACCGGAGCAAGTAACATGGCGTCCTCTCTTGACTTGTCGTGGACATCAATTTATTTGCTTGCAGACGTCAGAAATTAAAACTCGCATTTGAGATTGTGGTTAGTGAAGAGAAGTTTTCATTTGTTATGAAGCAAGTGAAGTTGCTTCGCTCGTAAACATTCAACCGATTGATTTGAGACACGCACAGAAGGAGGATTTTTCCACTTGTTGGGATTTTGTTTAAGGAAATGACCAATCTTGGCATTCGCACCGGAGACTCTTATTTTGCTGTCACTCACTTTTCAAGCTCTGGTTGATCTGGATAATTTTAGAGAAGGTAGTGGATCTGTGAACAGATTTTAAAAGTTCCCTCAGTGGCCCAAACTTCGTGCACTTTATACTTTCGTTCATACAAAAAACACAGACCCTTGTGGGTGGTACTGGTCTTCCGGCCAACTTTGTCATAATTTTCTCGAAGACAGGAAAAAACAAAGAAAATTAGGGAAGGGCTTATTGCTTTATTTTAAAACAAAGCGGAATTCTATTGGATCGAAAAAGCTACCACCTACGGATCGGCTATGAAGGCTGAATGAAAAGTTCACCTTCTTTTACATACCTGTTAGCATCGAGTTGGCGTTGATCCATGAAAACGAGACAAAAAAAATATGAATAGTTGGTCTCTTTCCAGCCCAACTGTACTCACTCTTAATCAAAGACATCCAATTTTGTGAAATTAGAGAGCAATATTTCGCGCGCGTCACAACATGACAACCTTTCCTTTCTGTTTCTGGTGGAGTTTTATCAATTCCCAAATAAGCCTTCCGAGTGGATATTAGCCTATACGCCCAAGAACGGATTGATAAAAAATATTTTCATGAAGACGTAATAGTCAACTGTTCTTTTTCTCGCGAGATGATATCAAATCATCATTAATCCGACGTTCCTTAAAGCGAAAACCACAGTCTCTTAGCTCAATAATGGTTTGCTGCAATCTTACCTACTCTCCCACTCTGTTATCTGGGTCAGAAATGATTCAATTTCGCGATGGCAACGTCATCATCTCTGTATACTTATTTTTATCATAAAGGGCAAAATTTATACGAAGGAAAATCACGCGCGCAGTCTATTTTTATGATAACGAACGGTTGCTATGCAACGGATTAAATCATTAAGATTATTCAGTAATTTTGCCCTTTATTGATAAATAGATTATCCATTGCGTAGGTTCAAATCTTGAGACAGATATTCAAAGAATGGAAATACCGTATGTAGATTTAGCTGGTCTACGACGAAAGAAAATAGATATATTTGTCTGCTTGTCTTTTGATGTGTTCTATTGCATAAAATTTTCAAAAATAGCGTGGCTTGTTTATGATATATTTATTTTTTTCTTTCTAATGTTGATCGCTGCTATTTTTGTGACTTGACACGCGAGAAATACACCCACGTCTGACAGACATCGAGACCAGCTTTAACTTGAATTTTCCTCTCCCTTGGATATCGAACCTTGAACATTCAGCTTGAACAGCTGAAAAATCCTTGTTTAAAATGTATGGTACTCACTCCAAGTTTTCCTCCTTTGGAATATCCTCATTATGCGGACTTCCTGTGACTGAAATGTTCCTGTTCGTGACAACTTCCTGCAACCAAATATGGCATGTGTCACTACAGAACAGTCGCTGCTTGATGAAAATTTGCATATTTGTGATCTTGTACTTGAAGAAACAGCAAGGTTGTCGTTACGTATCGATGTTCTCTGAGTGAAAAGATCGGAAAACCGCCTTGCAATCACCAGGATTTGTCTCAAAAACCAATATATTGTTAAGGTTTGTTTCCTCTATGATTTTTTTTTCACAGACTTCTTTTAATAAGAGTAGGATCCTTTCTGAGTCCACAGAAACCTCAGTGTATTTGTGTCTATACGAAAACTTGACACCTTTAGTTTCTCTAGGTAGCTTTGCAAACGTCTTTTTGACGTCTGTTTTGCCGTAATCGTTTCGTCTCCTAGAAAACTAGATTTGAGTTTGCTACATCTGTCAATTCACGCCGTCGACGAGGCACGATTTGTTGTTATTGTCGTGATAATCTGCTCGGCATGAAATTACCACTCAGTAGTAGCGTTTTACTACCCAAATTTTGTCTTAATAGAATTTTGATTGAAGTTTTGTGTTCAATAACAGTTAGCACATCGTGCTGGCCTTAAATGGCAGTATCGTCGTATCCTATGCTTGAAGCGAAACACTCCAACAAAGCGGATACTTATAGCAGAGACTTATATTTCATTTTCATGCATTAAACAAAAATTCATTCTATGTGAGGACTAAGTTGGTGGTTCTTGCGGTTCGCGTTCTGAGGTATGGTGAATCGTTTATATAAGATCACAAACGCTATCTCGAACGAAAGTCTTCCTGTTGGAACTAATCTTGCTCAAAAATGCTCGCAAGGAAAATTATGCGACTGCTCTCTACGTGCAAAGACAAGTCAAACAAAACGTTGAATTAGCCATGTAAAATTGATTAGTATTTCCCCCTCGTTTGCCTTTCTGAGATGAAATCAAGATTTCAAGTTTGTTACTAATAACCCAAGAAACTGCGACAGAAATTGCGTAAAAGACAAAAACTGAGACAGTTCTGACAGATCTGTCTGTGAACGAGAAAAATAAATACCGTTTCCTTAGAGACTAGCTTATGTAAATTGTCCTCAGAAACTCCTTTGAAGTACCTTTGGTTGCCGCCTTTAATGCAGATAAAAGCGGTTTCTACGTTTTTCATTATCAGTTTTTCTTCAAAAGAGCTATATTTGAAAAAAAAAATAGGGCAGCCATAAAAACAACATTTCATGAAGACATAATCCGAAATTTCATGTCAAGACGGTCGGCCATACAAGTTTGCGACCGATCTACGTCAAGTTATTGCAAGTGAAATAAACTGAAATTGGAAACTACAAATATATTGCACGAAGCTGACAGTCACTTCACACCAGTCTAAATATTGCCGGTTCGAGTGACGTCAAAGTGTTATGGAAAAAAACTTGTCTTTTAAAATTAGAGATGGGACAAATCTTTATTTTCGCATCTCAGTACGGATGAAAACTATCTCGTATCTTAATCAGGTTTCGTATTTGCTACATGAAACGGACAGAAACTTTTAGCCCAGACATGAATTAACAATACGCAATTTTTGGTTTCTTTTTCGAAACGTCAATTTTAGAGGGTTTTTCGTTCGAGAAAACCTGGTAAACCAATGTCCCACTACCCCTCCCCCACACACGGTCCTCGAAAGTCTTGTCAATTTTCATTTTAGGTAGGGGTTTAAAAAGTTTTCAAAATGATACAAAAAAAAAACAACAACAACAAAAAAAATCAGCTAAAGAAAATATGGACTGGTTAGGGTGCCAGGAGCTGCTTATCCGTTGTTTAAATTTTGATTTTACAATATGGTTTCGCGCTAGTTTAGTTACCGGGACTTTCGAGAAACAGGCCCCTAATGAAGGTTTAATGGGCTATAATAAACGTTTATGTAAGTAATGATCCATTATTTAAATTAAATAATGTGATCAACTCTCTCCACATACATAGAGTGAAACAACAGGAAAAAAAATGCAGACCATAGACAAGCTCGTTCGCTGTCAGCTGTCTTGTAGGTTATGGGTAGTTCAGCAAGTGTAAAATTATGAAAGTAACATGTTTGATTTCTCAACAGGTGATGTGGTACCAGTCTCCTTGCCAAATTGGATAGAAGAAGAGTGCGCCCCGTAGCTTTCGCATCGAATGCCGCAGAAATGGCAAACGACGATGAAGAGTCAACTTGGTGCGTGTCTTTGACATCGAAGTTTTCCTCTGTTTACTACTTCACCTTCACTTAAACTACAGTGCAATGTAATATGTCTGCAAGCAAACTTACTAGGGCACACCAACTGATCCCTAAAGTCCCTACATGTACGGAATAATAGTATTGTTAGTCCGTCTGGATGAATTGTTAGTCTATTGCACATTACCCCATCGGTATCTCGTCATTTTAGCAGGTTTTCCCAACTCTCAAGTTTTCTGGTAGAAAACGAGTGTTCTCTTCTTCTCGGCGGAGTTCGTTGCACGAGTCAAAAAAAATCTGTGAAAAAAAAAAAAAAAAAAAAAAAAGCCTGGTGTTGGCACGCTGTGTGGAACTCTACTTTTCGTGCGCCTCACCCACAGAGTCTAGCGCGGCGCGCAGACATCAATTTTTTTTTGTTTTCACTGATTTTTTTTTTAACTCGCCCAACGGACTTCTCCGAAAAAGAGGGATTGCTCGTTGTCTATTTTTCTGGTAACCATTTTACCGATGAAGAGAGAGAGAGGTAGCATTAGGGTTAAGTGTCAAAAAGCTCAATACAAATGAGTCAGGGAACACAAACCATGTAGGCACTGCATCTCCCACAGAAACTAGGCCACTTTCTGTACCGGGCTACTCTTTTAAAATATTCCTCTCTCTTTTAGTTGTTGTTGTGAACACCGCTACAGTCCGTGTGTGCTGTGGTCGTCGTTTTGCAGCTGGTTTGTACGTCGCCTGGAGATCTTTTTCGGTTGTTTTGGCGAAGGAATTGCCAAGTATCCTCTCTTTGTTATCCCAGTATGCCTCGTTTTCGTCAGTATTTGTTCCGTGGGATTTGTTTGGCTTAACGTGGAAATTAGAACGGTGAAACTGTTTATTCCTCAAGACAGCCAGGCTGTGAAAGACTTGGACCTAGCCGAGGAGTATTTTAGACTAAAGGTTCGCGAGGAAATCGTACTTTTAGTGAGCGCGCCTGATTCGCGAAATGTTCTCAATAGAGATTGCCTAAAACAGGCTCTACAGGCCCATGAGGAAGTTGTGAAGTTAACATCGTATTCAAAACTTTGCGCAACCTTGTCTGGCGATGTGGCTGAATCGGCAGAAAAATGCATGATGATAAACCCCTTAGAGGTGTTTCAGTTCAATGAAAGGGAACTGAACGTTTCAGACTCACAAATTCAAGCTAATATAACGAATCCTAACCTTACTGTCATGCGCAATGGCCGTCCTTATCAGTACAACTTCGGTCGCATGTTTGGTGACGTCACTAAAGAAAGTGGCAACGTCACTGGCGCAAAGGCTCTACAGATGGTTTACTTTCTTCGCGATCCGAGCAAGGAAGAGGCGAACACAGAAGTTCTTGAATGGGAAAAAACGTTTATTGATAAAATGACCTCGTTAGCGGATACTCTATCGTGCTTTAAAGTTTATTATTCGAGCGAGCGGAGTCTGGATGATGCCATTTCTGAGAGTTCCGGTTCTGACATCACTCTTGTGTCAATCACGTTCACGCTCATGATAACGTTTGCTTGTGTCATGCTGGGAAAATTCTTAAATCCGCTGACCGGTCATTCTCTGCTCGCCAACGCAGGTGTTTTCGCTGTGGCTCTCGGGATACTAGCTGGGTTTGGCTTAGCTATGTGGTGCCGAGTGCCTTTCGTGAGTATGGTCGGAGTACTTCCGTTCTTGATCCTCGGTATCGGAATCGACGATATGTTCATACTGGTGGACGAACTCGATCGGCAGCAGAAATCTCTTACAGTTATTGAGACGGTTAAAGAGGTCATGGCCCGATCTGGTGCTACTATTACCATGACAACGGTAACAGATTTGGTAGCATTTGCAGTCAGTACTTCTACTTCCTTTCCGGCGATAAGGTAAGATGTGAATATGAGTAAGAATTAGATCTGCTTTAAGTCTTTTCATGATGGAATGCTTTTAGAATCAAAACAGCCAATCAGAAGAAAGCAAGATACCTTAAATACTTAAGTAGGACTGAAAGTAAAACAAGCAAAATGGAAGCGACCAAATGGTGATTGGTTTTTCATCTGATTGGTTGAAAGAGTGGTGCGAGTTTTCTGGAGCAATCGCAGAATAAAGTAAAGCAAAAACAAAGCAATCCCAGATTTTTTTGACACCCAATTGAAGACATCAGCCATTATGCTATCTGAAATTTTCCAATCTTATTCTGAATTTCGGCCTGAAAAGTTTCTTTTTATTTTTGCGATCTCTAAATGCTTAGGAAGACCAGAGAAGCAATTAACAGGCATTGTCGTCCATCAAGTAGATCTTGTTTCTCAAATAACACATCAAAACATAATCAACGCAATTGCTGACCTCCTAAAAAAGGGCAACAAGTAAACATCCTCGTTAAAGTAGCATAAGGGAACACGTTTGAAAAAAAATGCGAAGACCAATGAGAATATTTGTGGTGATGTGTTGCCTGTTCTCGTTGATCAACAGGTACTTCTGCGTTTACGCGGCACTAACAGTAACTTTCTCTTACTTGATGATTGTCACGTATTTTGTCGCCATTATGTCATATGATGTCAGGAGAATCAAAGCAGGTCGCCGCGACTGTTTACCATTCTGCCGGGCACCTCCACCAAAAGAGAACGAGCCAGCGTGGGACGAGCCTCGTCCCCAGGTTTCAAACAAGTTGATGAACGCCTGGGCAAAGTTTTTGACCCATCCGGCGACTAAAGTTGTGGTGATCATCTTTTCGCTTGCGTCTCTCGCTGCTGGAATATACGGAGCCACAGTGATAGATGAAAACTTTGACAGACGGATCTTAGCCAAAGATGATTCATACCTGAAGAAGTTTCTGAGTGCACACGAACAGTATTTCAAATCAACTATTCCTGTCAGCGTTGTTGTAACGGGCGATGTTGATTATGGAGAAAGTTCAGTCCAGGATGACCTAAAGAACTTGGCAAACATTGTCACCTCTAATAAATATTACGAGAACACCAATTTGTCCTGGATCGATACCTTTTCCAAATACGCTCAAGCTTACAAGAAGAACATCGAGGGGTCGAATTTTACACAAGAGTTAAAGAAATTCCTTAACATTGGACAATTTTCTTACTTTAAACAAGATTTGAAGTTTTCTGATGATAACACGATTAAAGCGTCGCGCATTATAGGTGTCATGAAGGACACAACTAGTTCAACAGATCAAAAAAATGCTATGCTAACCCTTCGCCAAGATCTCTCGGATAAATCAAAGCTGGATGCTTTCCCAATCGCCCGACCCTTTATCTTCTTCGAACAATACGCTATAATCTCAAGGGAGACCTTGACGAATCTTTTGATCGCGGCCCTAGCTGTTTTGGTTATCACGAGCCCCTTCTTGTTGGACTGCACTGTGACTATCCTTGTGGTGTTCAATTTTGTGGCACTGGTCCTTGAGCTGTTCGGTTTGATGGTCCTCTGGGATGTTTCCTTGAATTCTGTTTCGATGATCAATCTTGTTATGGCTATTGGTTTCGCAGTGGACTACAGCGCCCACATAGCGCATGCGTATGTTATGTCCGACAAGGAAACAGCCAATGAACGTGTCGTGGACGCTTTGAGCACACTGGGTGCAAGTGTATTCATGGGAGGTCAGTCTGGTTCGATACTTACTGTGCTATCTCTTTAAAACTTGATAGCACGCTTTTCGATTGAGTTTCTCATGGCCAAAACAAACATAATCACAGCGGCCGATTACGAAATCAAGTTCACATGAAAAGGAATCAATTAGAACTCTAAGTTAGTACAAGTAACCGACCTCAAGCGCGTGAAGATTAAGACTGGTTTTTGGTTGTATTTGATATGACAGTTAGGCGGTGTAAGTTATCAAATTCAATCACGGCGAGATAAGTAGCACAATACAACGACAATTCCAGATTAATCTCGAATCTTTAATTGCTCTCTTTAGTTTAAAGCTCACTAACAAAACATAGAATTCGTTTTACACGGTTTGTCTCAGTCACATTATGGAGGAAAGTAACTCAATGTATGCACAAAAAATTTGCTCTCTTTAGTATAGAGTTCAGTAACATAACATAGGATACGTTTAGCAAGGGTTTTCTTAGTCATGATATGAAGGAAAGTAACTTTATCTATGCACAGAGATACCATTATTCCAACGCACAAAGTAATTCTAATGAAGACAGAAATTTTAATACTTTCTCTACTTGCGATAATTTGTAGACAATTTTTTCACTCTCAAGATTAGATGCATCAGTCCAAAAGTTGACTTTAATCTTTCACTATTTGGGCTATATAAATGATCCAAATTATCAGAGAATATGAAGCTAAGTTTAGAAGATCAATAGCGAAATTGTATTGCGCCGACACTTCATAACTCGCTTAATCATCTGTTTCTCTGTTAAATTAAATATAAGCCCTCAAGGGTTTAGAGGAAAACAACAATAGTGTTTCTTAAAAATACTTTTTCCCCCGTAGGTTTCAGCACTTTCCTTGGTATGATAGTCCTGGCGTTTGCGGCGTCGGAAATTTTCCGAATATTCTTTCGGATGTTCCTTGGGATCGTCTTGTTCGGTCTTCTCCACGGTTTGTGCATTCTTCCTGTCTATCTGTCTCTCTTCTGTTGGAGGCCAGCTGTTACCAGGCCACTCAGGACGCGTGTGAGCGTGGAGAGCTTACCGGAGGACGTCGCCCCCGAAAACGAGGCTGTTGACGGGGAGAGCTGCGGCAAAGGGGTGGCGGAAGGACTTAACAGAAGCAGAGATTTGGGAAGTGCGTCTTCCAACGAAGGTTTCGAGCTCACCGAGCAAGAAAAGGTACTGGATAACAAGGTTGACGAGCAACAACCGCTCAAAGCAAACGACGAAAGTGGGAAAGAGGGAACAGGTGAAGCAGGGAAGCATGGCAGCGAAAGTACAGAGACTGGAGAGTCGTCAGCGCATGTGCAAGTAGAGAGGGATCCAAGTGCAGAGCAAGATCCCGTTACAGAGGTGCAGGAGAGCAAGAAAGACACATCTGAGACATTTTTGAGCGAGGAAATCATGTCTGAGGCTGTTGACGGGGAGAGCTGCGGCAAAGGGGTGGCGGAAGGACCTAACAGAAGCAGAGATTTGGGAAGTGCGTCTTCCAACGAAGGTTTCGAGCTCACCGAGCAAGAAAAGGTACTGGATGGCAAGGTTGACGAGCAACAACCGCTCAAAGCAAACGACGAAAGTGGGAAAGAGGGAACAGGTGAAGCAGGGAAGCATGGCAGCGAAAGTACAGAGACTGGAGAGTCGTCAGCGCATGTGCAAGTAGAGAGGGATCCAAGTGCAGAGCAAGATCCCGTTACAGAGGTGCAGGAGAGCAAGAAAGACACATCTGAGACATTTTTGAGCGAGGAAATCATGTCTGAGGCTGTTGACGGGGAGAGCTGCGGCAAAGGGGTGGCGGAAGGACCTAACAGAAGCAGAGATTTGGGAAGTGCGTCTTCCAACGAAGGTTTCGAGCTCACCGAGCAAGAAAAGGTACTGGATGGCAAGGTTGACGAGCAACAACCGCTCAAAGCAAACGACGAAAGTGGGAAAGAGGGAACAGGTGAAGCAGGGAAGCATGGCAGCGAAAGTACAGAGACTGGAGAGTCGTCAGCGCATGTGCAAGTAGAGAGGGATCCAAGTGCAGAGCAAGATCCCGTTACAGAGGTGCAGGAGAGCAAGAAAGACACATCTGATACTTTTTTGAGCGAGGAAACTATGTCTGAAACTTCCACAAAGTTCTAAGGTTATTTGTTTATGGAGTATTTTTAGAAAAAAAAAATGGAAAGTTCGCTTCCTAGTGATTTTTATCTCGTGATGATCGCGTAGAGAATTTGCTGTAAATTCGTGAGGAGTTTATTTTTATAACAAACACTCAATAAGGTGTTCATTGTGGCTCTTCCTTTTATTTGGCTGATCAGAAATCACGTTAATCACGGGTTTAAAGGCCAGTAAATCAGTTGAAATTGAAGATCAGTTGTCAAGTTTACAAGTTGTAACAGTCGTTATAAATATTATAGGCTACATCATCGAATTTTAAAAACGAGATATCCTTTGTGTAAAAGAAAATTAGCCTAAGTGTACATTTGAATAAGTTTAAATCCAAGTTCCTATTAAGATAGTAAATGAAACATTAACATGCTTCTGCCAATTGTTCTAAATTTAAATTCGCGGCAATCGATCTTAGAACCTTCTCTTCGGCTTTTTGTGTCGTAAAGCATGACAAATGGTTTTTCTTGCCGATTCGTTCTGATTTTTCATTTTCATTAATTTCGAGCTACACTAATTTTCAACTGGAAGGCTTAAATACTTGATTTTAAAACTCATTGTCAAATGAATGATCAAGCGTTCTTCGATTCTGAGCCCTGCTTTTGCATTGTGATTTCACGTGATTTAACATAAGTTAAGTATGTGTGTATTTTTGTAACATAAAAGGTACGCTTAGCAAGTTCACAGCACTATTCTTTTTCGGGAAACAAATAAAGAATTTTATTGTGATGTGGACTGACAATCGTTTTACTGTCAAAAGAACACGCTGACTTTCCTTGAAAGTCCAGAACTGTGTTATTTTCGAGGGTACTAATACATTTTGATTTCCAACTCATAATGGTTGTAGGTCTCAGTCTCATGGCCTGCGTAGCCAGCGGTTGTCGTTGTTTTTTCTATTTGGTGGGGGGGAGGTAGGGGAGCAGGCTTCTGATTCAAGTGATTATTTATTGTTCTGATATCGTTATGATGTCTTAGTTCACTACTTCCATGTGTTCATTTACGAATCTGGTTCCTGATAAATGTACGGGTAGGGATTCCAACGAGTTTACGACGCGAAACCAGCGAATAAAGCTTAAAAAAGCGGCGCTTTTGCAGGAACTGAGCTGATTGCTTCCATAGCGCGTTAGGTATCTTGCGTGACTATCTAAATAACTCGTGTCACGATTTCGTGACATGTTCGAACAGACAGACAGAGGACACCGCGAAAGAATGTAACATGGCGGTCGCTATGTCGATTTTTCATCGTAGAAGTTCTGACTTGTTTAAAGCTCTTGTAATTCGCTTCCCAAAACAGTACTTTTGTTCCATAGCTGGTGGTAACGTGGATGAAGGGAAAGAAAGAAGTTCTGATCGTTTAGGATCTGATTCACACGGAAAAGAACTTGATTTGGTTCTTGCATGTTTACGAGTGGATCGTGTTGCAGCTAGTGGCTTTGGTATTGGAAGAAAGTAAGGTGATATTTAGCGTGACATTCACATTTGTGTTAAGGAAATTTTATTTGATTATGATTTAAAGCTAAGTTACTCCTTCTCATTCACTCGTGATGTGCCATTGAAATAAATGCATAATACCGTGCATAGCTAGTAGATTACAGTACAATGCACAGAAGAATAAACTTAATTATAAATATTGTTTTGACAAAAAGAATTATCTTTCCTCTTATTTGAATCATCTGCAGCAAAATAAAAAACCTCATTGCTTCCAAAGACGTTTTTGTCAACAAACTCAACACAAGCCAGTCTGACTTAGTAAGTACATTTTAACATTTTCCAATCACGTCACCACATATTTCTCATATTAACTGTGTGGATAGTGTTTTAGGACCGGACTAGTGGTCTTGGTTGGGTCATTATGCTGTGTAAGACATCTCACACCCCTAGTTGCTGTGTGAATTGAAATGGGGCAAGAGGGGGGGGGGGGACAAACCTCTCATTCAGGTGGATGGAGTACTTAACTCCTAGTTGCTTCATACCACAGAAAATAAGATGTGGTCAAGAGGTTATGGGAAACTAGGCTTGCACAATCTTTGCTGACCCATGACCACAGTGTATGTAATTGTTCCCATCAATATTGATAATAAACCTTAAAAGTACAAATTTTTTGGCTTAAACTGGAATGAAGTTTTAAATATGACTAAAAAAAGCCAAACAGATATTGGTTGTTTTGAAACTGGAATTTTTTTGTGCATGGTCATGTTGCATCTTCCAATGCTTTGGGGTTACTGCTATTATCTTCAAGATCTCCTTGGGACTCCATAGGTCTTGCAATTGAAAATGGCAACTACCAGGTGATTCAAACATCGACATTGCTTGTTTTTGTTCCATTGCTTGTTTTTGTTCCAGATCTTATACACTAGGTTCTTTTTTTCACTAGTTTAACGGAGCTTGTTTTACATATGGAGGCTTTGTTACCTTAGATCTGATCTTCCCTAGATGTAAAAGATTGAAGGAAATATTTTGTTGAGTTAATCAAGCAACTTACTATTTTCATTACATGTGGATTATTTTTCATAATGAAACCTGTGTTGAGCAGAACCCTGTTTATTAGGCACCTTTTAATTACAAAATTAATATAACTATTTATTAAAATGGACACTTGTGAGGTTCCCTTGGGTTCTACTTAGAACCAGGTGGCAAGAGATATGAGCTGGAGGATCACATATTTTTAGCTTTTACACCCTGACATCAGTATGCATATTCTCCTTACTGTTCCCTTTACATTTCCTGTGATGCTGGCGAGGAGATTTGTTTGACAATCAGAAGCTTTTTTAGTTAGTGATCATTTTCTTTATTCTCATTACTTGAATGATTGATTCAGGGGTGATATTGTAAGGAGAATTTAAATGGAAAATGAAAGTCACTCTTAGGGGTCAAATTACTAAAGATGCATTTTCCCAATAGGTTAATGAGGGAGATGAAATTGATCTCACAAGATCAAAAGAAAAGGACAAAGTGGTTATGTCACGATTCAAGGTGTTGACAATCTATAAAGATCTTACCAAGAAAGCAAAACGACGCCTTGTTGGAGTGCGGTATGGCAGTATGATCATATCAAGAGAGGAGTTTGACAAAGATTATGCTCACCCTTCAAAGTGAGAAGCTTTGTGATGCAAATATACATTTAGATGCCATCAAAATGGATACAAGTGAACTTGGAAGCAAATGACTTTGTGGTCTTGTGTCCTTTTTACTCTGGCTTGCAGCACTTGGCACAAATTGTTGGCAGAGGAATGTGAAGAGAGATTAAAACATTTTGTTAATTTAATGACCATCATCAGCTATTCACAGCCACGGAAATACACGTCTCACAAAAGGTTGTTGGAAAAAAGGACAAAAGTGCGTGCAATTTGGGTATCCAGTCATCAATGAATTTTAATAGATAAATATATTCATCAAACTGGCTATTCCTTGCACTCACAGTGACGTTTACTAGAAACAGCTATACATATATATATATGTAGTGGTGTTGAACTTTGTGATGCAAGAGTCACTGTAAGTACTGACTATCAACTGTGTTATGACTATCCCAAAGTTAAGAGAACCATTGAGATATCAGTCCTTTGCTGAGAGGTGTAAGGGGGGCCCTGCTTGTGTATTATGCACATTGAAAAACAGAAATTATGCATTACAAAAAAATCAGATAAAACAACTTTAAGGTTCACATATTATGAAAAGCAAAAACTGTGCAGTTTCAGGGTTTTAATTTCGTATTTCCATTGGTCATGAAAATTAAAAACTCTAAATCCTGTCTCACACTTTCCCTTTTAGCTTTAATGAAATTTTAGGTTTCTTCTCAACTTTATGTGAAGGTTGCAAATTGCTAAATTTCTCATGAAGCCTACAAGTGCATAAGTCATCTTTGGGGAGCTTTGTTCCATTCAGTTTTCGGAGTATTCTTGGATAGGAGCATTTCTGTCTTTCCCTAGGGAGTGCAAAATGTCTTCCTGTAAGTTTGAAATCCAGTCCAACAGATAAAAACATGAAAAAAGAAGAGAACAGTAAGAAGAGGAGAGACTGTAAAGGGTTTTGTAGCCCTCTTTACCATCCCAAACAATGTGTAAATTGAATGGACTTTATTTGGTAACTGATCAAGTAAAATGGTGTTTTGGCATTGAATTGTCCTGATGTCTTCTCTAAATTTCTTCTGTGGCAGATGATTAAAGTTTCAAAACATTCTGGTGATGTGTTTCAAATCCTTAATATTTCCTAGAATTCAATAAAAGTTGTGGAGAATGGACACCACCTTTGACATAACAGAGATACAGACGTCATACATAATTCGTGCCCCAAAAACAATGATTATAGTGACAATATACACAAACATAAGTACTTGGTATGTGGAAAATATAACACTGCCTAGTAACCATGCTTTCAAAATTTGACTGATTTTCATATTTAACCGGTAATGACTCTAAAAGATAATGGTATATATAATGTTGAGCATCATTTTCTTGTGTCAAATCTGAAGTTTTGACAAATCAAGGGAATAAGTGAGCTACAAATACATTGAGGGCTAAAACAGCATGTTCACAATAATACCCACTTGAAAATCTTCAAAAATTATTCTCAAATTAATCATTAATAACCATTTATTAGGATAAATATTAAAAAATAGCCACCATAGTGTGACTTGAACAGCATTTGCAGGAAGGAAATTGAAATTTCTAGTCTATTTTTTTTTAGGGGGGGAAGGGAATCTGACAGGGACTTCTTTGGGGTTGATACCCTTAATGTCTGATCGATACTTTCTAAAATCCCTTTACAATGTGTAATTCTCTGAATTATCAGCATCAAACTGGCATTTCACTCAAATAATTATACGAGTTGATGGGTGGGAAGGATTGCCAGTTACTGCTCTATGGAGTTAAGTGGGGTTTTGTGAGGTAGTGATGGAAATTTCCCATCTCAAATTTCCCTTCATGCTCCTAGAATGCAAGTACCTGGAAGAAGATCGTACATTTATTGCATTGAAATTAAAAGCTGTAGAGCAACATGGTTGTAGATTATCACAATAAAAGTAATTCTAACTCCTTTGTTGTGCCAGCCCACCATTACTATTATTTTATTACCCTTATTATATGGGCACAAACCGTAAATATATTGCACTGCATTGCAAGGGCAAAGTGTCAATTGGTTCCATATGTAATGTGAAATTTGTGTGCAGTATAAGAAAGCAAAAGTATGAAAATGTAAAAAAATTAGACTACTGAAAGGAATGGTTAGGGTCAAAATTAGGGTGTGATTGAAAAGAAGAAAAAAGTAAATGTAAAATACAAGTAAAGGAAAACTTAAATTGTTAGAAAATCACAAGCACCTACATATAGTGTTGTGCTTTTGCCAAAGCCTATTTTCTTTATCTTTAGTACAGACCCAAGTTTCCAAAATATTTCTGTTTGTCAAATAGATTTGTGTGCTGCTGCATGTGTCCACATTCTTATGCTTTTGCTTAGAACCTCTGATCAAATTTGATGCTGATAAAGGATTTGTGGCTGTATTGCTGAATATCTAATAGTTTGCAGCCTCACACAATAAACTTTGACCATTTAACCATAGCAAGGAACTTGAAAAAGAAATAATGAAACCAAAGAAAAAAAATTGAACAATCACCTGTAAAAGAAATGGGTGACTTTTAGAATTACACCATGAACAGTTGAATAGCTGGGAACACAACTGCTGTTGTTAAGTTTGATATCCCTCAAGCTTGATATCCCTCATGTTCTAAACTAGTGTTAATAACTTTCCAGTGATCTTACCGTTGTTTTCAGGAAATATGATCTCACCTCCAACATAAAAATTCAGTTTACCCAGTGATGCTTGAGGAGGTTTTTTCCTAAATTTATGCACCAAAAGAGAGCCAATTTCTTTCCAAATTATTTGGAAAAACAAAAACAAAACCTCAAACAACACTGAGTAAATAGTGCACTTACAAAAATTTTAGTTTCTGTCAATTCAGGTGTCTGAACACCTAGTATTTACAATGAAAAATTATATTTCTTTCTTCAACTTTTCAACTGGATTAATAAGAGAATTAGAGTAGAAGTTGACAACATCACAGTTTCTTGACATAAACAAACTTACTTATAAGGTTGTATCTTAATGAGTTAATTTATCCATTATAAATGAGTAAAAGCTGTACAGCACTCCTTTGCAATTGATTAGAGAGTTACTTTGTCAGAGGACTGTAATTCTACCTACTTTCAACCCTCAAGTGCTGGAAGTCATTGAAAAGATCTTCAGATATACAAATCATGCAAATATTACTAGCTCTACAAAAACTTGGAAAAATTTAAACTACTTTGTACATGTGCTGTTCCTATTTTCAAATTCTGAGTATGCCATTTAAAGGTGTAAGTATACTCCAGAAACCACTCTGCCATTCAAAAGCATATGAAAGACATTTTTTTTAGTTCACTGGCTATTTCAATTTCAAGTCTATCCACCACCATAAACTTCACAAAGAATTGTTTTAAAATAAAAATTAAATGCTAGGGAGAGCTAAAGAAATCATACAGCTTACATTAAAAGGTGCCCTCAATGACTTCTAAATTACCAATGAAATATAAATCATGTTTGGTTGTTGTCCTTTTTATGTTTGAATTTTTACACTTTGATTAACAACAGAAAAAAAATCATGAAACTTTCTTTTGACGGAAGACAAACTGGGAGAAGAGGTAACTGAAGGTGGTAATACATCAAATTAAAAATGTCTCTCAAAGCTGAAGCCATGAATACTGATATGATTCGATAATGATGCAATTTTCAGTGGCAGAGGTAATACTGTATGGTTTCTAGAGAATACTTCTCCATTAAATTTAAAAATGTTTCTAGAGAATACTTCTCCATTACATTTTAAAAGATATTAGCTTTAACTATCTATTCTGCATTTTTCCTATAACAGGGAGTGGGTGGGCCTCTGTGTTGAACACCCATTGGTCCAGAGGCAAAAGGCTGTCATCAGAAAATATCAAATACAAATACTTCAGAGTTTCTGCCAAGAAAAAACTCTGTTGGACATCATCATGTGACACTGCTGTGGAGGCTACATCTCGTATGCCACTATAGCCTGCTTCAACACGACAGAACTTTTCAATGTTCTAGAAAATGATAACAACAAAGTAATATAAAATTACCAAGTGTCTTTGTTTTTAACAATCAAATGCAGATGTTAAATTACCGACAACTGATGGATGACTTGTCCACAAACCTATTGAACAAATCTATTGGTTTTTCATGGATATCAAAGCTACTTAGACTAGGAGTAAGAACAACCACTTTATACATCTTTCTGGAAAGTTGCCACCTGTTAAAATAGCAGTTTTATTTTCAATTTCCTAAATTTTAACTGATTTCAAAACATATTTTGGACTTTGAACCAACTGGATGAGAAAAAGGGGAAAAATAAAATGTGAAAAAGACAAAAAAGAGTTGACAAAACAGTCCTTCTGAATCAAACTGTTGATTGAAGGAACACAAACTAGAAGCATATTTAATCTACACAGGCAATTGGCAAAGTATTAAAACCAATTATTGCTTTTTCACGACAAGTCTCTGGCCTTTTTAAGATTCCTAACTTTTCCCTGACAATGAAAAAAAATTTCTCCAACATTCCTTTAGCTATCCTGGTAATTCTGGTGAGATAAACAATGTTTAAAAAAATTAATTATTAACCTGAGCAGCCTCCCAGGCCCATTCACGATACTTAGGCTCATGAGTAAACCGCCACATGTAGAAGTATCCTTCAATCACTTCTGGTCGAAGAATGTAGTATCTCTCATTCACGCGAATACCAACTGCCTCATGAGGTCCCTCAAACCTGAAGGCTTCTGGGCCAATACCAGTAGCTATACAAATGAATTGGAAGGTTTACATCATGTTCTAAATTTGACTAGAATTTTCTGGCCACTATTTATCTGACTACAGAAAAAAACATTTAAAGTTATCCTTCAGTAACATGTTGATTCAATGGACAATTTGATTGAGGGCTTGAGCCACTGTATTTCTTTTTTTTATTTTAAGTTAAAGGATATGATAACATAGCTTGGGTGAAAGCTTGTAATAAAAAAATAGAGTGCCTTGAGGCTTCATCATCCACTACAGAAAATGTTTTGACATGGCTCACACCCTTGACAGTTACAGATAAACTGCAGAAGTGAGAGAAATTACATTCCCAACTGATCTAGGTTTCATTGCTGAAAATGGCACAATATGGGGCTGATTTTCTTGTTGATTTGTCCTCTTTCTCTGATCAGAATTCTTCCACTCTCACGCTACAAAATTCCATGACTCTCTATTACCTCCTCTGGGACTATCAAAATATTTCCAGTGACTTACAATACAAAATTTGTTTTAAAAATAATGTCAAAATGATCATTTGATTCAGTTACTTCTTGTTACACTGTGTAAGGAAAGTTTTAAGAAATGCTATAGATTGTTTTTTATGACCTTCCATAACCTACTGATGTATGAGCTACTCCTTAACTTGAATTTGTCAGTACAATTACTTACTATGATAAAATGGTAACACTGTTGAAAATAATTCAAGAATAAAAAATTTTAATTGCGCTTTCAAAACATGATTTAAGATCAAATTTTTGACTTCTTTGCTTAGGAAATGCTATATTTTAACAAGGCATACCTTAAGCCAATAGCAGCATTACTGGATTACCTGTTTTGCGGTAAGATTCATGACATGTGTTAGCAAGTTCTGCACCAAGGTTGATGAAATGTTTCTCACTTCTAGAACCTTTAGCTCCAAGAGCAAACATCCCAGCAGTAAAACAAGCCTTAAATCAAATGAAAAATCATGATGTTTTGCTAATTGTCAAAACCTTACTTAAGCTTGATCACTATGATGGAACAATATGGTAAAAAGTAACTGTTTAAACCTGAGAATAAGTGTCCCTTGTGTAATATGATTGTGCAAGCAAGTAGTAGTAGTAGTCCAGACATGCACCACTATTGGTGGTAGTGAAAGATATTTTGACAAGCTGAGTAGAAGTTATCACTTGGATTAAGTTGAGAACTCCCACTCTGGTTCTCCAAAAAGGCCTAGAAAGGACTTCTGTCACCTGGACAATCTCATTACTAAATGACTACTGAGGAAACAATGTTCAGCTTTTTATTTAAAAATAAACAACAACGAAGATGACTCTTGGAGAGCTCTAATCTGACTCTTACCAAGTGATCCATTTTGTGTTCCAGCCTGCCAAACTTGTACTCTGCAATGTATGTAAGGTT